AACCAGGATAGAGTGGTTTTTACTAATAGATTATTAAGAAGTATCTACCTGTTCGGTTAGTCCAGAAGCAGTATGTAGAATTAAAACAGTGTTCCTGCCTGTTCCCCTACCGGTATGAGAGGTTGAAACATAGTGAATCGTTTCGTGATCCGCAGTCTTCGGTCTCCATGTAGAGTAGCATATGGAGGAGGCTTTGTTGTCTGTGATGTTTCCCAAGCTTCAAAGGCCACAGCTACCTGGTACGGTATTACAGGGTCCAGTCCGCAGCTCCACAGCTCCGCCGAGTCCGCCGAGTCTCGACAGATCATCGATCCGCAATCGCGCCATCAGCATCCGCTTCCGATTCCGCCGTAGGCAGCCACAGCCCAGCGCAGGCAGGGCGCTCGATCGCTAATCGTAGAGGAACAACCGTGTCGGTACATTTGCACATACGGACGTCCATCGATATCGATTTGCCGGAGCGGATTCCCCACATGCCACATGCACACAAAACAAAACCCGCAGTGGGCCAATGCCAGCTGAAGAATCCCGGTCGGTCGGTCGATCGCTTGGATCAACAAACACCACGAAGCCAGCCAGCCACCTCTCGCTGTTACACCACCTGCAGCAGCAGAAGCAGCAGTATGCGGCGCCAATGCCAATGCCAGCCCGCATGCGACCGACCAGACTCTGCCCGTCGAGGCTTAAGACTCTAAGTCTTTAAGTAGAGCGCGACGGGAAAAAACCCGCGCCCGTTGATTGATCTCCCTGCCTTCACAATCACCTTCGCCCTCGCCTTCATCATCATCATCACCATCACCATCACCTTCACGAGCCAACGAGCCAACGAACGCAAGAAATTAAACACACACGCCCCCCCATACACACACAATGCCGCGACCGGATAAAGACTCCCCCGACTACGCCGCGCACAAAGCGCAGAAGCGCGCCGCGCGAGCCGCCAGGCGGGACGCGGAGGGGGCCGACGGGGCCGAGGAGACCAGACTGGCCGCGCCGCGGGACGACAGCAGGCGCGATCGCAGCCGGAGCAGGGGACCGCGGCGCGATGACGACAGGGGCGGGAGCGAGACCGAGCGCGAGGGCGCGCGGCGGCGCGCGAGGAAGGATGCTGCTGCCGGTGAAAAGACGCGCGAGCGGAGTTATGGCTACGGTGGTGAGCAGGCTGCAGTGGGTGCAGTGGGTGCACTGGGGGTGTACGGCGGTGCTGGTGGGGCGTTGTCCAATCAGGCGCAGGCAACGCATGCGGCGAATTACTCGTCGTACCCGCCGGATGTGCCCGCGGATTATGGCGTCGGGAAACCGCCGCAGGGGGTGGCATACAACCTTAGCTATCCGCCGCCCGAGAACAGCTACGGACATGTACCCTCTCCGCCGCCGCCCCAGCCTGGGACCTACAGTGTCACTTCGATTGCTGCGCTCCCGCCCACAGCCGGGGGTGTATACGACCATTGCCGCCCCGCCGCCGCCGCAAACGGCCTCTTTCCCGATGTCTGGCCAGGGAAGACCGGCGTTGCAGTCTACCGTCCCAACTGTTTTCCAGTATCAGACGGGGGGTCCGACGGCGATCGTTCCGTACGGCGGCGATATGCCGCCAAACTTGGATCCGAACAATCTGACCGGGCCGTTGCCGGGTGAGGGGGCCGGGAAGGTCTATCCTCCCGGACAGGCACCACCACAGTTTGAGAATCCCGACTATTACCACCATGTGCTCTCCGACTCCACTACAACGCAGTCGTTGACACAATCTATATCGGCATCGACCGGGATGGGTGCGAATGCTAGTTACACCGAGGGCAATGGCAAGCCAAACGGAAGCGGCTTCTCCGGCAAGCTGGGAAAGCTCGGGATTCCTTCGTTGTCGAAGCTTTCTCTGTCGCCGGGCGGCGGTAGCAACGGCCATAGTGCACACGCAGCGGGAACTCTGCCACCACCCTCACCCGCCTTGCTGCCCTATCACGGAACATACCAGTCCATCTCGCCCATGCCGTCGCCTGTCTTCGCCGCCCAGCCTAACTCGCTGATCTCCGCCTCGGGATCCATCGGTATAGGAAAGCACCAGGCATCCGGCTCCTTCTCCATTGGCCCACCGGCATTCGCTAAGCCATCACTGAGCTTCCACGGCCGACCCAGCTACGAAGGTGAAGGCCACAGCCAATCCAACAACCAGCCCAACACGCCCCAAACAGCAGACCCGTAATGATAGCCTCCCCCTATGTCGCCCCCTCCCGCGCCAGCTCCCCATCTCCCGAGCGCACATACAACCCCGCCTCAGACGCGAAAGCAATCCTCGACGAGCTCCGACACACATTCACGCGACCCTCGCCGCAGCCACTAATAGAAATCCTGCCGACTCTGACGCCGCAGCAGCTCAAATCGCTGCGCAAAGAATACAAGACGCTCTACCGGGGCGTAAACCTAGCCAAGCACATAAAATCCGTTTTCACGACGTCCACGCCCTTCGGCAAAATCATCTTCGCCGTAGCCCTGGGGCCCTACGAGAGCGAAGCGTGGTTTTCGAACGGCTGGTACCAGAAAAAGGAGACGCGCAACGAGCTGCTGATCGAAGCGCTAATGGGCAAATCCAACGCCGAGACGGAAGCGATCAAGGCATGCTTCAAGGACGCCAAATACGACTCGTCGCTCGAGAAAGCAGTCGCCGAGGAGCTGCCCGCCAACAAGTTCCGCGTCGCGGTGATGGCGCAGCTCTCCTGCGGCCGCATGGACGAGTCCGCGCCGTTCGTAGAAGCGGGCGTCCATGAGGACGTTAAAAGACTTGGCACGATCCTGGAGCGCACTAATGGCGCCGCGGGTGGTGAAACCGAAATGGTCGGGATTATTGTTAACCGCTCCGATCGATGGCTCCTCGCCGTCGCCCAGCTGTATAGACAGGTCTATCAGCGCGACTTGGCGAAGGCTGTCATGAAGCACTCCAAGAACCTTGTGGTAGCTACCCCCCCTTCCCCCAACCCCCCACCCCCCCCCGCGCCCCCGCTCACACATGCACACACAGGGCGAAACACTCCTCCACATTCTCTCAGGCGTCACAGACCGGCCTTTGCGCGACGCGAAGCTTTTGCAGCAAGCGCTGGTAGCGGTAGTGGAGCAGAGCCGCGAGGACCTGCTGATCTCGCGCGCCACAAGGATCCATTGGGACCCGAGACACCTAAGAAGGGTCAAGAAGGTCTTCAAGAAGAAGTATGGCGGTCTGTCGGTGCGAAGGTCGTCGAGGTCGCCAAAGGGAGCTTTAGGGAGTTTTTGCTGAGGATGTTGAGGGAGGATTAGGGGTGGGGGAAGGGGGCGCGGGCGGGGGGGGGTTGTTGTACACTTTTTTGGTTATAGGATGGGGTTTAATGGATGGGTATGGGGACGGTCTACGGTATGGCTATGGATGGGTGAACCAAACTCACGGTGATTCGCTGGAACTGGTCCACGGGAACATGAACAGACTACTACTAGGAAAAGGTGATCGGTCATTTGAGGTCACTCGTGATATCATTGATTCAGTCTATCTCAAGAAGCTAGTACAAACGCCCAACCCATGACAATGCGCCAAACAACTGTGCAGCCATCCTACTGACAGAAGTGAATGAAATGAGAGAAATGGTAAGAAATGTTAACCTCAAATGCGCAGAAGCCTGGAGTGCAACAACATATTAGCTCGGTACCTATCCGGGAATGGGATGGGATGGGATGAGAGGCCATATACGTACCAAAAGATCTCGTCCTTGACCCGTTTACCAGGAAGCCCACTGGTTCTCCTCGTTATTGTCCTTCGAAGATCCACCGGCCGTGGTGTGGGCGGTTGGGCGTCCGCACCTGCCGCTCTTGATGCTGGATCAGCGCCGAGGGGGCGTTGAATTCCCTCTTGCAGGCGGGGCAGCTACGTAGTTACACAACATATCAGCTTCAATTCTAGCCGTCGGGGAAGGGGGGGATGGGATGGACGGGATGGGGGGTTCATACACAGCCTTGCGACGGGTATGTGCGGGGCCCTCCAGGTGCTGCCACAAGCCGTTGTACGTATTCATCTTGCTGCCGCACGGGCAAATGTACTTTCCGTGAACCTGGTTGAAGTACTTGTACATCTCGTGGTGGGCGATGCCGAGATCGTTGGCGGCTCTGTTGCTGGCGGTGCTGGTGGTGTCGACCCTGTTGCGGGCGTGGTGCGTGAGGAAGCCGCCGCCGCTGCCACCGCCACCGCCTACTTCTCCCTGCGTCTTAATCCACTGCATGGATGCGCGCTAAGCGGCACGTCTGGCGCGGTGGTTCGGGGGGCGGTTCGGGGGGTGGTTCGGCGTGGAGAAGCCTACGATGGCCCGAGTGGAATAGCTGTTGCTTCTGTGATGCGTGGGGATGCTACCGCCGCCCACAACTCCTTGCGTGCTCATCGGCGGCTTCAATGCGCGCTGAGAGGCAAGTCTGTTGCTTCTGCTGCGGTTGTTGTTCTGGGTGGGAAACCTCCGCCGGGCAAATCTCCGAGAGTGGTCATCGCCTGATGGACTCCGGGCCGAGAGCCATGGTGGTTATTCTGGTTGTAGTTCTGCGTGGGGAACTTTCCAGTGGCCTGAGTGGAATAGCTGTTGCTTCTGTGGTGCGTGGGAAAGCCGTCGCCGCCCATATCTCTCTGCGTGATCGTCGGTGGCTGGACTGAGCGCTGAGAGGCATGGATGTTGTCCTGGGTGGGGAAACCATCGTCGTCCATAGCTCTGAGATCCTCACCCACTGTTGGACTGCTCCGGGTCTCATGGCATGGTCCGTTCTGGTGCATCGAGTCTCCGTGGGCCATTCCTCCCCTGCAGTTCTTCTCCGAGTGCATTGTGAGCCCGTTTTTGCTGCCTTCAAGGTCTGTCGGCAACACAAAGTAGGTCACATATTCGATGGGCTTGTTTACCTGCGGCTTGGTCAACAACACCACTCGGGTCCACACCGCGCATCAGCAAGCAAGCAACATACCCGATCCGCATGAATCGCCAATCCGCGCTGACTCTTGAAGTCCTTGTACAGATGTGACAAGTGAAATGCCCACGACTGAGAACGCGGTGCTTGCAATGCTCCTCCCACGAACGAAAGTCGATATTGTTGGCAGCCGACAGTACGCATGGTCGTCGGCGCTCTCTTTGTGGCTCCTCATCTGGTCCTCATTACGGAACACCTTGATACATATAGGGTCACTTGACGGAAGGTGAGGGATTCACAACCACCTCCCCCTCCTCCAGGTCGGAAAGAGTAGCACGGACTGTAGTTACCGCTGCGGGTTAATTTCGGTTGCGGAATGGGAGCTTGTGGGAGCTATGTACTTACGCGGGGCATGGTACCAACCTTCGTTACTGGTTGGGCTTCCTTTGCTTTAACTCTGGTTGATTTTTGACCGGCATACCTTGGTTGGTGAAGTTGAGGGTAGGTTGTGAGATGGCGGAGGGAACACCGGGTTTTTTTCGGGGGGGGGGGGGGGGGGGGGGGGGGGGGGGGGGGGGGGGGCGGGGGGGGGGGGGGGGGGGGGGGGGGGGGGGGGGGGGGGGGGGGGGGGGGGGGGGGGGGGGGGGGGGGGGGGGGGGGGGGGGGGGGGGGGGGGGGGGGGGGGGGGGGGGGGGGGGGGGGGGGGGGGGGGGGGGGGGGGGGGGGGGGGGGGGGGGGGGGGGGGGGGGGGGGGGGGGGGGGGGGGGGGGGGGGGGGGGGGGGGGGGGGGGGGGGGGGGGGGGGTGTGCGGTTGCTGTTCTGGATCCTGATAGAACCCGACCTTGTTTCTTTCTCTCCGACTTGGAGGTGATAGAACCCGCTGTGTTTATTTGGCCGACAGTCACGTGGGCTGCCCGAGCCGAATCGGGTATTCACCAATTGTGTGTAGAACAGAGGTGCCAAGATAATTCAAAAGCCCCGAAAACACCTTGTATGTTGGGGACATCTAAAACCGGAGTGTTTCACTCCCGTTTTGACGTTCGGTTAGTTAACACCTAATTTTAAAACGGCTTTTTACCCTCGTGGACCCCTCCGGCGCTGAAATAGCGCCCATGTAACCCCCCTATCCTCGATGTACCCCACACAAATTTTATAATTAGAGTACGGTAATTGTTTACCACAACAAAACAGATTTATTCCTCCACCACCACCAAAACCAGATTTTAGTTCAATTAAAGTATGTATTTTTTTGTCACTGTACGGCAATTCTTCACCACAACAAAACAGATTTATTTCTCCACCACTAAAAGCCAGATTGTAGTTCTACCCACCAGAACCACGTATGTAGCAGCGTTTTTTTCTTTTTCCGGGTTTTCAGTAATTGCTTACCTGTGTGGCTGCCTACATTTGGGCGCATAGTGACCAACACCACTGCAGATGCTACAGCGTGGCGGAGGTTATTAGACACGTCCGGCAGACTAGATCCACCATTGCTAGGAGTGTACCCCTTCCTCCGCATGTCGCCCTTCTGTACTCGCTTTTTTGCCGGTCTACCCCGCGGTATCTTGGTCAATGGTGGCTTGCAGGATTGAAGCTGAAGTCGGTTCTCTCTAGTCTCTTCTGCCTGGCGCGGAGAGTCTGAGCCCGAGTCCTCCTTGATGATTTTGTTGAAGCCCTCCCAGTCGAACGGTGTCACAGCCGCTTTGTAGATTTCGGCCCATTTGCCATAAGAAAGGGCCTCTATTTTGTTGTGGTGAAGAATTGCCGTACTTTAATTGAACTAAAATCTGGTTTATGGTGGTGGTGGAGGAGTAAATCTGTTTTGTTGCGGTAAACAATTACCGTACTTTAATTATAAATTTTGCGTGGGGTACATCGAGGATAGGGGGGTACATGGGCGCTATTTCAGCGCCGGAGGGGTGCACGAGGGTAAAAAGCCGTTTTTTTTAAAAAAAAAAAGCTCTGTACAGTGATAGAGAAGAGGCAGGAGATGATTTATACAGCGCCCTTTTTTTAAAAAAAACGTTGTGGTTGAGTGGCAACCAAAATTAAAAATAAATAGACGAAAAAAGATTTAGTATGGAGAGGCCCTGGGAATGTCCAGCAGCTGAACAGCCACAATGCCCGATTGGGCAGTCTTGCAACACCCAGTTGCCCGATTGGGACGTCTTGGCACCACAACATGGTGGCTAATTGCCGTGATAAAGGATATTTTGTACATAAATGGAAACTAATTACCTACAATCTACTACAATTCTGACTTATCGCTAACCTGTTGATGAGCTTTGTACATCTGCGCTTTGGAAAATGGGCAAGAACTGGCCGAGAAATTGTGATATTCGTTCCCGGCGGGGTTGTCGAGCGCTGAAGCGCTAGAGCTCTAGAGTAGGCTGCGGAAGCGCGGTCAATGGTATTAGTGACAGACCTGTTGAAGAATAGAACCAATAGAATGCGCGTGCTCATGCGATCCAGAAGAGTGTTTTATCGAAGAAAACGGGCAAGAACTGGCCGAAATATTGTGATTTTCGGTCTCTGCGGGGCCATGGAGCGTGAGAAAATAAAATAAATAAATGCTAGTATATTACCGCATTTGGATTTTAATTCCCCCGATCCGAATGTTCACTTACTCCGGCACTAGATGTCCCCTGAGGCTTCAGCCCTATGTGCACTCTAATCTATAGAGTGATGTGATAAAGTTTAGCTAGTGCACATGTCGATCACCAATTAGGGTTGTCGGCAACATCCTACTTCTACATCCCGCTTCAACCGTATTTCAACTCCATCCAATAACATCCACCCAACGCCAAGAAAGAAAACAGCGACAAAACACCATGGACATCCCCCTTCCACCGTCGGAAGACGGTTCGCCCCCTCCTCCCGATATTCCATATCTGGTATTTGAACCACCTCTTCAGATCCAGAGACAGCGTGCCATCCACGACATTCTGCGCTCAATTGCTGCCACTCCGCGGTTCGCAGGAAACATCCCCAGGCTTCTTGACGTTGGCTGCGGCGAAGCAACCTTCATCCGTCGTTTGGTCCCGTGTGAAGACGAGTTGCCTCTGGGGCAGATGACAGGTGTCGACATCGATGACGAAGTTGCGCAGAGCAAGAGTTGGATGTTTCTAGAACAGCCGTTTGGGGACGAAGAGGACAGATGGCGTGGTCTCGACATTAGGCTGCTTCAAGGAAGTTTCGAAGCGCTGCGGATCGAGGACGTCGGCTACCATGAGGTGATTGTCTCTGCCGAAGGTGGGCGCAACCTAATTTCCCCGCAATCGAAAGGGTACATAGAAACTAACGAGGAGTGTCTAGTACTTGAACATCTCGACCCTGGCCCACGCTCGCAGTTTGCACCAACTCTGCTGGGAAAGCTGAAACCGAAGGTTTGCATCGTCACCACGCCGAATAGAGAGTTCAATGCGCTCTTCGACTTCTTGTCGAACCTGGATCCCAACGCGCCGGCGGCTGAGAGGTACCGTCGCGACGGGGTCCCATATCTCATGAGGCACCACGACCATCGCTTCGAGTGGACGAGACAGGATTTCAGATCCTGGGCGTTGCAGGCGGCCGAGGAGTTCGGGTACGATGTACAGTTCTGTGGTGTGGGTGGTCTCGGAAGGGGGATGGGAGAGGTGGGCGGGGAGAATGCTACCGACGTGCTGCGGGAGGCGGCCGAGGCTTGTGGAAGCCCTGATTCGTTCCTGAAGGGAACGGATAAATGGGGAGAACTGAAGGGGATTGTCTGCGACGTCGATGACGACGACAAGGGAGTGGACATCCTTCGGAAGGCCTTTGGGGATTGCTCGCAGATCGCAGTTTTCGTCTTGAAACCACAGGAGGAGTCGGACAGCGACATCAACGCGCCGTACACGGCTTGCAGTGACGGACTGAAACTGGTGCAGCATCACTCTTATCAGTACACGACTGAGGAGTTCCCGCCGTCACTCGAAACAGTCCTTAGACTACTGATGAGTGAACGGCTTTTGCACCTCATCCCGGAGCTCATCCGAGAAGAATGGACCAGAGACGACAGCGAAATTCAGAAGGATATGTTTCTCCGTAAGAAATATGGGAATTCATTCAATCCTAGGGAGAACGTGTGGGACAAACAAGATTGGAGGAAGCTCCGCTGCGAGGCCCTGCGGGAGACGGAACGGATTTTTGCGAGCCTTGGTGGCAGGGTCTGGGAGGTCAAATGTGTCGAGATAATCCTGGACGCTTCCAAGTTGTGGGAGGGGTCATTCAAGCTGCGCAGAGCTTGCCATTTCAGACCCGAGGCATTTGTGGATGTCATGCGCAGCATCAAGGCGACGGAGAAGAGTGAGCTCCCTAGTTCTCTGTTGAGACGAAACTAGCTAACCATGTTTGCAGCACCGGAAGTCCTCGTAGAAAACACCAAGATGAAAGTGGAGCTCAGCCAGGAGGACGACAAAACCGTCGTTACGGCCAGCTTTCCGGCCAAGAGAAGACCCATCCCCAAAGAGCCCTGGGCAGAGCCGGTAAAGCTGGAGCGTGTCATCTTCGACGAAGACACCAACGACTACGGATCCTACGAAGAAGTCGACGAGTTTGACGACGAATTTGACGAATTTGAACTCGCGGACGAGCCGGATGTATTTGATGATGACGAATACGCTGGATCTTCCAATGGCGATGCCGATAGGATCGTTCTTCCCAAGCCCAAGAACCCGGAGTTCCGTTTGCCTTCCCCGGTGAAACGCTCCAGCTCCAGCTCCCCCTCGGAATCAGTCCTCTCGGGCCACCCAGGTGAATTCGATACCGTCATTGAATGGGTCGCTCACACCGAAGGCCCCCGTCCCGAGTTGTGTCTACCGCAGTCGGCGGAGGTAGAGGGAACTCTGGAAATACCCGGCGAAAAACACATTGGCCAGCTGTTTAGAGTCAGATTCATGGGACCTAAGCGGGAGATTGAGAGTTTCGACGATGATGGTGAGGATGGTGAACCCATATTCAAGGAGAAGAAGGAGATAAAAGGGGTGGGAAGTTGGTGGGAGGCGGAGTTGGAGAAAACCCCCGAGATGGAGCTTATGCCTGGTTATTACAAGGAGGAGGAGGAGGAGGCAACCCCCGAGGTGGCGCTTATGCCCGGTCATGACGAGGGGGAGCTGCTGGGAAGATATTTTCTGACATATCTAAGATGACCGCTCCATCGATCTACTGATTTTCCGTAGCTTCGGTGATACTCCGATCTGAAGCTAGAATTCATAGATTTACTTCCTCTTACCTAGATGATACGCTTTTTTCAATTCGGTTTTACATTTCCGGATTCATGAACACATAATGTTTTAGACCCTAAAATGAAGATCCTGTGAATTTTGTGCGGAATTCGTACCCAACAAATAGTGGCGCGATGATTGGTTGGGTGGGTTTCGTTCACCAATATTGGGTGCTTAAAGCAAGCACTTGAAGTATTCACATGATGTGCCCCCAGTTTCTGGCAATCACAGTTTGTCACTCGCGAATTTTGTGACCCAGCGGGAAATCTGAAAACTCGGCGATTCGTCAGATTAACTACGCATTGACGTCTGCACTCCTCAACATGAAGTGATTATCCAGACCCAAATATCGTCTCGGAAGATGGTTGTCCCTGTAAGTAGTACTAGGTAGACAAATTCTAGTAGGGCTTAGGGTATACCTAGTAGAGTTTCTTTCAGCCGCCAGCCATGACGTTATTACCCGGCGGCCTCGCATCATAGAAGAGCTGCAGATGCATATCCGAAACAGGACACCTTACCTGATCCCAATCACGACCTCCAGTTCAACTCCCCAAGACCGATTATCCATCCTTCCTGCTCCCCCGTGCTGCAACGTCGAGCAGCTAAGCACCAACCAGAACCCGACCTAAACGTCATCGTTAGCCGACAAGGCACCATCTAGTCAGCAACCGTGAGGTAGCTCAAGCCTAGCTCATTACATAGCATGGCGAGCAGCTCGGAAACTCCAACCTACAACAAAAAGTCGCCGACGATAAAGCGGATTCGTATGCACCCGCACGCGCACTCCCGGCCAGGGACACAGTTACTTACTTAACGCTGCACAGTGCGCGAAGCCGCCGAATTAGCGAACTCGCCGTCGCCGGACTACTTTGCGGCACCGCTCGAGAACAACCTGTTCGAATGGCACTTCACGATGCGCGGGCCGCCGGAGTCCCCCTACGCGAACGGGATCTACCACGGCCGGATAAACCTGCCCTCCGCCTACCCCATGCGCCCCCCGTCGTTTAGGTTCCTCTCGCCCAGCGGACGCTTCGAGGTCAACCGTGAGATCTGTCTGAGCATCTCGGACCACCATGAGGATACGTGGCTGCCGGCGTGGGGGGTGCGGACGGCGGTGGTCGCGCTACGTGGGTTCATGGAGAGTGAGCCTCAAGGACAGGTCGGTGCGCTGGAGTGCAGTGACGACCAGCGGAGGAAGATTGCCGAGACGAGCGGGGAGTGGAAGTGTGAGACGTGCGGAAAGAGCAGTGTCGAGATCCTGAAGGAGAGCGAAGCGGCGGCCAAGGAAATGGGATTGGATGCGAAGGTGGAGGAAGAAACTCCAGCTGAGCTCAAGATCGGTTTCAAGGTCAAGAAGGAGGAGGGTGAAGGGGCTCAGGGCGGCACAAACGGCGATGGGCCGGCGGCAGATGCAACTCCTACCCCAACCCAGCCGGCGGTGCCACAGCAGCAGCCGTCGCAGCCACAGCCACAGCCGCAACCACAACCGCAACCGCAACAAGCCCCACCACCTATGAACGGACATCTTCCGCCCGGCAGAGAGCAGAACGGAGTACCCGCACACCTGCAAGGAGCATTACCGCCATATCTAGATCCGCGCTTTGCACCCCCGCTGCAGCAGCAAGCACGTGAAGAGACATTCTGGCTGGACCGGATCATTTTTGCGTTGGTCGTGCTGTTGACTGCAATCCTCCTTAAGAGGTTCCTGGGTTTGCCGAGTGTATACTAGATGAACCATCTTCCTGTTTAATTGCTTCTGTCTTTTTGTTCTGGGTTGGTTTTCGATGCTTCGGCGTTTGAGTCGGTCTACTCTAAATTTGAACATCTGGTTTGTGTTATTGGGAATTGTTTGCACCGCTTGATTGTTATTGCATGTACCCGGGGCAGTGTGAGTGGTCTCGCACGATAGGGACTGGATCGAGGGCTAGTATTCATCCAGGTCCCACTTAACTACCTGCGGGGCATCGTCTCCATTTGAAATCAACTTACCAGGTTGCTGATTAGTAATTCATCCATCACTCGCAGCACTGTACATTGTACAGGTATGTAACTGTGAAGCAAGATAAGATAAACTACGATACGATCCATCCGCCCCATCCCACAATACGAACAATCCCAAGCAATGTCCCCGCCCGCCATACCGTCCCGCGAGGAAATCCACCAATGGCTTCTTGACGTCCACCTTCCCCACCCACGGCCTCTATTCCACCAGCTAACCAGCTAACGTGGAGCAGTTCCACTCGACCAGCGCCGCCCTCGACGCAGAGAATTACGTCGACAAGTTCTTCACGCCCACGGCGACGATCCACTTCGGCAACCTGCCACCCGTGAGTGGGCGCGAGAACATCCTCGCCGTGGGTTTCCCCCGTCCCCTCCCCCCATCATCCCTCCCCTATCCGTCCCCAGGTCATTCCTGAGTCCCTCCTTCCAAACGTTATTAACACGAGCAGATGTTCACGCAAACCTTTGCCGCACTCGACTCGATGGAGCACGAGGTAGTGCACTTCGATATCGTCCCTGGCACTGGCAGGGTATACCAGGCGGCCGATATCACGTACGTCGTCAAGGGGGATCCGAAGAGGGAGGTGTTTACGGTCCGTGGGTTGGCCGTGTGTGATTGGCCCGAGGAGGCGGAGGGGGAGGGCGGGGTGATGAGGGCACAGCGAATGCAGATCTTTTTGGATCCGTCGGCGGTGTTTGCGAGAATGGGTGAGGTGGCTGCGGCGAGGGCGGGAGCGGGGGTGTAGGGAGTGGATGGGTGGGATTGGGGACCACAGAGTAATAGCACGCGTATGTCACAGTGGGGAAGGAAGGTTGGAAGGTATGGCTGGCTGTTACGACATGTATGTACCTACAATATCACCATTACAAGAAGAAGTCGTTAAGAAAAAAAAGAGATTTATTTGGTATCTCGTACTTTTAAAAACAAAAAAGGAACTCACCCGCAACGCAATCCCACCCCCTAGGGCCTAGACCCTCCACTTCTGGTCAGGAAACTTCCAGCCAGCCTTGTAGTTGGCCATTCTCAGCTCCTCCATCGACATGCCCATCCACTCGGGCGACATGCAGATGTTCTGGTAGACGACGGGGGGAATGACGGGATCAGGCGAGGCGTAGTACACGCCCTCGAGGCGGGGGTGGAAGGCGGGAGTCACTGGAGCGCCCCTTCTAGACGTGTACCTGTTGGCGTCATTGATGTCACTGGCGTCGTCGTCGTCCTGCGTGGTGTTCGCATCGAAGAATGTCGGCGGAATACCCATCTGCCATTGATAGTGCGTGTCCTGGCTGAAGGTGGGACCCGCTCCGGGAGGTGATGGATCACGGGTAGTGAAGTTACTGAATATGGTGGGAGCATCGATAGTGTCGGGCCAGTTGGGAGCGACGGTCGTCGAACTCGAAGCCGAAGGGCCGCTTCCGGTCCCCCAAGGACGTTTCGGAAACAGAAACGGGTTGTCCTTGATATTGTTGCAGGTGGCTGCAACAGTCGGGTCGGAGCTGGATGGAGCGACCCTCTGGTCGGGAAATCTCCAGCCGGCCTCGTAGTCCGCCAGCCGAAGTTCCTCCATCGGCACATCAGTGCATGCAGATGGAGCGGTTTGGCTAGCTGTGTTTCCGGCCGTGTTGGTCGTGTTTCTGGCAGTGAGAGGCATACTGGAGCCATCCTCCAAGTTTAGCGCTTCCAGCGCTTGAGTGATAGTCTGTATCTTGCAGACAGGAACTTCGAAAGGCGGCATGGTGATCGCCATGAAAACGTTAGTGGGGAGTAGTACTCCCCAGAGCGCAGCTAAGGCTGCGCCGTACGCTTTCAGCTCGATCGGCTCGGCGGGAGTAGCGGAATCTGCACGCATCGTCAGCGTCAAGCAAGTGTATATATAGGAAATCAATACTCTACGTACCCTTGAAACCCTCAGCGGAAGTAGCCGCCTTTCCCTCCTCTACCGGCATGCTCTTCGCCGACTTGAAGATTTCATCCCAATCCGCATACACTTCCTGAATCGGCTCATGGTACCGGTTGAGGATCATATCGATATACGCATCGTCGCGTTCGTCCGTCGGCGGCGGACGGCTTCCCGGCTTCGGGGCTCTGTTGTTGGGAAATAGGGTGGACATGAAGGTGGCGGCGGTGGTGGGGGTAGGGATGATACGTAAATCGTTATCGGTGTTGGGATCAGCCATTTTTAATGGTGTGAATTTGACGTGGTGGAGTGGGGAGTGAGTTATCGTGACTTGAGGAGTGTTGGTGGTTGAGGAAGAGGAAGATGAGTGGTGGTGGTGGAAGAGGAAGAGGAAGACGAGCGGTGGTGGTGGAAGAAAAATGGGAGTGGTGGTGGAGGAGGAGGAGGAAGAGGAGAGAAGGGAAAGCCAAGAGAGAACCCCGAAAAGGGAAAACGAAACTTACTTACCTATCTACGGAATTCCAAGTCAACACATCACCATCACTCGGCGAATAGGCACAGGCTAGCCAATACTAGCCAACAGCCTTGGTGCCCAGTCGACTGGAGTTCAGGGCAGTCACGGAGACGGAGACGGGGGAGGGATGGCGGTGTACCTATGTAGGAGAACTACATATCTTGTTGACATGCTCGGGAGGAGGAAGGAGGTGTTAGAGAAGGTTTGAAGTTTCTAAGGAGATAGGGTGAGGGTGAGGGTGAGTGATCGTCCGTGCTTGGGTATGGCGAGGGGAACTTGTGTAAGTAAGTACAGGCGTACAGGCGGGGCTGATGTGCTCTGCCTGGTTACTGATAACGGCGCTTGGGAGTCTTCTAAGCTAGAACTCTGAACGACTCCTCTAGGTACCTTCTCAATATCTTGGACGACGATGAATGTAGCGGCCGGCATGGGTAGGACTAAACCCGAAGTTCATGCAGCTCAGCAGCGCTCCTGCGGGCCACATTCATCACTCGTGGCGAATATCGCCAAAAAAGCCGTACCATCCCTCATCCCCAAGCGCGGATCTGTGGATCCGTGTCCCCGTGTCCCCGTGGCTTTGTCTTTGTCTTTGTCTTATGTCGCCGCAGCTTCTGTGTTTGCAACTGCTATTTGACATTGCTATTTGACATTGCTATTTGATAATTCCATGACGCCAGCTGGAGTCTAGACTGTACGTGATGTGCGCGCGGGTCGACGACGAATGACAAGTCATCTATCTATCCTCCCTTCCGCAGTTCACTCGTCCCGTTCAGATGGATTTAGAGCTGGATTTAACTAGAGCTGACTCCCAAGTATAGTATACCTAGTATAAGGTTGGGTCTTGTACGTATTCTCTTGACAAGTTGACAAGGTGATATGTTGACAAAGCCTTTGGTGGTTGTACGGAGACGGAGATGTAGAACGCGAAAAGGCTGTGGACTACGGGCGGGGGGTGGGATTGGGGATTACAATGTACTATATAGTAGCACGCCCGTATGTCACAGTGGGGAAGGAAGGTTGGAGGGTTGGAAGTTATGGCAGGTTGTTACGACTACAATATCACTACCTAGGTATTACAAATAATGAGGTCGTTAAGAGAAGTAAAAATCTATCCGGTATCTCGTACTTTTAAAAACGAACAAACTCGCAACCAAGTCCCCCCCCCCCTACCTCCACTTCTGGTCGGGAAACTTCCAGCCCGCCTCGTAGTCGGCTATTCTCAGCTCCTCCATCGACAAATCAGCCCACTCGAGCGAAATGCAGATGTTCTGGTAGACGACGGGGGGGATGGCGGGATCAGGCGAGGCGTAGTACACGCCCTCGAGGTGGGGGTGGAAGGCGGGAGACACTGGAGTGCCCTTTCCGGACGTGTGAGGTGATGGAATATTGATAGTGGAGTCACCAGATATGATGGGAGCATCGATAGTGCTGGGACAGTGGGGAGCGATGTTCGTCGAGCTCGAAGCCAAAGCCGAAGCGCCGCTTCCGTTCCCCCAAGAACGTCTCGGGAACAGAAATGGGTTGTCGTTGATATTGTTTGAGGTGGCAGGAAAAGTTGGCTCGGAGCTAGATGGAGCGGCCTGGCTGTTCTTGTTGGCCGTGTTTCCGCCGGTAGTGAGTGGCATACTGGAGCCATCACCCAGGCTAAGCTCTTCCAGGGCTTGCGTGATAGTCTGAATCTTGCAGATAGCAATCTGGAAGGGAGGCTTGGTGACCGCCATGACAAAGTTAGTAGGGAGTACTCCCCAGAGCTTAGCTAAGGCTAAAGCATACGATTTCAGCTCGGCGGGAGTAGCGGGATCTGCACGCATCACATCACAGAGGGCGTCAGTGTCAATCAAGTGTATATATACGAATTTATTACTGTATATACGGACCGTTCATAACTCTATCGTAGATAGATTCCATTTCTTCCTTCGTGGCGTCATCCACCTCCGCATAAATTTTCGAATACCACACCTTGTCCTGCATGTAGAGCATCGCGAGAAGCACATTGTTATCAGTTAAGTCCGGCTGTGGCGGGCGGCTTTCTGGCTTTAGCGCGGCGGTTTCGGCAGCCTCGTCAGATGGGTTCGGGCGCAACTTGGGGAATATGGAGGACCTGGAGGAGGGGAAGGTCGGGCCGAAATTGGGGAATATGGAAACCCGGGTGGAGGGGGTGGTCGAGGTGGTCGAGGTGGTAGGCGAATCGTTATTGGTGGCGGGATGGGCCATTTTAATGGTGTATATGTAATGTGGTGGAGTGGAGAGTGAGTTATTTTGATTTAAGAAGTGGTGGTGGTGGTGGTGGTGGTGGTGGAGGACGAGAAGTGGCGATGGTGGTTGAGGAAGAAGAATTGTGGTGGAGGAAGAAGAGTTGTGGAGGAGGATGAAGTGAGTGGTGGTGGTGGAAGAAGAATGGCGGTGATGGTGGAGGAAGAGGAATGGCAGTGGTGGAGGAGGAAGAGGAGTGGGAGGAGAAGTGAAAGAGGGAAACTCGAAAAGGGAAAACGAAACTTACCTATCTACGGAATTCCAAGTCAACACATCACCATCACTCGGCGAATAGGCACAGGCTAGCCATACTAGCCAACAACCTTGGTGCCCAATCGACGACCCCAACACCCACACACACAGCATCGATCAGGCACTACATAGCTCAACACGACTCATTGCGTTGGAAATATGCGGTAGCAAAGTACATCAGAAATGCATCCAGACGATGATGGCCTAGGTATGCAAGAGATATAGACCTACGTAGCTTTTTACGAAAAGAGAGTACTAGACACATATCGCCGTGCAGGCAGCCAGCCACAGCGTTTTCGAAGAGAGAGATTTTCAGTTTATTTCGCATGCAGCCTATCTAGACTATGGCGAACCGTCGCACTTCTTTCGTGCCCACTCTGGCCGGCCGCTATCAGCCAGCACGATGTGGCGCCGCTGCCTGCCAAACAAAAAACATAGGAAACCGCACCAGGACATATAGGTCCCGATGCGATGCTTTCCTCCTCCTCCTCCTCCTCCTCCTCCTTCCCCTTCTTCAGGTCTGGTGGAGCTTTCCTCCCCGTCGTTCCTAAAAACTCTAGGATTACCTCTCTGCACTGTTCATCAGCGAACAACCCCACTATCGACAACCTCTAGCCACAGCGTTTTCGCAGCAGTAAAACATGGCAGTGAAACAAGCAAACGAGTGACCCCCAATGAAGAACACACGTGATAATCAACATTGAACAGGATGGATATTATGAAGGGTTGAAAGAGTTGCGGTGACGCGGTGATGTTTCTTCTACATAAAGGATTCGGTGGGGTTCTAATAGGCCAGCCACTGCATGGTTTGACCAAGAAATTTTAGAAAGTGGCAGTCGACTGGCGTTTAGGGCGGTCACGGAGACGGAGACGGGGAGGGATGGCGGTGTTCCTATGTAGGAGAGGAGTCATACAGAATCTACAGGGTGCTGGTGGGTATGATACTGTCACCACCACGAAACAATGACCAGGAAATGGCCAGGAGGAACCGCAATGTGTGCGTATCATACGGCGAATTCGGAATAAGAGCCGTGTGACCACCTGTGACAGATATGCCAGATCATCCAACACCGAGTGCTAGGATATGATTACAATTGATCCCCCATCGCTCCGCCCCCCCCATTGCCCCAGTGCTCCGAATGCACCTCACGCTCGATGATCCCCACATACACACACGGCCTCCAATTACGTTACAATCCAGCTCCCAATTCGAGCTGAATGAAGCAAGCAAGCAAGAACAAACAAGACAAAGCAAATAGACGGTCGGATAAAAACGTGACCGATAATGCTCCTAAACTCCCAGACTCCTAAAAAAAACAAAAAAAAACAACTCTATACTCCAAAACACCCAACTCCATTCCTTTTCCTTCCCAAAACCCCCAGCAACCACATCCCCATCCACGCCACGCTTCAGTACCACGTCCACAGCGATAACAGGCACTAATACCCGCCTCCCTTCGCCGGGCTCTTCCTAACATAGACCTTCAACCACCTAAAGGCAGTATTATGTCTCCTACACTCCTCCATGATGTCCTCATCCATCCAGACGTCATTCTCATAATGTCTTCTCGGCTTATCGCCTCTCGACTCCTCATCGCGGTCCTCTTCTGGTCGTGGACAATACAGCTCGTCGTAGAGGTACCTTCCGATGCTGGAGGTGACGGAGCTGAGCTCGTCGCCCGCCGACGTCGCCGGCATCCACATCCACACCTTGCTCACGTCGGTGAACCCCGCCTCGCGCAGCGTCGTTAACACCGTCTTGCTCGGCATGATGTCGAAGCTGCGCGGGTGCGCGGGGTCGGACAGGATATGGTCGAGGATCCATGCGCGCAGCTTCGGCCCCATGTCGTTCAACACCGGGTCGAGGATCGAGAGTTCAAGGTAGCCGTCGTGCTTCAGCACTCGGTGGCACTCGAGGATCAGGGGGAGCCAGCCGTCTTTGCTGATTAGCGAGGGGAGGAACCGCGATGAGATCACGTCGATGGAGCCCGTGGCTAAAGGGGAGAGCGTAGTGTACCCCGCTGGGATCTGCACGCGCCGTTGGTTGGAGGGTGAGGCGTGTTCGCACGTGAGGGGCGACACGGGACTGTTGAGGCTGCTGGACCCGCCCGAGGTTATCACGTGGATGATGGCGTCTGGGTACTCGCGCGATGCGTGCCAGGCCCAATCCGCTGGGTTGGGGGTTAGCAGTGAGCGCGGAGGGGACTGGCGGGGAGAGTGGGTTACCTATTGCGGGGCCGTCGATATCGAGCACGCGCAGCTCGTCGCTACTGGTTCTTGGACGGCCATCTCCATCAACGCCATTGAGTCGCAGTAGGTGGTGACCGGGGGAGAACAGGATGCGGCCGAAGTAGAGCCACTTGACGGCCATGAGAAACCACGCGCGTTTCTTGAGCACAGCTTTCGAGTCCGCTAGTTCGTCGTCGAGGACCACCAAGTTCCCTGGGTGCGGCAGGTGCGTGCTCGAGCCGGCAAAGCTGGCATTGCTGGGCTGGTAGTCTTCGTCCTTCGCGTAGCCAAATATCTTCGGCGTCGATTCGAATTCGTCGATGAGGGAGGAAAATACATCCAGCAGGAGCATCGATGGAGGCGTGTACGAGCACTCGTCGTAGCCATTGGTCAGCCCGTACGGTAGTCCGCCGTCCCGCAGTGGCCACCTATCCCGTGAGTGGACGGAAGGCGGATTGGATTCGGAGGCATTATCATCCGGATACCGCGATGAGGTGAAGGATGGTCGGGTTTCTTGAGACGAGAAGGAGTGTCGTCGAGAGGAACTAGGTCCGAAACCAGGAGGAAATGCTGGCGAGCGCGGTTCGACGACTGGAGCTTTCGCGCCGAAGAGGACACGATCGGCCCATGTGGGAGTGGGTAAGGTTCCCACTGTAGACCACGTCGCGGAGGATTCAAGGGTGAGGATCGTTGCGTCGCTCACGTTACGAGGGCGAGGGCGGGAAAAATTCGAGGAGGAGACCGAGGCCGAGCGGGTCCGCGACAATCCGCGGTCGGCTGCAAGCCACGGCGAAGCCGGAGGTTCGAGCTTATAATCACCGGGGGAAGGAAACCGAGAGAGCGGTTCCAGAAGAGGAGTCATGCCGGGACTCATACGCGGACTCATACGAGGACTCATACGAGGACTCGTTAGAGGTTCGCCTTTAGGGAACTGGCGCGGTGGTGCTGCTGCAAGCTGCGGCGAAAGCCTGGGAGATCTGTTAGGAAAGAATGACTTCTTCTTCCTAGACGGCACTGCCGATGCGGAGGACGCGCTCGACCTCCGACGGGAAGCGGAATCATACAATTGAAGGTGGAAGTCGGAACCATTGGCAAAGACATCCAGGTACGGCGCGTCATTCTGCTTATAGTCCGTGTCCAATTGCTGCGACTGCTGCAGTTTCCTCTCGCGCTTCTTGGCATTCCTCTGCTCTTCCGTCTGAGCATCGGGCTTGAAAAGCCTCATGGGATTGTTACGATCCAATATGGTTCCAAGCTTCGGTCTCGCCGGCGCCCGCGGCGGGGAAGCGGAATAGCCATCGGAGATGGCAGGTACCGGAGGCAGGGAGTCACCCGATGACGACTGCGTGCTGGCCGACTGGATGCTATTCGTTCTGGACGGGTGTGGTCCGTTGACGAAGGAAGCCGTACTGGCATCGGGTTCGAGAGGGGTGTCTGTGGGAATGATCTGCTTTTTGGCTTCTTTCCAGGAGGCAGCGGGAATAATACCTGCGTCCCGTGCTTGGTCCAGGTTCTTGCGCTCGGTGACGTACTTGTCGCGGACTTTCTCGTGCTGGAGATTCTTCTTGTAGAGGAAGTGCGCCATGACTGCTTGCTTAGTAGAGTTTAACAATTGCGAGAGGGCATGCAACGGAAGATCGGAGCGATGGAGAGGGAGAGAAGTCCGCGAACGAGGCAGAGCAACTCAGTCCGTCTGCTGTCGATTTGTCGGACTGACGGACTGTCGGAATTTCGGACTGTCGGTCTTCTTTCTTCTTTCTTTCTTGGGCCATCCTTTGCAAGGACTCGGGCTCGATTATAACACCCTGCGTACCGCAGAAACCTCACGGAATAACAAATACACCCCACGCTCCCACGTTCTCGTGTACTGGCTGCTGGATTCCAGGTTCTTGCCCGGCCATCACCACCGCGGCTCCTTCCGACACTCGGTGGACTACCAGTACCGTGCACGTTGCCCTGAAGATCCCTCTGATTCGTTGGGCGCTTGCAAGGAAGGACGATCTCACGCCTCTGATTTGCTGAAGCGAGAAGTGGAAGTACGGCTAACTAAGTACTAGCATTTAGCAGTTAGGACCAGTTGGTTAGTTTAACCTGTATTTTTTTTAACTGCGGGACAGAGCAGGCAGCTGTCATCGCACAACGCACACACGGTGGAGCAGCCAGATGGGCTTCGTCAGGAACGTCGCACACGAGCACCCGATGATTTCCATGACCCGAGAGATGCCGCATCGCACGTGGCACAGGGAACCCCCTCCATTCATGTCTCCGACTCAAGATGCCGGCCCCTTCTCTCGTATATGGCACTTTTCCCGACTTTCGTTCAGAGTGCGCACGGACTCCCGTCACCAAGGACCGAATGTCTTAAGCAGCGTCTGGCACTCCAGTGAACTCCCTCTTTGGAAAGCCTCACCGAAACCATGCCCCCTTCGCCGGCCTACACCGGAAGTCCTTCAGTGCGGATCACGATGCAACCCACCCAGGTACTTACCGATCGTCCGGATGGACTTGTCGTTCCTTGGCTTCCGATGACACATCCGAGTGACCCCGATGGACCGTATGCGCTGTTGCTCGCTGTAGTTATCCCGACGAACAGGCTTCGGCGCAGTACATATATACTCCTCCCTCGAAATCGAAATCTGTATGTACTCTGACGGCCCATCTCAGCATCGATTCGAAGGTTGATTCGCCATCGTCCAGCTTTTCGAGTGGTACCTCGCCCACCCTCTCGGTATGTGCTTACCGTAGGTACCGGTATCCTTCGACAGTCCGTAAGGCTGAAGGTCTGAGTACGGCCCCGGATATAGTTTTGTTCTCGAGTCCCGGAGCGTGAATATACATGCCGGCGTCGGATGAACCTCGGAAAAACGACACCGACCCTCTCGGCTGGCCCGATGTTTACTCCGAGACTAACCAGCACGATATCTCCCCCGTGCCTGACGCCTTGCCCGAGCCAAGCCTATAGTACTGTACACACTGGTAACCAGCTGTGCCAAGAGACCGACAGGACTCCTCAACGAACGCGAACCCATGGGCTTTGGTTTTGGCTCCCACGTTTCCCGTGCCGAATATCGATACGATATCGAAGTGCTCTAGATGATCCTTAGACCGGCACTACCTTGAACAGGAAGAAGAAAAAAACATCATCAGGGGAGGGGGGGAAGGGCAAAGAACCCGAATGCCTGCCCATGGTGCTTGTCAGTCAGGGCACCACCCAGAGTCCAGTTGCAACCATCGAGCCACGCAGGGCTAAGTTAGTTACCTAGTTAGTTAGCCCGTGTGAATCGTAGATCCTTCGCGAACACTTCCTTCAACACTACGGGCCACAGGACGAGACTGGTATGTAAATGTGGTACATATGGTACATTTCGCCACCCCTAGGATCCAGATTTCAGCCGTAGATACCATAGGTGCATGCCCAGTGCCCACGTCCCGTCTCGTCTCGTCAAGCGAGGTGGTCTGGATCAGATTTCCCGGTTACAAGCGGGGGGATTGGGGAATTGGGGGCTTTCTTGACGGCTGAATGCAATTAATTGATTTGCGTGCGTGCGTGTGTGGGGAGGGGGGTTCATTCTTGGGTACATATGATAGGTACAAATCTACATATGTGGAGAGGGAGGTTCTGACTGGTCGGCTTGCTCGTGTTGGCCAACACGTGGGGCCCCGGGGGCCGGGACCGAGTGAGTGCCTGTCTGCCCCAGTCGTTATTCTAGAGTAGGTTCACGGAATTCTTCCGCTCGTCGATACGGTATTCTCCCGCAATTAACTACTATGGTAGAGTAACTACCGTAGGTAGATAGAGTGCATACTCGATGCGAGCTGAGCTGAGATGTCTTTGCTAACTAGAGTAAAGTCATCTGCACCCAGGGAGATTCACTCCACTCCACCCCATAGTAGTTATCGGGGGGTTTTCTCCCACCTCCGTAATATCAATGCAAGCAAGCAGATATCGATGGCTCGGGATCCAACCACCAGTGGAGGTTCCCTGCACGTGGGGGGGGACTGTGGGAAGTGGTACCCTTCGGCGAGAAACATTGGGAACCGATGTCGTACCGAAAGAACGAAAGAACGAACGAAAGAACGAACGAACGAATGCAAAAGAAGATCACCATAGTCCTTGGCGACCGCGATCGGGAAAACTTTTGACGCACGTACGCGCCGCACCGCGCCTGCCTGTGCTAGTAGTGATGGGCACAAACTTACGGGCATTGGCTTTTGGAACCTGCGTGGGCTGCTGTTTTGTTTTTTTGTTCCATCATACTTGCATTCTGTCTGTCCGGACCACGGCGGTGACGACTGACCTGTGCTGCGGTCTGTCAGTAAACCAGCTATCTACCATACCTAGCTCAAACGGTCGTCGAGTGATGGGTTGAAGAGGGGCGTGTTCGTCGCGTTGGATGGAGTGGACGGATAGAACTCATCGTACAGATCGATGCCGATATCTCACAAAAAGCTTCGGAAGACGCTCCGTCCCGTCTGCAATAACGGGGGAATTAAGGTATGTACGCATACCTATCCGGGATTCCCGAGATATGCAATTGGTGGTGGTGGTGACAGTGGTGGCCGTTTGGCGATGCCATCATGCCAGCGCCGGTATAGTGGTTCGCCAGGCAAACGCCGCGGCATGCGGTCATCATCTTCGGTATTTGTGACCGTGGGGTGCCGTATGTACTGCGATACCTACCTACCTTCCCGGTGAATCATGGGGAATAGGCAGCTGGGCACTCTAAGTGGAGGGGGAAGCAGTGCAGACAATCCGCCGGATCGGGGCGATATAGTGATCATGTACATGTCATGTTTGCAGCGGACGAAGCCCCGAGAAAGAAACCGCCCGGGAGACTCGGGGGAGCCATCTGACTGGAACGCTATGCCGCATCTACACTTGCATGCATGCCGCAGAGTGCGTATGATGTACTACTTGTTCAACTGTCGTTCTGGAAATATCATATCTGACGTCGAAGGATTTCCCCCCCTCCCCCCACGCGCATGAGATGGACCTTTATGCGTCTCGATTTTTGAATTTTCCCCTCCACCAGCACAAAACCGGTATGCATCTACAAAGGTATGCACTCGCCCTCTAAGTAGCAGCAGTACCACCACGTGGGGGGGCTTCTATGCAGGTTTGGCGCTTGTCACGGTCGATGCTCCGTCTCCGCAAACAGCCACCCGACTTTGCCCGAACCTCGTCATGAGGTGGAACTCGTCTCGCGAGTGACAGTCTGTGATGTATTCAGGCTGCAAGAGCCTTGCGATCAGGAGCATAGGTGGGTGAGGGTTGGGATTGCAGGTATCTTCGGGACTGTCACTGCGTCTGATTCTATTGCGTTTCCATCAGAGAGGTTACAACAAGGTCCAAGCGTAACGTATGTGCGAGCGAGCAGAGAACCTCATTCACCGTGCAAGCGAGCTGTCACGGTCACTAACTACTATGTAGTAGGGCTTGTCACTCAATCGTCACACCAAATTCCACTGACTATCGCTGCTCTCGGTCGCGAGCGTCGCGAACCTCTATGCTGCTTGTGATACCTATTCCCGGACGAGAATTGTGGAGTCTACAGACCACCCGAGTGACTGCGGAAAGGTATCACATTGTTGTACGGGCTCACACCGCGTTACGCGCTATCTCGGCTAAAAAAAACAGTACAAAACTATGCCTGGCCTCTTCGGGAACAATGAGACCTTGCAAGCCAGCTAGTGCCGTGGAAGACCCACCCCCTCCCGTCGTCCGGGATCTCTCAGTCTTCATTAGGCCTCGAGTGTGAAGTGGCTGGAAAAGGAATATCGGAGGCTAACTAGTATCGAGAAGACGCGGCTGTCAGGGAGATGCGCGCTGGGAGGCACTCTAAAGGAGCACGGACATGTGGCTTCCTATGTAGGGTTGGTCACAGTGCTACTTCTAAGCCCGCTCCTCCAAGCCCGCTCCTCCAAGCCGGCCCTCCAAACCGGCCCTTTCAAGCCCGCCATATCGACCGGACTATTCCAAATCTTGTACTTTCACCTCTCCGGATACTAACGCGCTCTTTCGAACCCCAGACACGGGTGTCATGGCCGAAGGCTCCTGAAATCCCCTACCCGACTCCTCTATTCATTTAGTGAGCTGAACCAGAGACATTATGCAGACAATTCTGAACATCAATCAGCCCCGTGCCACTTCCCCAGCCTGTATGTATACTCGAGGCGCTGTTTTCCGCTTGGATGGTTAGACACTACAGTAAGCGCTTACTACGGCCCGGCTGTAGATAGGTATCCGCCCCCACACGTCTATCCTATCCGCTAGGTCCGCGCACCTGCCAACAGCTGTCAACCGCCAGCCTTCAATCCGACCTCCTACGTAGGCTACATACCACTACCAAAGTCCAAAGTATTCGCCTCGCTGAGTGAACCTCATAGCTTCAAGGCATCGCCATGCACACGTGTCGAGTATGTAGGTATCATTCGGTAATCCACCCCACCCTACAGTATGTAATCCGTCTGCCGCGCTGGTCAGTGGTCACTGTCGGCCATATATTCGCCGCTGTGTGTGCCCACAGGCTGCCGCTATTTCAACCTTTCGACCTTTTTTGAGCACGGCTCGTTCGTACCGTCCTTTCCTTTCCTTTCCCTGGCGGCAAACATGGCTTCGTCCCGTCGAGTGCTTGTGCAAAACCTTGGGCCCTGTCGTGGTACATATATCGGTGCAGCAAACGGTACCGTTCCCTTGCGGCTCTGCCCTTCGCCGGTACCGGAAGCTCCCCGGTGTCGGTACTGACGAGTACTGTTTGTAAATTCGTGATTTTCCTGTTTTCCCATCTTAGGCAAACAACCAAAGCCATCACTACCACCAACTCAAGCACCGTCAACCCACCCACCATCAACCCACCCACCACTGTCAACACAGCACCACGACCAACGCAACCAGCAAACATGGCTTCCGACAAAAATAATTTGCAGGGTCCAGACGCAGCCACGCCTCAAGAGCACCAGCCGTCACGTCTCGACTACGAGCGAGATGCTTCGGAGCCGGAAGACGCAGATGACGGCTCGGACGGGGAGCTACGAGAATACGAGCTTTCGTATGCGGAATCCGCGTCTAGCAGCGAGTCGGAAGAAGACGCTCTCTCTTCCAGCGACTCGGAGTCAGATACCCCTCCGGCATTGCAGGCTGGACACGAAACCAGTAGCAGCACAAATGGCGGTAAGGGCAGGAAGGGTTCAGAACAGGTTAGTAGTTAGCGCGCAATAATGCTGAGTATATACAGCGGTGTATGTACTGACAGTTAATTAGGGAAACAATGCGCAACCTGAAACTGGTGAGGAGATTGAATTCGCACCAGAGGATGTGGAATTCTTCGACAGTTTCGTCCACAAGATTCTGGAGGCCGCGGAGGAGCACGCGGCAACGAACAACAACAAGTTTACCAGCTCGCAGATCCTCAAGATATCCCGCATCATGCTTTCCGGACACTTCAAAGCTGGACGGTACAAGGTGAAGAAAGTCTCTGCCTGGAATCTGTACCAGTCGGCCATCAAGGATAATATGCCGGACACGGTTCGTCTTCCGAAGATGAAACCGAAGGAACGTCCCCAGTTCACTGGAGACTATGCGAAAGCCGCGGCGGAGGGCTGGCAGGAACACAAGGAGGAGTATGAAGAGAAGGCGCGTCTCCTCAATGAAGCGGGGGGTAAGATCACAGAGGTCCCACTACCGCTGCTGCAGAAAAGGGGTGTACGTAGACTGAGTGACTTGGTAAGGCTCACAGCAACCCCCACTGAATAGAGTACTGTCCGACATTGTGTGGTATAATACTCAATACTGACGATATCATGTTCAAGAGCCAGGAACTCTGCGGCATTGGAGTCACGATGTTGTCATTTGTGGTTCCATCTCACGCCAACGGTCCAACTCTTTTACTCAGCAATGGTCTCGCATGCAGCTACTACGGTATCCTTGCTCAGTCAGGTCATACTATTGAACAGTTCGAGAGCTTTGTTTCCACCAGCCGTCTGTTGAAGGAGACGAAGGATGCTCAGGATTCTCAGAGTGACTATTCCGGGACTGGTGGCCGGGATGCAATGCGCAAGGTTGTCAACAGCAGACTTCTTGATCTTCTCAGTAAGTTGCAGTATTGTACACTCCAGTCACGCAAATTGACATACTGACCTATTAGACGATTCTCGAGGAGCGCACGCAATGTTGAAGAAATTGCCGAGATCAAACATTCTTGAAGTTCTGAAGGCACGCAAGCAAAAGATCATAGTTCCTGAAGACTGGCCTGAAGCCAACCGCGGCAGCGAAAGCCAAATCCTAGCCACGATATTCGGCTCTACGCATCTAGAGGACCTACGCCTGACTTTCGAAGCGCTTCAGAGCGGAGGATTGGCAGTTGTCAAACGTTGAGTTTCTGTACGCGAGGGCACTGATCTGTCTCGATTGCTTTGGTGGGAAAAGTTTTTTGAATTCTTTATGATTTACCTACATACCTAGACTCTTTATCTCCGTGCCGGTCGGTGACATGCCGATAGTTCTTGGAATTAAGAAAATAAATTTGTTTGGGTCAATACAACCTGATTCTGGCAGATACCTACAGCCTTGTACGCACAAAGGGCTCAGCTACGAAGAGGCCGAATGATTTATCCTGATCCACCAAACCTCGTTGACATAAACCACCTTACCTAGCCCTCCACCACCTTCACTACACTCACCTCGTCGACATAAACCACCTTACCTCACCTTACCTAAACTTCCACCACCTTCACTACACTCACCTCGTCCACCGGTTTGACCGTCTCCAACACTACCACCGTCTCCAACACCACCACCAAATATAACACCGAAGAGAATAAGGATGAGAAAAAACTCAGTTCATGTCCACCTCCTCGGACATCCAGGGATGGACGGGATCGACGTGGTAAGCGCGAAGGTTCCCGAAGGCCAGGTTGGGAAGTGGTTGAACACTAGAGGGGCTGCGAGGTTGATGTTGGATGGAGCGGCCATCGGAGCTGGCAAGAGAGCGGGCAACGGAGCGGACAAGGGAGCGGGAAACGGGGCGGACAACGGAGCGGGCAACAGGGCGGACAACGGAGCGGACAATTGAGCGGGTGGAGTGGGTGGGGAGTTTCACGTTGACGACATCAACCGGGAGGATCTGTTGTAATAGATATCTCACTCGTTGCTTAGTCGCTTACGCGGTCATGACGGCGGGGAGCACTACCTAGCCGCCTACATACCACCCCTCTTTTATGTCTTCTCTCGAGGCTTTCAGTCTCTACAATAATCCAATACTTGTTCACACATTCCAACAGGGTCCAATACTGGATCGCCTTCAATTGTGAATGTACGTTATAGGTATTAATCTCAGCACCTATGAGCTGAGATCTTTCGAGTACATAATGTACTGCAATTGCGCCCGTTCCTGCAGCTGCCTCTTGAAAGGAAGGCTAGGTATTTTCCGTCTTCCCCGGTCGAACCCAGATAGAACAGCCTTTTGTTCCCGTCACGGACATCGACAATATGTCCGGGCCGGCCTTTTCTATGCCGAGCTAACTACTCGCCGAACATTAAAGCACAGCACAGAGATTGAGTCCCTTCCTACGAATTTCCGAATCCGATCTCGCCGAGGTGATTTTCTCTGTGCCCCCACCGAGATATCTAGCCAGCAATGCACACGAGATGGATGATGACTCCGGTGCGGTGTAGGTATATAACTGCGGTACCTACGCCCCGGGGGTTCACCCATCATCAAGCTCGGAAATGCGCCCGTTGATGCAGGACGGGAGTCGCGCTGCAGCCGCAGCTGCCGTGTACTGGAACGTTTGGCCTACGCAGTGCGGTATTCAGGCTCACCGACGGGCGTCCGTCGTCGTCGGCGGCTCCTGTTCGTGTTGACGACGATTTACCTAGATAGCGATTCTCGTTCAAAAGCCACATGATACATCATCAAGCCATGTCGTCACTCGTTGAAGATTTTGCACATTGGTCATGGGTATTGGTAATATTTGCACGGCTCGAGGCTGGAGGATCCTGTTTATTTTCCATACCTACTTGCTTTTGCTTCTGTCTGGTATGTCTGGTATGTCTGGTATGTACCTAACGGGCAGTGAAGCCGTGGTGAGAACGGCAAACCGATCACCGTCCGAAGGTGACGACCGACTCCTCTGAGCACAACCTATCATAATAGCATCGAGACGAACGAAGCAATACTGCATAGAGAGGAGAAAAAACTGGAAGGCAATCCCCACTTTACTAGTGGCCTTCAATTCGACCTTCGCAGGAGGTAGAATTAACTCTACCACAGTTGTTTGCTGATTAGCATTCACGAAAGAAAAATGGCCTTGATACATCCAATAAAGAGTAATTTTATTTTGGACGCCGAGTTGTGGGAACGAGTGTGCTCCTGTGAGTAGTCCACTAGCCGTTCGGAGGACCGGTGGTGGGTGCTTAGAACACTCGGTGCGGTAGCGGGTCCAAGTTCGGGTTTATTTCTTTCTTTCTCTCTCTCTTTCTTGTACCTGTAGCTCTAAGACACAAACATCACTTCTCCCCATCTCGATCGTTCCAGTGATCACCACCACGAGTCCTTCCAACACGAGTAACCAGCACGGACTCGGAGGGGGGTAAATTTTCAACCGCGGGGATGCTCGGTCGAAGATTTTCCCTGGATTAACTAGCACCTAGCCTATCCTCTTCACCGGGGAGCCACACTGCCACAGACGCCGCACCTAAAATATCGTTTTCCGGAAGTTCGGCCGGTTGCTGGTCGGGCTTGCCGTGGTGTCCCGGTTCTCCGCCGACCCACTCTAGCACAGCCCCGTGCTTACGTACGTAGCGGGATGCTTGGCGACCAAGCATCTCTGCGAGCTCGGAACAACAGCCCTCATTCAATGTGGCCAACGCTATTCACCAGCCACACATCCACACCTCACATACCGATTTTCGTCGCGACAAAGAGAATTGACGAGACAGACGAACCAAAGAGAATAGACAGATGTCAGAGCAGATGTCAAAACAGCTGTCAAAATCTCTTGGGGTACGTGGAAAATTGGAGTAGCTAAGGCGGGTTGCTGCCGACCCAGATGATCAGATTGGTGTGTGGCTGATGAGGCTGTGGCGTTCCGCAGGCCACATCATTGAATGAGCGACTCAAGTCTCAACGACTCGTCACTCAGCGAGTACATAGAGTACTTTCACCACCAAGAATAGAACACCATGCCATGGGGATGATCATTTCTCTCCATCAGCCCCCTCGAGTTACGTGGAGCAGAGAACCCGTGGCACGTAACATGGCCGGCCGACCTGCTATTGCTTGCGTCAGTCGCCAGTCCGCCGTAGACCAAGGCCGGAATAGTTAGATTGGCCCTGGTTCGGGCGTACGAGTACTGCCATAGCTTCAAAGCATTCCAAAACTGAGCGTGACACGGACAACCAAAACAACCAGCTGGGCACCACTCATTTCCTTCCCCCTCTCTCTCTCTCTCCCTCTCCCGTCCATCTCCCTCTCCCTCTCCCTCTCCCTCCCTCTTTCTCGATACCTCCTCCCCATTCATCCTTCCGAGGGATCCTCACGAACTGCGCAGACGCACAAACCCACCTTCCACTTGTTGCGCATCCCTGAAAGGTCATCCGCACACCACTACCACTCGACCCATTCTATTACGACGACCACCACTCCACCGTACCCCCCACCAACACCTTCGTGATTTAAACCGATACAACTTCGCCTGAGACATCGCTCCGAACCGATCGGGTACCTTCCGCCCCCGCCTCGACCCGTCCCCGGAAGGCCCCGCCCCTCCATCTAGAACAATGGCTGCCGCCAGCTACTACGGCGCCGGCACCCCAGCTGACCAGAACAAGCTCAACGCTCCCACCTCCCCCGTAGACTCGCCGGTGGGCGATACCAACAAGCCGCTCCCGCCGCCCCACCAGAGCTCCTTCCCTCCCACGCACCAGAATACGTTCCCTCCGACACACGTCGACGCCGGATACAACGATGACCTCTCGTATGCTCCCAACCACTACTCGAGATACTCCGCCGATACCGGATACGACCCGCATTCTTATGGTAACCGTCCCGGTGACAGTCCCACAAAGTACAATTCCGACCCGTTCTCGGACAACATCCCGCTTCACGAGACCGGCCACAAGAATCAGCCGCCCAGCACACAGTTCCAGCAGCCGCCCATGTCGCACGTCGAGAACGGGGGCTCCCAGTACCCCCCGTACCCACCACCGCCTACGGACCGGAGAAAGCGGAAGAAGTCGTGGAGATCGCGGCCGTGGTTCGTGTACTTCATGACGCTAGTCCACACGATCGTTTTCTGCGTCGAGTTGGGGCGCAACCAGGCCTTGCAGGGATCGCCAATCTCGACGAAACCGTACTTCAATCCCATGATCGGCCCGTCGACGGATGTCCTGATCAACATGGGCGCGCGCTTCGTACCGTGCATGCGCCTTGCGCCCAAGTTCATGAACGCCGACCCGACCCAGGTGTTCCCGTGTCCCTCCAGGACCGATGACTTGCTCAACTGCACGCTTGCTCAGTGGTGTGGGTTCAATGGAAGGGATATTCCGGAGCCCATGGGCGGAAAAGGGCCGGCAGATAGCAAGCCCGATCAGTGGTACCGGTTCATTATCCCGATGTTTTACCACGCCGGTTTGATCCATCTCGCTTTCAACATGTTTATGCAGGTTACGCTAGGTGGAGAGATGGAGCTGGAGATTGGAGTGGTGCGGTTCATCATCGTGTATTTCTGCTCCGGAATCTTTGGTTTCGTGCTCGGAGGCAATCTCGGCGCAGTTGGTCAGCCATCGGTGTAAGTTCACTCCGCTCCCCCACCCCCGGATGTCGTCCGAAACGTTCATACTAACGGGTGGTACTCGATTGTAGGGGTGCTTCTGGCTCACTCTTCGGAATCTTTGCGCTCGTCATGCTTGACCTGTTCTACACGTGGAAGGAACGGGAATCTCCCAAAAAAGACCTTATCTTCCTTTTGCTGGACATCATCATAGCATTTGTCCTAGGGCTCCTGCCGGCAATCGACAATTTCTCCCATATTGGCGGGTTCATATGCGGGATCTGCCTCGGGGTGGCGCTCATGCGATCCCCTAACCAACTGCGGAAGAGGATCGGCACCACGGCATCGGACCCACCATACACTCCCGCGACTTCCACGAACCCCTACAACACGTCAAGCGGTGGAAACGAACTCATCGGCTTCCGCGGCTTCGTCAAGCAGCCACTCGCTTTCTTTAAGGGCCGCAAATCCCTGTGGTGGGCCTGGTGGCTCGTCCGGGCTGGCATGTTCACGCTCATCCTAGTTGTGTTCGTAGTACTGATCAACAACTTTTACTTGCCGACGATGAAGACGTGCTCGTGGTGCAAGTACCTGAGCTGCATGCCGGTCAACGGTTGGTGTGATATGTACGATGACCTCGGCATCAAGACGGTGAATGTCACGTCCGGCTCGAGGATGCTGATGAACAGAGAGCTGCTGGGAGGTTTGGATGAGTTTCTCTGAGCATTTGGCTACGTGGGTTTGGGGGGATGGAATAGGAGCATAGCGTGGAACTGAAGAACTCTAAGCTGGCAGCTGTTTTTTCCCGGGGTGTTCTGTTTTTCTTTTCTGTTACTTTTCATGGCTGCTACGAAAGCATCCGCTTTTTTCTTTTTTTCTTCTTTTTTTGCGGACTGTTTGGGATACCATCAAAATAGTTGCCATGAATGTGTTTTCCACCTGTATCACTTGTATTTTGCTTTCCACGGCGCAGGGGGATGGGGCTGGTTGGAGGGTTTAAGAAGACGTTTGAATTGTCATGAGATGGATAATACAAAGTGGCTCTTCTTGACTTCTTATTTACTTGGTTACTGCCTATGAGTGATGCGGAAGTGTCGTGTGTTTGTGGAAACCGAAGAAATCTCTCCTGGAGTAGCTGAGTTGCTGTGAACTTGGCCTGTGAGGGACAATCTTACAATAATAGGCACATATTTCCAAGCTCCAACGATCTATGATCTGACCTCCATCACCCTAAACTGGCCTGCTCCCTTCATCTGCAAGGAATGTGTTGATCGTGATCCGGCTGTGCTACACATGCTGGAATTCTTACTAAGCTCAAGCTGTCTAGCACCGGCATGGAACCACGGAATTCCAGCACCACGCGTCTCCTCCCCGCCGTGCCCACCCCCTAAAGGGCCGAATTCTCAGAAGAACACCATCTTTGCATCTTTCGCATCCGCATCCCACGCTCCCTCGCAAGAAACGCACGACGACGCAAAAACAGGCCCGCAAAACAAAACAAAGCAAAAGTGGCGAAAACAACGTTCGATTCCATCATCCCCATGGACTCGGGTACGCCGACGGTATCCGGTCCCCGGCGGCGTCGCTCCCGCTTCACATGTCGCCGCCTCGATAAGCTGTGCTGTCTGGTCGCCGGCTACTTCCCGCTGTTCTTCGTGTACGGCGTGACCTCGTGGGCGCTCTACACCGAGGCCTACAGCATCGGCTACCGCACTCTGGGCGGCTTTCAAGGTGCGTGCTCGTCCCCGTCGGTCCGTCCATACGGAGAGGGCTCATGGTCTTAGGATAGGCCTGTTTTGGGGGGGCCTCGGTGTGCTGTTCTATGTTCTGCTGATGTGGTCGTACACGCACGCCGTGTTCACCAGTCCCGGGACGCCGATGGACAATGTGGGCCTCTCCGAGTATTGCGACTAACTATTGACCGTCACTGACATCTCGACAGAAGCACGCCTACTCGCACCTCCCCACCACCGAATCTATCTCCACCTCTTCCGTCACGGTAAAATCCGACGGCCAGGAGCGCTTCTGCAAGAAATGTCAATGCCGCAAGCCTGACCGAACCCATCACTGCTCGTCGTGCCGCACCTGTGTACTGAAGATGGACCACCACTGTCCGTGGCTAGCGAACTGTCTCGGGCTACGTAACTACAAAGCATTCCTGCTGTTCCTAATCTACACTTCGCTGTTCTGCATGGTGTGTTTCGCCGCTTCGTTGAAGCTCGTCTACCAAGAGCTATTCGCCAACGGCCCACCGGCAGACGGGCAGCCCAACCCCATCGACGACCTCGCGCCGATCAATTGGGTTCTCCTCCTCGTGATCTCGGGGATCATCGGCCTGGTCATAACCGGCTTCACGATCTGGCACCTGATGCTCACCGGCAGCAACACGACGACCATCGAATCCCTCGAAAAGGTGCGGTACACTGCGCCGTCGCTGCGCAACGGCGCACCCCCGCCCGGAGCCCGCCTGCTGGATGACTACTCCACGCCGCACCACGAAGCGAACCGCTACGGCGCCTACCTCCTCGAAGAGTCCTCCAAGAAGCTGCCGCACGCCTTCAACCTCGGGCGGCGCCGAAACTTCGCGCAGGTCTTTGGCGGTAAGGAAAAGTGGCTTCTCTGGTTCTTCCCGGTATTCTCTGGTGTCGGCGACGGCTGGAACTGGGAGACGAGCAAGTCGTGGCAAGACGCGGCGATCGCGCTGCGCGCAGAGCGCGAGAAGTGGCTGCGCGAGCAGGGCGAGCGCGAGCGCGCCGCGGGCTGGGGCTACGATCCGGCTGAGGAGCAGGCGTGGAATAGAGGCAATCCAGACGGCCTGGTCAAGTTTGCGGGCTCGGCGCCGCCGCAGCCCCAGCCCCAGCCGCAGCCGCAACACAAGCGTGCAAGGTCAAAGGCGGATAAGCTCCTAGGCCGCACCCCGGGCGCGTACACAGATTCGGAGGGCGTGCCTCTGAGGAAGATGAAGCGTCCGCCGAGTATGCATGCGGTCGAGACGGACTCGGATGAGGAGAGCGATGACGACGTGCAGTTGAAACTGAAACCCGTCCGGTGGGGCCGCGGGAAGAAGCCACATCCCCATCCGCATCCGAATAATGACGATGCGGAGTGGGGGACTTGGAATTGAGTCCGTGGAGTGGAGTTGGCGCAGAGTAGATGGGTGCTATGTATTTTTATGCGGTGTGGCGATGCGGCGCGGGGATTCCGACGGGCGTGGGGCGTGTGGATGGATGTTTGATTTTTGCATGTTTGGTTGCGGTTGCGGTTGCAGGGCTTGCCTTTTGCGTTTTCTGGGGTCTCTTCTTCTTCTCCTTATTCTCCGCCTTCTTCTTCACCGTTGTTTTATACCTTTCGTTGGTGAGTTCGAAAATATCATACTTGCAATACCAATAGCCACATCAGCTCTCACTCGGCCGAAGGGCTGCTTTGCTGATTTTGGAGTTGCTCCTGAGGGTTCATTGCTAATAGTTTCTATATTGTGGATTATGTAGGTCACATGCAATTGATGATTAAACAAAGGAAAAAACAAATATGTGCCCCTGATTCCTGAAAGCACTGGAGTGGAGTCTGGTGGAATTCCTAAGGGTAGATCGTTAGCCAGCTGGGTGCATATGTACGGTATTTCCAAGCTGCAAGCCACAATGGCTGGCTCAATGGCAACTGGCTGGCTGGCTGGCTAAGAGACGACATCTGGATTTCAAGGTTCCATGATTTTGAATGACTGCTTGAGGCGCTGCCCCGGATGCGTTGGCCACCAGCGGCGCGGAGTCACCGACTTCCAAGTTCCAAGTTCCTGAGCCGAGTTCTAACTCCCGTCTACTAGGTAGTAGGTGCTTCGTGTTATCCAGCGCCTGTTCCTACATAAATCGCAAGCTATTACCCCCACAATCATCCTCTCTATCTTGTTGGCCTCTGCCTGTCTGACTAGTAGCTAGCATCTGTCAGAAGTGAAATTACCGATCAACGACGACGTGTGCAGTGTGCAGTGTGCACTTGGTTTAGTCCGAGTCGCCGACAGATCGTGCACTTTCTTTGCTTTTCTTTTCCTTTTTCCTTTTTCCGTTTTCCTTCTTTGAGTAAAGGTGCTCTGCAGACTCAAGATGCCCATCCCATTGCCCACGATTTCGCCATGTCCTTGGGGGAAGTTCCATAATCCATTCCATTCTATGCCCACACTACTACATATATCTGCTATGATAGAACGGAGGACATTAACTATTGCCTTATCCACGAGTTCTGTCCCGTCCCGTCCCGGCCCGTCCCGGCCTCGGGTGGGTGGGTGGGTGATCTTGAACCTTGAACCGTGAACCGTGGGAACGGAAAGGGGATGAACTCAGACCGAGTGCTCTATGGTCCCCATAAGGTGGGGTCGCCCATGCACACCGAATCGGTCCCTTTCCTATATCCAGCAGTGGTAAATTAGGCGACCAACTAGATAGATACTGTATATATCCCGTAAACAGTAGTTGCCGTCACTTCGGTCCTCGTATGTACTAGGTAGTACGGTGCGGATATCACTGCCGCAGCTCCAGATATCTACACATCTAAACTTCCACCAGCCCTGGATGCTCTCGCAAGGCCGAGTCTCAGGCTGCTGCGCTGCGGTACCACGCTGCGGCGGGATTATCACCGTTACTCAGTGAAGCTTCACCGCTTCATGGCCGTTTCACGCAGTGGGAAATGGCCGCTGTATATCTAGATGGTCTCCCCCCATAGGCATAGGGTCGCTGGAGACGTCACCAGTGACCCACCTACGTATGAAATAAACCGACGGCGTAGCACTGGCTGAAATCCCACCTCACCTCAACTCATACATACCAACCAAAAAGCTGCAAAAACCAAACAGCCAAAGCAGGATTGCCCCAACCCTCCATCCATATGGTGGAAATCCTCTCTGCAGCCGAAACAGCAGGCACAGTTGGTTGGGGGTGGGGTCCGTAACCTGATACACGGGTCATGGACTCATGCTTGTCGGCGACCCGGAGAGTCAGTCAGTCAGTCAGTCAGTCAGTCAGTGAGTCAGCCCCCCGGTCCGGTTCGCCAAAGGAAAGATACGAAGCCGTTCCAAACACCGTACATAACTAACCGGCACGGTGTCTGCTTCCGTTTCCTGTCGTGATTAGTCGCCGGTCCCTGATTACAGAGGCGGAGGCATTGCTGGGTCGCACAAGTGATGTGGAATATAATCATGTTTGCCGAGCAGAGCTGAGTGGATGGTCCCCCACACTGAACCAATACGCCGGCTCGTCCGGTATGTAGGAAGCAGGCGCCCCGGATACGGAGGCGATGTCGGCTATTGGATGCAGATGGTGTCGGTTCCACGCTGCTCGCGAGGATGATGTCTCCATCTCCAAGCACCCGTGGCGGCGAGGATTCGCATGGAGGAAGCGGAATTCACGTCCGTCCGGCGGAGTGACGGCTGTGATCCGGCATCCAGTCCATCCAGTCCATCCAGTCCGCTGCATCTAGATATCCCAGTGCGTCAATAGAGTATATCTAGTAGAGTAGAGTAGTTATCGTCTGCTGTGTTGCGTATACCGTACTCTATGCGTGTATGCAAGAACGAAGTGAATGCCTACCTGTGTATATAGAGTGCTCGTACCTAGATGCGCTAGGTATACGGTGTTCATTCCCAATCGGTGTTTGGCCTGGGGTAAGCGAGGGGCCCCCCTCAAAAAAAAAGAAACGCTGTGTTTCAACGATTCGGGGTCCAGGCCTACTAACACTCTTCCAGATGAACACCGAAACGACCGTCTTCTCCGCAAGGCTTGATTTGATGTCTCTCTCTCTTGCCCTGCAAGTCAATTTAAATTGTATACGGAATACTATGATGATTACTAACCACTATATGCTATAGGTGATATAGTACTCTTCGTATGGAGTACGTAAAGCTCGTGAGTGCTCCGGCGGTGGTGGTGGTGGTCGTGTCCTGACCACGGGCCTGGATAGTTACCTGGCGGCCGGTTAGTCAGTCCCCCTAGTCTAGCACCGCCTGTCTAATCGAAACTGGGTGGTATCCCCCGCCCCCGGCCACAGGGAGACGAAGTGGGTTTCGGTTAACTATTTCTTGACACCGGACGCGTGGTTCCCACACTCTGCTGGATCCCATGCTAGTTAGAGCATACTTCCGTGGGGGGATATGTCGCGTGAGTTGAGTTGAGTAGGCGAGGAGGAGGAGGGAGGGGGGGGTTTCTTTCTTTCTTTTTCCCTCCCTCCGAGACAATAAGGGGTGCAGTGCTGTGCAGTGGAAGTAACCACAGCCGCCGGCATAGCTGAATAGAGTACTCGCCATAATAGCTTCGATAAGACGACGACGGGTAGGGAGCTGTGTTGCAACTTGCATCGGAGCGAGTACATAGGGTCGAGACTGCCGATCGATTTGGCTGCCGACGGGAGGTTGTGGATTGGATGCATGCTCCGTTACTATTCCTCTTTCTTTCTTTCTTTCCTTTGCTTTTCTATATCTACTTCTGCCTACTAGTATAGCACTCTCGTTCTCTCACGCTCTCACTCACTCCCTCTCACGCTCTCTCTCGCCCCTTTGCTGTGACCGCACATCATCATCATCGCTAGGCAATGATGCAGAACGACGACGACGACGAGAGCGCGGGGGGTGGAATCGAGGTTACGAAAACAGTGTCGTCGCAGCAGTCGGATCCGAAGGGGGGCGAGGCGGGAACCGGAACGGGGACTCGGAGGGCGCAGGCGAAGGGGATGGCAATGGATTGGTTGACGGCAGCGTGGGACGAGACGGTGTTTCTGACGACAACAAAGGAGGGTCTGATTGGCGATTACGAGTACGTCCGTCTGTCGTCCTCCGTATATCACGGCGTGGATATAAGCAGGCGGGAGGGGAAGGGGGCCGTGGTACAGGTATTAACGAGCTAGGAATTTCAAGCTATGCGTACCTCCTGACACCCGACATCCCGCCGTTCAATCGCAAGTATAAGGGCCGCTCGCAGCCGTTTTTTGGCGTGGACGACCGGATACCGCTGCTGCTCACGCTGCTGCTGGGCATTCAGCACGCACTGGCTATGATTGGGGGTGGTATGTGCCGTCTCACTCGGCGTAGGGATGGGGGTAATGCTGATGTTTGGCAGCCGTGTCGCCGCCGCTCCTCATCGCTGGCGCCTCCGGGGCGAATCTCACACCTGATGAGGTCTCGTATCTGGTATCGGCATCGTTGATCCTCTCCGGCGTGTTCAGCTTCTTCCAGATCGTGCGCTTCCGCATCTTCAACACCGGCCTCTGGATCGGCACGGGAATGCTGAGCGTGGTCGGAGAGTCGTTCGCAGTGGTGCCGATCGCTCAGGGCTTCATGGCTGGCGAATACGCGGCTGGTCGTTGTCCCACGTCCGATGAAGGACAGAAGTTGCCGTGTCCGAAGGCGTACGGACAGCTGCTGGGGACAGTATCGCTCGTCATGCTGTTCCAGGTCGCCATGAGTCTGATCAAGCCGAGGTACCTGAGGAAGATCTTCCCGAAGCTTGTGAGCGGGATGGTACTCATGTGCATCGGTGCGGGGCTGGTGGCGAGTGGGATGAAGAGTTGGGCTGGCGGCTCGGGGCCGTGCATGATGCGGCCGAAGGATGGGTTTTTCGCATTGTGTCCGGACATCGGTATGGATGGGATCCAATTGGACTGCGAGCGAATGCCATCGAGTGACTGACTTGCTGCAACCCTAGATGCCCCCAACCCACTGCCCTGGGGCCACCCCAAATTCCTCGGCCTCGGCTTCCTGGTCTACGTCACGATCCTGATCGTCGAAATCTGGGGATCACCGCTGATCCGCAACGGCTCCGTAGCCATCGGCCTCTGCATCGGCGCCCTCGTCGGCGGCCTAACCGGCTACATCGACAGCTCGACCATCACCTCAGCACCGAAAGGCACCTTCCTCTGGACACACACGTTCCCGCTCGGCCTCAACGGCAGTCTCGTGCTCCCCCTGATCGCCTGCTGCCTAACCACGCTCGTCAGCTGCCTCGGCGACGTCGTCGCCACCGCCGAAGTCTCCCGGCTCGACGTCGACGGCCTCGGCATCGACGCGCGGGTACAGGGCGGACTCACCGCTGACGGCGTGTGGAGCGTGCTCGCGCCCCTCGCCACCACCACGCCCACCGTCCTGTTCGCGCAGAACGTTGGCGTGATCGCGCTGACCGGCTGCGCCTCCCGCCGCGCCGGCTACGCCTGCTGCGTCTTCATGATTCTCGCCGGCGTTGCTAGTCGCTTCGGGGCCGCTATCGTCGCGCTGCCCCCCAGCGTCATCGGCGGGATGACGACGTTCCTCTTCACCAGCATCGTCGTCAGCGGTATCTCAATCCTGTCAAAGTGCAGGTGGACCAGCAGGGACAGGTTCATCGCCACTGCCGCACTGGTCTTCGGCATCAGCGATCTTGTCGTCCCCGACTGGCCGAGGTACTTGTTCCCCGACGGCGGATCGGTCGGCGTCGAGGGGCTCAAGGATGGGCTGGCGCTGATCGTTGGCACGAGCTATTGCATCGTTGCCCTGGTCGGAGTGCTGCTCAATGCGGTTATTCCTCAGGATAGAGGCGCTGAGGATATATTGCCGCAGACGGAGGGGGCGGATGGCGCGAAGGCCGATTGAGGAATGGGAATGGCAGCGCAGATGGGCGGTTTGCTTGTAGCCTTGTATACTAGAAATCTTAATGAATGTGATATCACGGTAATGGTAATGATGGTTGAGGGTTGAGGCCGATAGGGGAACTGGTGGATTGTGGGACTCCAGGTGAATCTCACAGTTGGCACGTACTTTTGCAAATAGGAACGCTCGAGTTCAGTGGGCCCAGTGCGATTGATACATATTGCAAATGTTGAGTGATAATTAATGCTGTGTGAGGAATCTTGGGCTTACTATGGAGTGGAATGGGCAGACCTAAGCACAATTATCACTCCCAAGCGCATGGGCTATTCACAGCAAGCTCACTCGTCTTGACTTTTGGAACTTGGAGCCACAAACGAGGCCAGATGTAGCTCTCAAGGTTCATTCAATCTGATTGCGCTCGGAAGCCAGCTGTGTCTGGGGGATCTTGGGCTTACTACGGGAGTGGAATGGTGGAGGGCAGACCAAAGAATAATTACCACTTCCCGGCCCGTTCAGTTCACGCTCACCATTCACGTCAAGCTCACTCGTGTTGGAACTTGGAACTTGGAGCTACATACATACATTATGTACATCCGAGGTCAAATACAGCTCGTAGCTCGCAGGGTTCATTCGATTTGATTCGATGCGATTGCGCTTGGAACTTGGAACTTGGAACTTGGAACTTGGAAGCCTGCCGTGTCCAGGAGCTTACTACACTGTGCTAGTATATAACCCTCGCCGTACCAGTAGCCATCCACCAGGTTTGGAGCTTGGAGCTTGAAGTGTTGGGGCTTTGAAGCCGTGCAATTCAACTATCTATCTTCACATAGCTGGCTCATTCTACCCGGGTACTCCACCTAGTTCTGATGGAATTGGAGATTGAGTGCGGGAGGGATCACTCTCACATCACTCTCTATCACTCGCCCCGGAGAGCCGGAGAACCGGAGAGTCGGAGAGTCGGAGCTTCAAAAATTGAAAGCGCGGGCCGCGCTTGGCACCGCTCGCAGCGCCCATTCGGCCCTATTATCGAGCTTGGCACGTGCGCGTGCGCGGCTCGGAGCTGGAGCTGAGCTGATTTGAGCTGAGCTGAGCGCTCACCTGTGGCATTCGGACGGGTCATTCACTCCACCCGCACAGCGCAAGAACTCCTTCAACTGGCGAAATCAACGCCGGAAAAACTTGCCCGCTATGGACAGCTGGATCTCTTGGAGTCTTGGGGCTGAAGTCTTGAGGCTGAAGTCTTGGAGGCTGAAGTCTTGGAGGCTGAAGTCTTGGAGTGAACCAGTGCCCAGCCCAATGCCCAGTGCCCAGACGAGTGCCCAGTGCCCCGTCGAGCTTGGGCTTGGGCTTGGAGTTACATAGCAGCTTTGTACTATGACATAGTGATATGTAGTGGCTTGTTCCGCGCCGTCCCCGCGCCGTTCACTCAACATCTCCAACTTTTTTTTTTGCTCGAAGGGACCAAATTCCAATTCCAATCCCACAGCAAAGCAAGCAAAGGAGCCGATCCGTGTAACAAGTATCGTACTACCGGTTATGCCGCGACTCTGCGAGTAAATATGTAGAGTAGGAATCTGACAGTATGTAAGTTTGTCAATGCGGCGATCAGTGAGTACGGTACAATATAGTAATCACAATATCGCCACTGATGCCTTGTACATAGTGTGGCAATGGCAAAGGCATCCGGGTTCCGCTCAATTCGACTTGACTCGGCGCGGCTCGGCGTTCGTGATCGAAGCCCCAGATGTACAATATATACAGACCTACCTACCCAAGCATGTAGTTGCATCCCTAGCAGAAGTGCAATTCACCCTCGCGGCACGGCAGTGGGCACTGGTCGGTCGGCCGGTCTGGAACATTCTTCCCATCCCTCCCGGCGACATTTGGGCTGTGTCTGCGTATAATACTCTGGAGTCAGCCATCCGCAGCGCCCAACGCCCAGCGACGACGGCGACTACGGCGACGACGACGACGAAGACGCTGACGACGCTCCGTTCCCCCTCCCCACTTATGCCCTATTCCCACTCCACCGAGTGAGCTGTAGTGACCCTTCGTCAGCCCCTCCCACAGCCGCGAAAGCAACATGTAACTACCGCCGCCGAGCCTTCCAGAAGCCATCTAGAGTATTGTACGTACATACATAGAGCGGAAAATAGCACCGAACGCCGGGCTGGGCGGGGTGGGGCGGGGCGGGGCATTGCAATTCCTGCGACTGTGACTGCAACGGCAATGTATGTAATGCATTCCTGGGGGCGGGGGGCGCCACCGCAACTCGGCACCGCGTCAGCCGGCCGGCTGCAGGGAGTGCCTAAGTACTTTGTACTGTGCATAAGTGAAGGCGGAGTAAAGTAAAGAACACGCACCAGCTTACATATACTACATACCTATAAAGAGCTGTGTATGTGGAGTAGAGTAGAGTATCCTGAGCTGGCCTGACCACACATACATTACATATATCCTCCCCTCTTCCCCTCACACGGCCGCCCACCACCAATCCACCCACCAATCCACCAACCAACTCACCACCCCCAATCGACCAACACCATCGATCAGTTACTCCACAACTATGTCCTCCAACGATTACTACGGCGCCTCGCAGCAGAACCAGGGGCCACCACAATACTCCCAGCCGCCACCGCAAGGCTACTCTCCCGCGCCACAAGGCTACGGCAGCCCCTCCGGGTACGCGCCGCCTCACGACCCGTACGCCGCTGCCGCCGCGCAGCAGCAAGGCTACTACCAATCCCCCCCACCTGCCGCCTCATCACCATACGGCTACCCCGGGACACCACAGTCCGGGGCGCCTTCGCAGCCGGGATACCCCCCGCCCCATCAGCAGCAGCAGCAGCAGCAGGGCTACTACCAAGGCCAGCCGCAGGAGTACGCGCAGCAGGGCGACGCGCGCGGACAGTATGATCAGCAGCAGCAGCAGCAGTACGCGCAGCACCAGCAGCAGCAGTATTATCAACAGAACCCGCAGCAGAATCCGCATCTGCAGGGGTTTCAGCAGGGGCAGTATGGTGAACATCAGCAGGGCGGGCATCAGGGGCAGCAGCCGATGCAGTACGGCCCCGATGGGCAGCCGATGGGACCGAATGGTGAAAGAGGCATGGGTAGTACTATCCTCGGTGGCACTGCAGGCGCGTTTATTGGGAGTAAGCTCGGCCTGGGAAAGTTGGGCGGCGCGGCGGCGGTATGTGTTTCTTCCCTCCTTGTGTGGGATAACAGCGGCTAATCAACGGACAGGGCGCGGTACTGGCGAATGTGCTCAACAAGAAGGGCAAGAAGCATCATTAGATCAATCTATCAATCGGGTTGTGAGGGGTGAGGGGTGAGGGGTGAGGGGTGAGGGGTGAGGGGTGGTGTGTGCGTCTGCAGGAGCTTGAGTGTCGACAGTTTTCACGAATTTCTTGGGTTATTTAGGGGTGCTTTTGGCTTTTGGGCTTTGTTTCTATTTCTATTTTTTCAACTTAATTCGTTCTTCTACATACTATCATATTTGTCCCTGTCTCGGCGTACTACCATCGCCGAAAATCCTCATCGGCTTGCTGCGGGATATGTGCTCCGGGGATACCGGTAGTGGTGCCAGCTTCGTGCGTGTGAAGGCGAAGGTCAAGGTGGTTGAATCAAGCACACGGCGAGACGAGAGGTGATGCTGTAGGTATCGAGCTCGGGCTCGGGCTCGGCGGTACACAAAACTCAGTCTCGGAGTGATGCTACCCAGACCCCACGACGACGAGGACGAACGACGACCAGTCAGGGAGAAGACGTGCCATGTTTGATCACTCGCCTGCTGGAGGAGTCTGATTTTTTGCCCACGAGGAGTCCAGGATCTCCTACCACCTACTTGACAGGTATGATACCATCATCAAGAGCATTAAACTTGCTTGTAGTACCCCAGCATTCCCCCGTGACTCCACCGTGTGCGTGGACTCTGGAGCCCCTCGTTGAATTACCTCCCTACATTACTGGATGACAGGCACAAGTTTTTACTAGACCTCCACCAATCACTAACACTGCACGGTATTCTAAACAGAAAAATCATCCGGGGTATATTTCACTCCGCTAGGTAGACTAGTACCGTATGCTCCGCGCTGTGCAAAACCAGGAACCTCATCCCACCTCATCCCACCGAACCGAACCAAATCAAGCAAGCAAGCAAGCAAGCAACCAGCCAGCCCTCCGCACCGTAACACCATTAAATCCCCTCATAAAATCGTATCACATTAAATCGTGTCGTAAATTACTCCCCCTTCCTCCTTCTGAGCCGTTCTATGCCGTCTTCTTCTGCGCCGCGGACCCCTCCTCTGTTTTCGGGTGCTTAATAGTCAAACACCAGATATCGAGGTAATCGCAAATATTCGTGACGACATCAACAACAAAGCTTCCATGTACACCCAATGCCAGCCCCAAGGACGCAAAGACGTACGCAATTTCGTAGTGTCCGTCACCGAGTACACTCGTGAGTCCGAACTTTGGGGCCCATGCGTCCGCGGCGCCGAACAGCATCGGCAACAAGAGGATGTTGGCGTATGGAAACTCCGACTTGGTCAGGTGCGCGGTGATTATCAGCCCCACTTGGTACGCGAAGGAGAGCCCGATGAAGAAGAGGAACGGGATCAGGTGCTGCTGCAGAATGGATGGACGCTGGGAGAGCCACAGTGGAAGCAACGTCCAGGTAACAGCGAAGGGTGCTAGCCCGGCGAGCGCGGGGAGGACGGGTAGGTCCTTGGAACGGCGGGAGCGGATGACGTTCTGAGAGCTGTTGGGGGGTCAGTGGTGCGTTCTTGACTTGTGGTGAGGAGGAAAGAGTGGAAAAATGTGGCATCATATGTGTGTATAAAGTTGTTGCGTTGTTTATCACCATCTGTCCCGGGAGACCCGGGACTCAGGGTTAAAAACGAATAATCATTTGCCAGTGGATGGGATGGGATGTGAACCGCAGGAACGGAGTGACTGACCTCTGGAAGACATTGAACGCCAGCATAACGCCACCATACACCAGCGTCCAGTTGGCAAAGCTCAGCTTCACGATCTCCTCGGGCAACCAAGCGGGAGCCGGCAGACCCAGGGTCGGCACCAGCGCCTGCTGCCAGTAGCTCCCACCCTTGATCGCCGTGATGAGGTAGATCGCCACAAGCGTCAACACACCCTCGACGGGTCCGGAGACGAGTCCCAAGTACAGCGTGCCGGTATGATACTCCTCCCAGGTAGTGAGGTAGAAAGCGCCCAGACTCGCAAACGCGGTGAGCAGCGTCGCCCACGACTGTCCCAGGTTCACCGTGCCCGCAAAGATTACCACTCCGAGCGTGGTATTGATCGCGTCTACACCGTGGTCAAAGAGTTCGCCGAGCGGCCCACTCTGCCCTGTCCGCCGCGCCTGCGTCCCATCGCACGCATCGAACGTCTGGTACAGGAATAGCCCGATGCCCCAGCTGGCATACACCCACCCGGGACAATCACGGTCGAGTGTGGGGTTGTACCACAGCAGGGTCAGGAAATTGACGACGACGAAGAAGAAACCGGTTAGGGTTATCAGGTTCGGCCTGTACGGATGTATCGTCAGAAAAGGCGGGTCCAGGAAGGAGGGGGGTAGAGGTGACGTACGCCATGGACATAGGAAACACATGGATGAAAAAGTTGGTATAGAACGGCTTCAGGATGTACTTCGAAACCAGTGAGTGGTCCACGGAACTGTACTTGTAGGCCTTGAGATGGCGCAACTTCGACTGGCGGATATACATCGTGGCAGCGATGTGGTGGTGGAGTTGGGGGAGGAGTGAGAAGGAGTTTGGTCCTGCCCGAGGGAGAGGGAGAGGATATAGAGGGGACGGCGGGGAAAATGTGAAAAGTCAGAAGAAACTACAGTGTTCTCTTCGAACAAGCGGGATGGGGCTCCGCCAAGGCTTTATCGTTCCAGATTTTTTTAACAACGTCACTAATTTGCAGGGGTCTTCTCTTATCTTGAACGGGAGAACATCGGCATCGGCATCTGACATCTGGGAATCCTGGAGCATCACTAGGTAGGTTGATTATCGCTATGGAGCATCTCGAGCCCAAAACATTCCCTACGTCAAGTAATTGGAACCAGTTATGAATGCAAACCGCAAGATAACAAGATGGATCACCAGTGGAAAAACAGAAAGTTCACGTATCGGCGGGAGGGTACCCGTCTCCCGGGAAGCTCCACCTCCCGTTCGCACGGCAAAATTAAAGCTGGAAATATCACGCGCGTGTAAAAATACGTCACCGCAGCATCCAATCACAATCGAGTAGCTAAAAGTACAATCATCGAACTATTGCACGTGTCCTAGCCACCCCCTACGAGCCATTAACCTGCTGCTGAACCTGACCCGCACCAGAATCGAACTCGGCCCAAGCCTGCTCCTCTCCGGGAGCGACCCAGTCCTTTACGACACCCTTGTGGTTGGCGACTCTGGCCCAGGAGATGGTCACGACGACGATCCTCGCATCCTCGCCCTCGAGATAGCACATGCTCTCGCCGGCGCCAACACAGTTGTCGGTGTGCACCTTCTTGTAGTACGCCTCCTCGTCGGAGCCGCTGTCGATGAGATGCGCGTAGCCGAAGAGCGTGGCCGAGATCGACGACAAGCACGCCGAGTTGAGGTTCGTTAGCAGCGTGGCGAGCGACGACTGCTGTGGTTTATCCTCAGACGGGGTGTCCGAGAACGAGGCGCGATGCGAGACCCAGTCGTGGACGAGCAGTGAGACGCGGGGGTTGGCGCGGAGATTGAGCGTCTTCTTGGTGGCGGACTGAACGGTAAGGATGATCACCGGACCGGACGACGGATGGGTAGCCGAGGAGGCGGGGCTGGCGGGGACGGGGTGGGGTGTCACCGGGAGGAACGTGTAGTTCATCAGCGAGACGTGCGGCCAGACGCCTCCGCTCGTGGCCAGGTGGAGCTACTCCAGGCATCAGATCAAACTGCTCCGTAGATGGCGGGAGCTCGTTCGCATAGTGGATGGAGTCGGTTACTCACATAGCGCGCATTCTTGAGGGTGCTAACGACGTCGAGCGGCAGCTCGCTGGCCGCGGCCACGGAGGTAGCAGAGGAAGCCATCCCGTGAGTGTTGTGGGGGTTGAGTTTGGTCGGGGGAGGGAAGGATGAAGGTGGTGGAGTGGGTGTCGGAGCTGCCAGATGGGATTTGCAATCCAATTGGCAGATGGCGAGGAGCTAGCGTGGGGGGCGGGGGGCGGGGGGCGGGGGGCGGGGGGCCAGGTATGAGGTATGAGGTATGAGCCCTGTGTTGCTTATGGAAGCGGGGGTTGGTGGCGGCGGGCAGCGTGCTCACATGGATGACGATGTTAATCCATTTCGGCAGGCCACTTGCGCCAAGGCGGTCCGTTCCTGGAAATAGCATTACCGCATGCGGGCGTTTGTCAACATGCCGATGCGTCTCCAGGATGATGCGATTGTGTGGATCGCCGGGCAAGCTGCAACAAACAACGCCGTGCGAGTCGGCCGCCGCGAACGGATTTTCTGGCTCGGCTCGGAATGCGATGGTGGCTGCTCTGCATCAAGGGTGCATTTGTTCCGATGCCGAAACGAGCAAGCCGAGGGGCCGCCCCTTGCGGTTCGGGACACTCGATTAGTAATTTGGCGTAGAGCAGGGCAGAGTGCCAATCGGAATCTTAGCCTCGAACGACGGATTGCCCCGCACGGCAAACGTCCTGTTTGCACGGCTGGTGATCGACTGGCCCCTCTTCCCCGCAGACCGCCAATTGCTGGCGACGGCCCGGATTTCGGGACGCTTTCCGTAGTCACTTGACGTATGCACTAGTGTGTACATACAAGCCGGTGCGATTTCTTGCCTCTCTCTCTCATTGGCAATATCATCGTAGAGGCCTGCAGAGTACCGTGTATACACAGGTTCGTCGAAGATTCCAGCATTCGGCCGTCCGTCAGCTAGTCGTTCACACCAGTTGCATCGTCACACGGTCCCGTGGCGATCGGCGACGTCGCCAATGATCAATGCATCCCCGCCGTGTCCTGCCCTGCCCCACCCCCGGCCGCATTAGCTCGCTCCCACGCAACAACTGCCTTGCGAGTTGCGAGGTGCGACCTCCTTCCCCGCACCCATCAAATCAGCTCCATCACGAGTGGCTGCACACAAATAGAAAGCGGGTCTTATTCTTGTGCCACCCTCCTCCTGTCCCTCCTCCTCATCATCTCCTCCCCACCCCGCTTCGTCCATCTCTCGACCAACCAACCAAACCAACCAAGCCAAACCCACTCCACAATCATCACCGAATTCTCTCGTTTGGTCGTTTCCGTTCCCGTTCCCCTTCCCCGCGAAAGCTAGTATAGCTTGAGCTTATCCAGCACCGCCATGTTCCGCCGGCAGCTCGTCGTCGCGGCCGCTGGGCGCCGCGCACTCTCGACCACCGCCGCGCTCAATGCGCAGCGGATCCCTACTCTCGGCGACGTAACGCACTCACCGCAGAACAGCGCGGCGTTCCGCGAGCGGCTCAAGGCGTACCGGGAGCAGCTTTCAGCGCAAAAGAAGGCTGCTGCGGCGGCGGCGGGCGCCAACGTCGAGCACCACAAGGGCGGCATCGTCAAGTCGATCCTGTACGGCTCGGAGAAGGGCCAGCGCGAGGAGGCGGAGATGGAGCAGTCGTACTCGACAGTCCTTGCTAGGGGGAAATATGTCCACGCCATCGAGTTCCACCATGTCAAGCCGGATAGACACAGCGAGTATGTAGAGCTCGTCGGAAATACCTACCCAGAGATCGCTGCGGATAAGGCGAACAATTGCCATCTGGTCGGCAGCTGGAAGACCGAGATTGGCGATGGCGATACTTTCGGTATGTGCCCCCGTTCCCATCCCTCGCCCCCCATCCCCCCCGCAGTATTGATCTTACTGACCCACGTGTGCAGTCCACATCTGGGAATACCAAGGCTATGCAGGTTACCACAACACGCTCCACAACCTCGCCACGAACACGCCCGCCTACGCAAAGTTCTCGCAATTGCTGCCCTCGTACCTAACCGGCCGACGCACGGACCTAATGCAAGAATTCTCGTTCTGGCCTACGTCTCCACCCCGCAACCTCGGCGGCGTCTTCGAGCTGCGCAGCTACACGCTCAACCCAGGCAACCTCCTGGAGTGGGAGACGCACTGGCGGGCGGGGCTGCAGGCGCGCCGGAACGTGATGGAGGGCGTCGGCGCGTGGTTCACACAGGTCGGTGCGCTGAACTCGGTCCACTACCTTTGGCAGTTCCAGGATCTCAGGGAGAGGCAGGTTGCCAGGGAAAAGAGCTGGGGCGAGAAGGGCTGGAGCCAGACGGTCCATAAGACTATTCCGCTTATTCAGAGGATGGAGTCGAGGATTCTGGTGCCGCTGCCGTGGAGTCCTGTTAGCTAGTCGGATGGATTGCGCGATGTGATGAGCGGATAAGACGAGGGGGAGTCTGTTTTTTGTGGCTTTGATTGTTCGCATGCTGCTGCTTCTTGGGTACCTTTGGCATCGTGGGTGGTGGGTTGTTTTTCTGGCTTCTAGCTGCTTTCTTTCTGGCATCTGGCTTCTAGCTGCTTGCTTTCTAGCTGCCTGCTTTCTGGCTGCTTGCTTTCGAGGTTGACATGGCATGCATTGTCCATTCCATGTTTCTTGCCCATGTTTCTTGTCCATGTTGCATGTTGCGTGTTGTTTCCATGGAACCCTTGGATCTTGGATCCTGGAGACGAGATTGTACTCTGCTGTACTGTAGGTAGTTGCGTGGAAATTCTACACACAGACAGCTGGTTCAATGCGAGTCTTTGGTGTTGGTGTTGTGTCGTATGTGTCGTATGGGTCGAATGGGAAAGAGATTGGAAAAGAGTCGTCTTTCGTGATCGGAGTCGTCGTTCGTGATCGGAGTCGTCGTTCGTGATCGGAGTCGTCGTTCGTGATCGGAGTCGTCGTTCGTGATCGGAGTCGTCGTTCGTGATCGATCTTATGTAGCGGGGGAGGGGCCAGCTTAATTACCGAAACTCACTAGCTGGTGAAGCAAGTCTGGAAAGTTGAAACAGCTTGTACCGAAAACACTAGCGTAAGTATTCCACGACTTCCGTCAACTCTCGTCAACGATTGTGGTGCACAACTATTAACAGTATTCGGCTACGAGGCTACATCCCGTCACTACCTCTCACTCCCCCTTACTCACTTCCGCTCCGGAAATTCATCTTCACCTTTAACCTCGTCACGGTTCCTTACGGCTTCTTGTTCACTCTCGCTGTTTACTCCCGCTGTTCACTCTGGCTATCCACTCCCGCTGTTCACTCTCTCACTTCTCATCCTCACTCCTCTCCTCGCAACCCCACGGGCTTCATATGAAACGCACCGAGTTATGTGCATACAATCGCAATCGCCTTTCACACCCACATTCCACACCCGCCATACCAGCCACAGTGCCATACGCAAAACCGCGAAACCACATTTCCACCCGCAAAACCGCAGTGCCATACGCAAAACCTCAACCGCAAAATCGCAGAACCAAACCAAACAGAAACCCGCAGAACCAACCAACCAACCAGCCGAAACGAAAAAAAACATAGACATAAACATCAACACTTCAGAAACCTTAGAACCAGAAAAGCATAGGTACACCCGATCCGATCCGGTATGGTTACTGAGCTGAACCCCTTGTCCCCATTGTCCCCATCCATCCCCATCGCATTTACCCGCCCACCCACCGCCCGCCGCCCACCGGGTTCCACCACCCACCGTGACGTCGCATTTGTCCATCCGTCCGTTCATCCCCTCCAGACAAACACAGAAAACCACACAGCAAAGCGCAACAAAATCACGCGAGACGGAAACGAAGAAGAAGAAAAAAACAAGAAGTATCCACCAACCCTCCGAGCCAACGCCGTATGTAGTAAAATTACTAGAAAGGTAAACATCAACAGAAAGCGAACCAAACAAAGCAAAGCAAGGAAGAAGGAAGGAAGGAAGGAAATGAGGAAAAAAACAACAAAGCCCCAGCCAGAAACTCCCGACCCAGAAGATGAAGCAGAAGAAGATATGTACACCCCTCGCCCGTCCTTCCAGGCCAGGTCTCACCTTCTAACACCAGTGGTATTTGCAGACTACTACCTATCTATGCTCAAGGGTTGATGATGAAACTCACAAGTGGATCTTGACCATACCCGTTTTGGCGCCCAGGTTGATCGAGCACTCGGCCACGACGCAAATTTTCTTGACGCTCTTTCTGGCGCGCTTGGAGCCTGTGAGCGGGATGCTGCGGAAGGAGTGGGCGCAAGTGCCGCAGTAGCACTGTGCCATGGGTTAGCCAGCATGTTCGGGTACGGATGGATGGATGGGAGATGGATGACATACATGACCGCATTTGCCGGCCCAGACCTCACCGGCCTTCGGCGTGGCAGGATCATCCACTTCGGTACCTAACTCCTGGTCGCAATGGACACACACGAGCACGTCCGAGTCCTTCGGGCTCCTGGTGAATCCCAATTTTGCCGCGGCTGGCGTCTTGTAATCGACGTTTCTGAGAGCTGCAGCATCCAACGGAGGACTGTCGCGCTGTCGTCTGAAGATCCCCGGTGCCTGAGCTGTGTAGTCCATGTTTGGCGCCTGGAACCCGCCTCCTCTTGCGAGAGCTTGAAAGCTACCACGAGATCCAATGGTCGCCCATGCGGGACGGATAACCCCTGCTGGGCCTCCTCCTCCTCCTCCTCCTCCTCCTCCCCCTCGTTCTCTTGCTCCCGGCGCCCATCCCGGATAACCACCCGGCCCACCCGGTCCACCCGGTCCTGCCGCTCCACCCCCTCCTACCCGTCCCCCCGGCCTTCCTGCTGCTCCATCATGCTGAAAGAAGAGAGCCTCATTGGGCCCCATATCTGGACCTCGCTGACCGATCCTGCCTCCGTGGCCTAATATCGGATCCTCCTGGACCTGCCCACCGGCGCCATTCCTCGATCTCGCACCTGGCTGGAGCACTTCGAACGGATTATCTGGTAGCACAGGGATGGGAAAGCCCCTTCCCGTGATCCGCTGTCTAGCATGTGCTCCAGGCGCGAACATATACCTTGAGTTGTCATCCGGTAGCGCATCCACGTCGATGATCTCGGCGAACGGCGGGGGACGGGTCGGTCGTCGCTGGGACGGTGGTGCGTCCGGCGACGACGAGCCCGTCAGATCAATCACTGGTATTGCTCCGCGTACTGGCATGAGGTGCTGTTGTATGTTCGGTGGCAGGAAGTGGAAGAATGCTGGTGGGTTGGGGAGGCCGTAAACCGGCTGCTGCTGTTGCTGTGGGTCGTGTGCTGATCGCGTGTGTGGTGGCCCGTACGGGAAGCGAGCTAGTGGTTGGGAGGGTGGAGGTGGTGGTGGAGGTGGTGGTGGTGGGGGTGGAGGTGGAGGTGGAGGTGGAGGTGGCGGCGACGGAGTATGTGCTAGCTGGTAGTGGTGTAGGTGTTGGAAGTGAGGGCAGGGATGGTTCGAGAAGGTTTGAACGTTACGTTGAAAGTGTTGCAGGTGTTGGTTGACCTGCTGTTGTTGGAGCTGGAAGTGCTGCTGCTGCTGCTGCTGTTGAAGTAAGAAGGGGGGTGGTTGTGAGCGCTGTGGGTGCGGCTCTTGTCGTTGCGGTGGTGGCGGCTGTCGGTGCAGCTGGGGCAAACCGCCGCAATCCTGCTGTCGGTAGAGAGGGTAGTTGTGGAGGAGCGGCGGCGGTTGCGGGAAAGCCTGTGATTGCGGAAGCTGCGGAGGGGCGGCAGCGGAGGAGGAGAAAGCAGAGGCAGAAGCAGAGGCGGCGACAGGAAAGCGGTAGGGCTGTGGAGCAGACGAAGCGGCATCGGGGTTCTCGTTCTAAGTGGTGGCGGCAAGAGGGAGTTAGTCTGGAACTGCCTCGATTCTTTTTTTTTTTTTTTTTTTGTATTTTATAATTATAATTCAATTATTATATCAATGTTTTTCTTTCTCCCACTTTCGGTGGAGGCTCGGTTCAAGTTTCGACTCGGCCCATCGCTAGAGGGGAGTAGAGCAGTCGAGAGGGTGACGAGCGAAGAGAGCAAACAGCGAAGAGCGAAGAGAGAGCACAGTGGATTGTAAGGAGAAGGGAGTGGAGAGTGCGCGAACAAAGGGCGGGAATAAGAAGGGAGGGAGGGGGGAGATATGGAAATAAGACGTGAAGTCGGACATCACATGTATCGCCATTCGCACCACACCGGCTATCAATTGCCACCCCGGAAACAGAACGTACCTGTTGCTGTTGCTGGCGTTGCTGCTGGTGCTGCTGCTGTTGATGGTGGTGCTGGTGGTGTTGCTGATGCTGGTGCTGGTGCTGGTGCTGATGCTGGTGCTGGTGCTGGTGCTGGTGCTGGTGCTGCTTGATCCTTCTCGTGGGCGGGCCAACGTCGATGTCCTCGAGCATGGGATGGACCATTCGCGGCGGCGGCGGCGGCGGCGGAGGAGCAGACATCACAGTCTCTATCTTATCTCGTCGCTCGTCGTCGTCGCCGTCGTGTTCTTCGTCGTGCTGGTGGTGTACGGGGGGTGGTGGCTGTTATGTACTCTAGAGTACGGTATGGTGGTAAGCAGTGTCGCGGTTTCGTAGCTGAGCCGTTCGTTCGTTCGTTCGCTCGTTCGCCTCGTGCGAGCGAGCGTATGGTACAGTGGATCCGAGGAAGGTGCGGAATGGTCGGTCGACGGTCGACGGTACGGTCGACGGACTGGCTCCCCGGGTGAGGAGAAGAATACGAAGAATACGAAGAAGAAGAAGAAGAAGAAGAAGAAGAAGAAGAAGAAGAAAAAGAAGAGGAAGAAAAAGAAGAGGAAAGAGGAAACAGGAGGTGTGTGCGTGGAAATTAAATCCAGGTGATGCGAGTCGAGTCCCGTAAATCGATTCTCCTCCTTCTGCTTCTGCTGCTGCTGCTGCTTCTTCTTCTTCTTCTTCTTCTTCTTCTTCGGCTTCTTCGGCTTCTTCTTCCTCAGCTTCTTCTTCTTCAGCTTCTTCTTCGTCTCCGTAGTCTTGCCTCCCAATAAGCAAAACAGAACAGAATACAGCAGAGCAGCTGGCCTCGACGGTACGTCGGTACCTACGTAAGAAGCATCTACCCAACTGGAGCCCTGCACTCACGCACGCACGTACATATTCGCCTCATTATACCACGTCTCGCAGAATCTCGCAGAATCGCAGTCTAGAGTCAATCCCCAGTCGCCTAACTTCTCCGCAGTCTCCGCAACCTGCTTCCTTCCCTTCCTTCCATCCTTCATTTCCTTCAATGTTTTCCCCACACCTTCAAGAAAGAAATAAAGAAACAACAAACCCAGCAGTGACCGTGGCCCAGCCAGCCAACCAACCATAATCCGCAGAGCACGGGCGTTGGGGGTTTGGGGAAATGCACTAGAATTAGTCTACTTAGACGAGCATCCGGTAACTTACAAGCAGTAACTAACGAGAGTAACTAGCCCCTCGCGTAAGTGCTTTTCTCAAACACCAACAGCGACACCTTCACCTTCTTCACCGATATCGACACTGCAGTTACCGATACCAGTTCGGTAACTATTCTACACTTACATAGAAGATCGAGCCCCGCCATATTCATACATAGAGTAGAGTAGAGTAGAGTACCCATAGTTGCGTGGTGCACACTGCTCACTTCACTGCACTGGTCCTCGAGTCGTGCTGCTGGAGTGCTGCTACTACTGCTGGAGTGGCGTCATCGACTACTCTACCTGACTGACCTGACATGAAAGACCCGAAAGACCTGAGAGTGAACAGCGAAACAACACACCGCCGCCACTGCAACTCGCTGGCTCTCCACGTGCCATCGCTTCACTCAGGTCGGTGCATCACTCAGGTCGGTGCATCACTCAGGTCATTCAGTCAGGTCAATCAGGTCGTGTATGTACTGTACGTAGCAACGTAGCAACGAAACGTGCCAGGGCCCTGGAGTGATATGGACGAATCACTCAGTCTTTCATGTGTTTCTGTGTTTCTAGAGTACTACTCTCTCCCGGTAGTATCCACCGACTTCCTGGACCATCTAGAATTACCAATAGATATACCCAGTATGTAGATGCATTTTCTCTCCGTTCTAGAATTACCAATAGGTAGATCGAATTTCTCTCTCTCTGTTCTAGAATTACATCCACCTCTTCCCGCCGCGCCCCGCCGCGCCCATCCCACCCGCCCCGTTTCCTCCACATGCATGCACGAATCATCCCCCTCGCTCCCCGCCTCGCCGACAGCACGGGTATCTACGGCGCCGACAGCACGGAGAGGATACCCTCGGCGCTGACGGCGACGAGGCTAGCTCCGCGGGCGCCCCAGGCGGTCGCAACAGCGGAGACCGCGGTGCGGAGCGGCTCGGCCCAAGCCTTATTCGCCTTTTGGTACTGCTGGACGCTGACGCCGCTTGATCCCGCGGTGGCGAGGAACTGTCCGGAGTAGTCCCAGGCGACGTGGTCAACGCGGTTGCCGATGTCGATGCTCTTTGTCATGGCGACCTTGCGGAGGTCCCATATCTCGGCGGTGGTCGACGCGGCCAGCGACATCGCTAGCCAGTACCCGTTCTCGGAGAAGCTGAGCGATGAGACCCCCGCTGCTGTCGGCCCGAGCGTGGCTACTACTTCGGCGGAGCGCACGTCGAATACTTTCACTTCTGTGGGCGTGCCGAGCGCGAATAGGTGCCCGTCCGGATGGAATTGCGCCGCGGTGAGCTCTAAGGATGGGTTAGTGGGCCACTCGTAATCCGTGGGTGAGGGGGGGAGGGAGAGACGTACTGCTCTGATCGTAAACCTGCACCACCGACTTCCCAGCGCCAATGTCGGTCAACACCCAACTCTTATCCGCACCGGCACTGGCAACAATGCTCTTGCTGGGGTGGACCGCCAGGGCAACAACGTCTCCAGCATGGGCGGCGACCTCGATGCTATCAGAGCCCTTCTCGTTCCAGACCCTGACAACGCCCGACGCCGACGCGGTGACCGCCGACTTCCCAGCCCACGCGACATCGTTGATCGCGCCGTCCTGCGCCTTGAGCGGGTGCAGCAACTGCTGCTGCGAGAGCGAGTAGACGCCGGCGATACCGTCGGCACCACCCACCAGCGCCAGGTCCCCAGACGGGTCCAGCGCGATCGCTTTGGTGCCAGGGTAAAGGGGCTCCGACGTGAATGTAGTCTTGAACTGCGACACCGTCTCCGCCGTCGCCCAATCCTCCGGTATCGGACGCTTCTTGCGACCTACCTGTAGCCTATCACATCATCAGCCCACATCCCCAACCCACCCCCACCCCCTCACCACCATCAGAAGCACATACTCAGCCTTCGTCTCCTCAACCTTCTCCTGGATATAGCTTGGGACCTGTGGGGCATCGACCTCCATCTGTTCACCAGCCGTAGTGCCCGCGCCGACCGTGACATGGCTCAGCGCCTCCCTGGCCTCATCGCGCTCCCTGAGCAGGCGCGCAATGACCCTCGTCGCCGCATCGTGCTGGTACAGCGCGGTCGACAGCTCCTGCCGCGTCTGCACCAGCTGCTGCCGCAGCGTATGCGTTTCGAGCGCGAGCGCGTCCCACTCGTTCTGGAACGTGGCCAGCAGCGACGGGATCGAGGTCAGTGTTGGCGGGCGTGGTCGGACGACGTTGGAAGCTGCACGCAAACACCATCAGTTCCCCTCCCCTCTTCCTCTCCTAAGTTGCAGGCACGAATGGAACGGACGCGTACATTTCAATTCGATCAGATCCTGGACCGCCAGCTCCTCGCCGGTGACGGGGTCCTTCCCGTGCTCGGCAATGTACGCCTCAATCAGCCGCTTCTCGAAGACGGTGCCGGACTTGACCGATGCCACAGGAGTCGTCGGTGCCTCGCCGGATACTGCACGATTCGTCTTCCGTTAGTAAACCGCTCGGCTTTTCCATCTCAATCCCTAGAACTGCAATGGCCGGGAGGAAGGGCAGGTGGGGCGAACTCACTCGCGCACAGCATGCTCATGGTCGCTCAGGTATCGAAGGATTCTTTCTATTTTTTGTTTTTTCAAGGGGCGGGAGGGGTGGTCGTGAAAGGTGGGAGGTGGAATTGGAATTGGAATTGGCGTGTGGATTGTGGATTGTGGATGTGCGAGTGCGCGTCGCAGTTGGGCTGCAAAAGCTGGAACCTGCCACTGGGATGTGGTGGTGCTAAACACGCGAATTGAGCCAAGACTGACTGGAAAGAGCCGCAGTTTACTCTATACATACACCATCACGGGTTGGAACTCGAGATTCTACAGTCTCGAGCGGTTCGAATGACAGCACAGGCGTGGAGAATGGGAATTATTTCTATGTGGAGCAGGTTGATGATATTCACACTATCTGACCCGTAACTAAAATCAATTGTTCCAGACGCAGCAACAATGCAACATAAGCTGTAACTTCTGGATCCTCCCCAGATCCCATCATATGTAGGTAGAATACAACGCCGCAAACCTCGCATCCCCTCCACTCCATGCCATAACAAAACACATAAATACTATTAAATTGACCCCCCTCCCACCCATCATCCTCCCTCTCTACTCTACTCCACGACTTTCCTGACCTTCCTCCCAGTAGTGGGCCCGGCCGCCCTCGTCTTGACCTGCGGCTTCTTGAGATGATGTTCCGGAATCCAGCCCTCGTCGTACTGCGCGCCCGTTCCCGACGAGAGGACCACGGGAGCGACGGGCTTGGGAGTATCAAACTTCCGCTTCTGCTTCGGCTGCACGCTCGCGATCCACGTGTTGTACGCAACGTACAGCGTGCCTGCGAAGCCTGCGGCGAGGAGAATGTACAGGAACAGCCTGGGTGGTCAATTAGTTACTGGCAGAGACCGGGGGGAGGGGAGGAATACATCTGCGGATCGAAAATACTCGCCTCAGGCTCGACGATGAACACAGTTCCGTTGTAAGCCTGAACGCTGACGACCTCGCCGGCGGGGGTAGTGATGACAACGGCGACGACGAGGTTGAGCACCTGCTCTGCCAGGTCCGCGGTGAAGGCGTACTCCTGGTCGAGCTGCAGCTCAGATTCCAGCACGGTACCGACCTTGGCGCTGGTGAAGTTCTTGACGACGACGTTGCGCGCGGTGTCGACAAGGCTGGCGCCAATGTACTCGACCACGATCGGCTCCGCCTCCTGGTTCGCCACCTGCACGTTCACCGTGGTCGCGACGCCATTGATGAGGCGTGGCCGCGCGGCGAGGTCCAGCGGCGCGGCAGGGAACGCTACGTCCGCCGTCACGTTGAGGTGGCGGGCTTGCGGCGTCGGATTGCTCGAGGATGTGCCGAAGAACTGTGCGGATGCGGTTGCCGCCGAGAGGAGGATCAGATGGAGGAGCTTCATCTTGGAAGGCAATTGAGAAACTTTAGGCGGAAAAACGTGCTATGGGTTGCGAAGTTTGGCGGAAGAGTTACGGACAGAGTGTATCTTTATGCTGCATGGTGCCAGGTGGCTAGTGATGCACGTCATACCGTGTCACCACATGACTGCCGAGAACACTCCGAAATATCACTGGCCACGCTGACTCCAGCCAGGCCACGTCTGGAGACAAACAGAATCGAGAACGGATAGTCATGGTAGGAACCACGTAGATGCAAACACTTGTATCACCGTCTCTCGCCCACTCGAATCACCTCCAAAAAAGTATCCAAAATCCACCGTCTATATAACTATAAAATTACTCTATATCAAGCTCCACCCACTCCTCGTCCAGTCCAGATCCATCCAGGTACTTATCTCATCTATACTCAGGCACAAAGAATTAAGGAAAAGTCGCGGTAAGAAACGCCCCCTCGTTGTGATGCAAAAACACGAAATGAAAAAAGATGCTGTGGATGCCCGAAACAAACGCCCCAAAACACAACTGATAAAGGTAATACAAAAGCGTGATGGATCCCAATCCTTAGTTTTTGATACAAGAAAGGAAGAAGGTAATAAAGAAATCTAAGGTTTGTGAATTAGGATGGAGAGTCTATAGTCCGCCAAAGACCTTCTTCCCCAGGAGTAATCTGCTCTTCTTCTTGATGCTCTCTTCGGAATCTTCGTCCTTGTTTTGGGGTGGTCGACTGGCAGTACTGTGGTGGGTGAGATTTGTGAGGTGGCGTCCGAGAGCATTTGCAAATCCTCCTCCCTAGAAGTCAATCAGCATGTATTCTTGAGCTAGTAGAAGCGGTGAAGGTTACCTCAGAGTCTTCCGAGAGACTTGTATTGTCGGTGACAGTACGAATACTTGGGCTGCTGCCCGACCCATACATGGACAGGCCAGACAGATTCAAGGAATCGCTTCGAAAGATCGACGGCGCGCTTCTCGCAGGGATGGCTGTAGCCGGCCGCGTAAGGCTGAAGGCATCATTCATGTTCTGGGAGTTGTCATAAGCGGTACTTGGGCGACTGGGCTGTGTCCCGAGGGCTCCGTTATTGGCCATCATCCGGAGCAGGTTGCCCTGTGGCTTCTCTGGCCGATGATGTGTCAACTTGTTCTGGATAATTGCACCGGTGTGGGATATAAGAGCGCGCATGATGTCTTTCTTCAACCGCATGGCGAGGTCGAGGTTCGACCAGGTGCGGTTGCGGTACTCCAGCATGGGCATCTTGAAGACCAGTTCGTGGATATCTTCGATGTTTTTGTCGCCACGTCCCTAGATGCCAAAGGTCAGAACAACTTTGTCACTATCTTACACACACGGGGTCGACTTACCTTGTAACTCAAGCACAACACCACGCTGGGGATTTTGACATATGCCAAAGTCATGTAGTTCGACGCCCTAGACATCATCTGCGAGAGCTCATCGGATCTCTGCTCCAACGTCTCATTCGTGCTGGAAGTCCTGCTGAACAGCTGCATCTTCTTGCCCTTCTCGGGCACGTACAAGCTCGGAGCTTGCCCCTCAGCTGACCTCCTCGACATCATAGACAGGTTATCAGCGGACGACTTGCGAGTCAAAGGTCTGCTACCGCCGCCGAATCCAAACAACGAAGCCGCGCTCGAAGTCTTTGGCCGAATCATTTCCGAGTAGGATGTCGACGGTCGCTGCTGGTCGTTTGTCAGCGACGTTGTCGGCCGCAGGTGGAGACCCCCATGGCCGGATATGGAGCTCTTAGTGGAGGAGCTATCATCATTTGGTTGTTGAGTTTGAGTGTCGACGACGTGGACAACCTCGGTGTCGCTTTCCGACTCCTCGGCTCTATCTGGGAGCGGCTTCATCGAGTGGACCAGGAACGGCGAGAAGCCGCTAGCTGTCTCGCCATCACCCTTTCCAGCCTCGGGGAAGATGTACTCGAAAATCTTCTCTCCGATCTCCCGCTCCAACTGGATCTTGAGCGGAATCAGGTTGACCTCGAAGTGATCCATCACCGGGATTCCAGCAATGGCCTCCAGCATGTTCCAGTACACCCGCAGAACCTTGGTGTGTCGAACCTCAGGCATAGCCCGAGGATCGACGAATGGCGCAATCATCTCGGGATAAATAGCATCAGGCAGTAGATTGAAGCCTCTCAGCATCTCCACTTCGAAAGTGTTAAGGTTCGATCCATCCGCGTTATCGATGCGTTCGAACGCTGCCTTCTGCAGCATAACGTCCATGAGAGGATCCGACTTGTCGCGGAGTAGATGCCAGATGATTTCGGAAGCCGTGATGTACCAGCGGACCATTCCACTGGATTGTGCTGACCGATCCTCGTACTTTCGCTGAGCGGTTGTGATCGCCTTCATCATAAAGAACAGCTCCTCCTCGCAGCTTGCCAGATCCTCCTCGACGCTAAACTTCCCCCTCCAGCCCTCGGAATCTAGGTTTTGAGTGTTGAGCATGAAGTGCGACTTGATCTCACCTAGCTGGTGAATCCGGTTCTGAAGACACTCCACCATCTCGGGCGCACCGGTCAAGTCGCTGAAGTCCGAGGCCAGCATGATCTTCTCCAGCTTCTCACTGCGGACTTTCTGCGCCGGCTCGGAGTACAGAAGCAAGTCCATGATGATGATATACACAGCGAAATACTGGTTAGAATCGCACGATGCTTCAACGCGCGGGAAGTCTACCCAGACATGGTCGACACGGCGCTCGGTCTCCAGTGGCCCGTTCTTGGTGCCAGACTTTCCAGCCTCCACGTCGCTGACTTGATCGCTGTACTTCAGACGCAGCGAATTGTGCTTATCGTACCGCAAGGTGGCAGACGTCCTCTCGACCACACGCGAGAAGCCGACCGGAATCTGTCGGAAATCGAACATGCTCTCCAGGGGTACCCAGGGAGGCCATGACGAGCCGATGGGGGCACCGTATCGATTCTCGGAATGCAACGACATTGATTGCGATGCAAAGTCCCGATGATGCGACACGAAAAACTGCGTATTATCCAGATTGAGAGCGAATCGTCGCTGAACCAATCCGCTGACCTCATCTCCTATCCTGCCACGGTCCATGATCGACACAATCTTAAGCTGCATGCCTTGAGCAACCACAAGCACAGCGGCGCCTTTGTTCTTGTCGCTTTGCATCTGGATCTGTGGGGCGATAAGTCGGACATGGAAGCTGTTCTGCGGAATGTAGTCCTCTGCCACGTCGCCTCCCAGGTCACCCCGAGCAAGCCCCGTTGCGGCTTCGTCAAGTCCAGTTGTTTTGAACGACTGCTCGTCTGCCATAACAATCTTGATGTCGTCATTCAACAGCTGCTGGATCCGGCTCTCCAATGTAGCACTATCAATCTGTTCATCCATATTGCATGGACCTGACGTTTTGAACTCGGTGCGTCCGGAGGTGGCCGGTTGGCTAGAGTTCTTTTGCTCTTCGATGATGTCCAGAATGAACTTGATGGCCCTCCGCGACATGTAGTAGATGAAACCACGCCTCTGTCCAACCTGGTGGATATACTTGAGAATGATGTTCCTCAAAGGATTACTCCATTTCGCTTGCATGTTGTGCACGATAAACCGATTGTCGAAGTCACTGGCATAATCCGCAAACTGCGTCCCATCCATACCAGGAATTTCCGAATCCGAGTCGGAATCGGCATAGTTCTCATAATCCTGACGTCCGCTGCCTTTCTCCCCATCATCAAGCTTGCTCGATATTTTCCGCAGCATGGTCTGCAAGAATTCTCGCATGTTGAAGAGAACAGAGCTCTGCTTGATGAGCCTGTCTGACTCGGCCTTAAGGTCGAGGTCATCGGGATTCAACTTTGTGTGCAGGGCCAAGCTCTCGATGGCCTCCTGGTTCCAGCTCATCTGCTCGTTCACACGCTCCAACCGGGCCTGAACAAGGGCGCACTGGATCTCTCGTGGATCGTTGTTCAACGACATGATGCAATCGTGCGTTGCCTCGTTACCGAACGGACTCAACGGGGAGATCTCGCCGGAATGATCCGTCTGTCGGAAGTATGTGAAGCGTGGAGCGTATGCAAGAGGCATGATCTTGGTTTTGGGCGTTTTCCCCTTGGACGTTTCCCAGTCCAATTCCACGAAGTCGTCCATATCGCTCCAGGTATAGTCGCTGTCGGTGACTGTGAACTGCGACAGGTCTCCAGTGTATCTGATCGTGTCGGACATGTAAAACGGTCCGTCGGAACCGTGACTCATGAGTTCCTCCAATGTCTCATGCTGCATGACGGCATGCACTGCTCGGATGTCCGCGGAGTGGAAGTCGAGCTCTGCTTGGTTGATCTTCATGCTTGTGCTTCCCGGGATGACAACTGATTCCTCGCGACGCATGTGGATATCCAGGAGGAACGTATCCAGTTTTGCCTTGAGACCAGTGGCAGCGACGATATCGTTGCCGGCTTCATCTTTGTCATGGTATTTGTAAATGTGACTGATGAATAGCGGAGAGAGGCACAGCTTGTATTTGACCGTTGCGAGATGCCTTCCAAACTTCTTGGTCGATTTCTCCGGGCCAGGCCATAATGGTCCTTGTCTGATGGGCAGCGACATGACGCCAGAAAACAATGACCACCATGCGAAGAAATGAGTGAAGAACTTCGGAGTGAGATGAATGGTATTGTAACTTGTAGGCGAGCTGGAATTGGCAGGAGACCAGTCCTTCTCTATCGGTGACACGATAGCCAGCGACAGATGCAAGTGATGACTTCGGAATCCGCGGAACGCATCGTAAACCTGTTATCCATCATTAGCCTCTTATTGTAACCGTGAGTTCTGGGTACTGACCTCGCCCGGCGGCGCTTTCGCGTACTCTGGGGCCTTCAAAGTGACCTCATAATGGGGTTTGAACTCGAAAGACCGACTCCTCAACTTCCAGTCCTCCTCAAAGGATGTCTCTTGCTCGAACATCAATCCAACAAGCCATCTGACACGACCCGAAAGCTTCATGATGACTTTCTTGAATTGCGCGAAATTGTCATAGCTACTCGTACTCTCGATGCTCCTCGTCTCAGGCAGGACGCCGATGTCGATATCATCCGCAACGTGGTTGGTGAAGTCTGGAATGGCGAGTACAAACACCTCACTGTCGACCTGGATAACCTTCCGTGGATCTTCGTGCACATTGAGGTCCCAGCGGACGTCACCCCTCCAGCACATTACGAATCCTGCGCCATCGCCAACCAAGCTGTAGGGATCCCTAGAGCCCTTCAGGGCTAGGTGAACATCGCCGTCACCTTCCCACGCCAGCGATATTTGCGAGTGGAGTATCAGTCGGATTTTATCCCAAAAACCTGTTCTCTCACTTGGGTCGACATGCGGTTTCGTAAACGTTTCGAAAACCATCATCATATCCTGGATTGCCGGTTGGTATGACGTACACCAACAGATGCGAGTGGCGTAACTTGTGTTGATCGAGACCTTGATGTCAGAGTACGATTTGACTGGCGAAACTGTTCTTCGCACGTCGATAGCAAAGCCGCCGTGTAGGATGCCGTCATCTCTCACCGGAGGAACGATGTTCACCTTGGCTTGTCGCATTGATTCAGGGCCTCGGAACTCCTCGGCCAGTACGAAGTCTGCCTGTAGCATCCATGCGTGTCCTAGTTGTCCCACACGGGTGTGGGGTACATGGATGAACGGCAGTGGGTAGTCCCTGAGCAGTACTCTTCCTTCGTTGAAGGACAACTTAATGCTGAGCGGAACCAGTAGAGCAAACAGAGTGTCCTCTGGTAGCCCCTTTCCAACTCTGTGTAAGAACTTGGGTAACTCGCTGAGAGGGAATGATGGCTTGTCGACACCGATGGACACGTCGTTGAAGAACGCAGCCATCAAAGATGGCCGCATCGGCAACCCAAGAATCGTCTCGGTCTCGACAGAATCTGTGGGTAGATCGTCATGGCCCCAAAACATTTCCCGTGCCTCGCCCATGCGAACCCGTTGCTGTTCCTTGGCCAACCTAATGCGTTTGATCCAGGCCACGGAGCTGAGTTCCTGAAGCCTTTCCCAGGCCTCCTGGATGGACACCGACGCATTACCGGAAGGACCGGCTGCACTCTCTGGATCGTAGCGCATGTTCTTGCCGCCGAGCGGTGGCGCTGCCGACTGTTGTCTGCTTTTTGGTCGCAGGCTGTTTGCCAGAGTGGACTCCTGCCTCCAAGTCCGGGCCCTGGTGCGGAATCGGTGTGATTCGGCAGCGGCGGGTGCGTTTGTCCGGTTGGCTTCACCGGATCTCCTCCTCTCCTGCTCTTCCATCTTCTTGACCTTGGCCTCGAATGCTGATTCTCTAGCAAGTCTCTTCTTCTGCTCCGCTACACCAACTCGATAAATCAAGCCCAGTTTAGCCTCGAAGGGATCATCCTCCAGTTCCAGCAGCAACGCTTTGGTCTTGAGAGATACTTTGGGCACAATCTTCGCGCCCTCGGGCTTCTTCTCCAAGATGTATTCGTTGGTGCCAGTCTTGAAGCGATGGTGCATCTGCTGGCAAGCTTTGACAGTGTTGAGGACATTATCGGTAACCTTGTACAATGTCATCTGGTGAGGGATCGCAATTCGGATGGCGTCGGCCGACAAATCGATTGACTTCTCGTCCGTGACTTTCTCCTCCGATCGTCTCTTGACTTCACGGAGATCAAGCCGGAAGTGCCTCAAGCTGATGAGCCTCGCCCAACAGCTCTTGACCTTAGGAGACTCGGCATAGACTCGGCAATGTTTCGTCTTGAGGAACGGGAATCCCCACCGGTGGCGTCCAGTGTCCAGCTGATGTATTTCCAACATCATCGGAGGATCGTTGGGCATGCTGGCTTTGATCTTCACATATTGCAGTTTCACATCGACACTGACGAATTCGATTTCCTCGTCCTCCCATTCCGGGACTTCCACGGACTCCTTGTCGCTGCATCGTTGAGTGTGGAGCTCGTGGTCAACCGCGTGTTGTGTTGACTGGGCATTAACACCGGCTGCTCTTGCCATGCCTCCGAAGGATTCACGCAGAACCTGGGCGGCAACGATGACACTGTAGTGGCGGTACATCGAGTAGTTGAGGAAGAATGACTTCGAAAACGAGCTGATATGGAGGACGGGGCCTTCGGCGTCATTGCTGGTGGCGAACGCGAGATCGAAATGAGGAAGTTGCATGAATGGCTCCTGCTCCCAGGAATCCGGGCCATCGACCATGAACGCTTCCAACCCGCGAAGATGCAAACTCAGCTTCCGGCCATCGGTGGCATTCTTGGAAGAACCCGCCGGTTTCGACGACTTGGGCTTATGTTGATCGTCTTTTGACATGGTGGACAGCGTCCTAGAGGTAGCTCGACGCCGAGGAGTCGGGCGGTAGTTGTTGTCTCCTCTCTTGCACTTGTATTCGATAGTCAAACTGTCCATCTGTATTGCCGTTCCCCTCGTAAACTCGGAGATCTCCGCGTCGACACCTGCCACTTCGATGCTGAAGTCATTACATTCCAGCTTGAACTGCTCGAGCCACAACGGAACCCTTCGCAGAAATTTCTGCTTTGTGCCTGAAGATTTCGGATGACGGAGTTTGTCGGGCATGTAATCGCCTTGGAACTGAGACATCATTTGTTTGAGACCGCTAACGATCTCCGGACGAGCAAGTCTTAACGAGAACGATGAGAGATATGCAGTGCAGATGACCTGGACTTCGGGCGAGGCGTTAAGCTGTGCTTTGAGGTCGAACGTCTCGGTCTGCAGAAGGTCATGGTGCATTCCGCCGGCTGCCCGATAGTACAAGCTGTGGGATGTGATGCGGAGGCCTGCGTCGAGTGAATAGCGTGACTGGCCTTCCGCGTCGTGCGATGCCTCCATGTCGACGGAGATGGACGACATGCTCGATATAAGCATATCCATATCTTGGACTCCGGGATCGGTGGATGGCAGCACAATCCTCATGACGGGCTCCTGGATGGATAGCTTGACGCTTGCCTTGGGAAGGAGTCTCGAGATAATGTGCGCGCGACCTCCTGACGCCTTGGACTTGCGCTTCGGTCTGGACTGCATGAATGCGACAATAAGAGGCAGATGCCTGGGCTTCAAATCGATCGACGGCGAGGTAACGACAACGTTGGCCGAGAGGATGTTGGCATTGCGATCAGACTCCAGAGCTTCCATTATCTGCATCGTCTTGCAGAAGAGTGTTGTCCTCGAGGTCATCGTCAAGATCGGAATGTATAGGATCTTATCCTGCCGAGCACCATCATTGAGACTAACAGTGATTGCGATGGCAGCGAGAAGGGCCTGATGCGCGATGTCGTTTGGTGAAAAGTACCTGCAGTGTGATCAGCAACAAGCCAGGGAAATGGGGATCGATGGGTCACCGTACATTCTATGAGCTGGGCTCTTCTGATCCAACTGGTGTATATCCATTCCGAACTCCTTCAGGCCCAAGGATACCACCAATGGTCGTCCCATCGGCTGAATGTTGGGTATCTCCTTCGAGACCACAAGATAGCCGATGGCGAATTGGATCTCCTTGACGCCCTTCAGAAGACTGTTCAGGATCTCCCTATTCTCCATCACAGCTTCCGTCACCCTCTGTGTCCGGCTTCCCGGCATTTCCGCCTCTTCCATAAGAGTGTCCATCGATGCTACCTTGGGCTTGTTCTTCATCTTGCCATCCCTCTGAAGGGCCTTCAATCTCTCGGCATAGGCCAAGAGCTCGTCGCAGGGTACTGTAACTCGACCGAATTTGAATGCGACCGCTACATCTCGCAGACCATCCACACCATCCTCGACAACACCATAGATATTCAGGATTGAGTGATCCAACAATTCGACTGGATCTTTCTTAGCGGTGATGAACAGGACACTCTTGGTCGCCATGATCCATTCGATCGGCTGCTGTCCCTCCTTCAGTTCCGTACGATCAAACATCGGGTTCCGGTTCGCGGTGCCGCTTCTCGTGTCGACCATCAGCGTGATGGAGCCGACCTGGATACTTCCGACTTCGGCAATCGTGAGGACGACATCGGTGACGACGATATCGACCAATCGGATCCATTTGATCCACTTGTGAGCTTTTTTGAGGGCGTTCTTCAGCTTTTGAATCTTCTCCTCGGTGTTAGGCTTCGCGGGTGTGCTCTCCTCCACCGTGACATTCTCCCCTCCGACCCCCGCCCCTTCCTCGGCCATCACATTCCTCCGAGTAGTTCCCCGTCTATTCCGTAACCCCCTATTCTTACCATCCGCTCCCTCGCCGACGCCGACGCTGGCCGCATTCTCCTCCGGCAATCCATCTCCTCTCTGCCGCAGGTCCAGAGTCACGCGTGGCTCCTGAACAACGATCGACACCCAGGTAGGCTTCGCGAACGTCGGCCAATGTAGCAGTATCCCCAGCTTCCTTACTTCCAGCTTCACGCCGTCCGCCGGCTCGAAGGAGATGCGTTTGATCGAGAGGTATCCGGGCCGCTGAATCGAGATTCCCGCAACGACGCGAAGAACGGCAAAGACCACGAATGCGCAGACGACCGACACGGCAAAGGAGCCCACGAGTATTGTTGCGAGCGTCTTTACTATCGGGGGTGCTGGCATCGACATGTTGATGCGGGTGCTTGTGGTGGTAACGAAGGTGGCATGTAGATAGGAAGAACTCTAATTCTCTGTCTCTTTCTCCCTCTCTTTCTCTTTCTTTCTCTCTCTCTCTCTTGCTCTCGACTGCTCGCGTTCCGTGTTTCGTAATCTGTAAAAGTATCCCTTCCCCTAAATTCTAAAGCTGGGAACCTTGTCCGGTAACTTGCAGAGCTTGGGTCCGCGCGCACCAAGCCTTCCTTGAGAAGAAGCACGGGCCGCCTTGCGCAGGGGTGGGCGAACTGGTAACGGCCCCCACCACCACGGTAAACCGAGTCTTCAACACCACGGAAATTCATCATGATGACCGCTGGATACCAATGTACCACCCGGCGAAGCTTTCATCAAACAGAAAACTAAAGGCCCGATCCCGCAGCGCTCCCTTTCGCTCCCCGTCCCCCGCACTCAAACCGCCAGCGATGTTGAGTCTAGCACCCAGGCAGGCACGTGAGCGCCTTCGACATCACTCGGACCTAGCGTCCGAGTCCACCGGCCCGACCGACGGCCTACCCAGGTATCATGAGACCTCGCAGTCGTCGCCGATAAACGTCGAGAGTGTCCCTCGCTCATCCTGACGACGGGACTCGAAGCGCGACATCTCGAAGCAAAGCTTGCCGAACCGGCAAGCGTCTCTCTTCACCATCCGTGCTCCTTGCCGGGACAAAGGTTGAGAGTTGGTGAGTTTCCAAGCCTTGCTTGCTGGTCATTCGAGGTGTAGAATACCTGCTTGAATAATCATTGGACGTTGTCTACACAGCGTTTGTGTACGGTGTGTAGAGAACTCCTCTTGGAATGGAGAGCCGATGTCCAACTCCACATTCAAGCCCAACGGCTTGGCTCCCGCAAGAGTGCTGGCGGGCAGTGATGGACCGTGATCGGTATGGCACGTAAAGCAAAGCAAGTAAAGCACGGCTTCCACCTCCGGGTGTCAAAGAGCCTTTACTCTACAGTTCTCGTACATAGGCGGTGGATCCGAGGTGCAGAGTAGCCACCGGTGCACGGACGACGCACGACTCTCTCGTCGTCCGCCCCCAAGCTGTGGAAAAAAAACCAATCTTCTCGCGCCTCTACGACGCCGGTTGATCCCAATCTCACCGAAAGTTTTGGCCCTCCTCTTTCACGATTCGGGGTCGAAGTTGCTGCGCTGGTAGGTACCCGTGCGTACCGGTATCGAGTCGGATCGGATCACGACATCTCACCCACCCACTTCCGTTCCGCCTTCCCGGTCCACGGTGAAACAGGAACAAAAGGCTTAACTTCAACTGCCTGGGCGGAGGACAAAGGAAAGTCACTTCCGGCTGGTTTTCGGGGTATATACCTTGGCGGGTTAACTAGTGGGGGAACCGGTTCTCGTTCTCGTATCCACCATGATCTACACAAGGTCCGAGCCGAACACGATGATGTTTAAATAAAAAGAATAAAAAGGAACAAAATAGGAACAAAAAAGCTGGATCACTCGGGGGGCGAATGCGAAATATGGCCCGGACCTCATGGTCCCATTCACAATGTCCGGCTGCCCCCTTTCGAACCCCAGTAGGTACTCTACATACATCCATTCCGCCTTGACATCATTCGCAAGTTCGCAACGGGGGATCCGTTCTGGATTTTGGAATGAACAACTGCTCGAGAATCGAGTAGTCATCGCCACTCCTGCACTGTATTCCATCACTTTTGAGGGGCTCAGCGGCAATGATCACAATCATCAGCGGCTGTGGTCTCCTGTTTGATCCTCCCGGCAACCACAGCCGACTCACGTACTAGCTGTCATAGCGAAATATTGTCCGAGCTCGTTCTGAAATTCAACCCCCTAAAGTCGAACAAAGGGATGATGATGCCAGGAGTGATCGGCGACAGCTTCAACGGTCACCTACATAGCCCTCGGATTTCTATTGTCCCATAAAGTCTCAACGTAGGTACGACATTTGTACGGTCGAGCGATTCCGCAATCCTAAGAACCCTTGGAGTTCAATTATGGAGGTTGCCTGTACGGGAGCTGCATATCGATGTTTTTTTGAGCTGTCGCGGAAGGAGACGAGTGAACCCACATGACGCCGCATGCCCATGACCCCATCCGATCCGATCCTTCAACTCCACTTCCAGGCAACCCGGCTTCCTACTCCGAGGACTTATCACTCGGACTTGGAAGAGAGAGTGTGTGCGCGCTTCGGAGAGAACCCGGGGCGTGGAACAAGCGTGGAATGAATGGATCCCGGCGAGGTGGCGTGAACACTGAAGTGCCGTTAGACGAGAGAAAAACGAGGCTGACGGTTGACTTCACCCTTCTCTTCTCCGTCATTATACGACTTACCCCCGCCTCACTTTTGAGACTGGCACTTCCAAGTAGAGCAGCCCACTCTTCCAAGTACTCCATAGTCGTCGGTACATATTATTTGGTGCACCTATGCTCTCCTACGCCCGATCTTCCAAGTCCATACGCTCTCCGCTCACTCCCACTGGCCGGCTTCACACAACCCCCGCCTCTCACCAATTATCTTCGCCTCAATTCGCGTGGCCGCCCAATAATGCCGCCATCTTGCCGTGCCGTACCGGATGTGCCGGATTTACCCTCCGCCCTCGGACACGGTTTTCCATGTCAGATTTCCATCCATCCGACATCTAAGCTGTCTACGGCACCTACTGTTCAATCACAGCAGCCTCGTTCCCCAAGAATACGGCTGACCGGCCGCCCATCCCAGCCGTCCCGTGCCCCCCCTCCCCCCGGGCCTGCCCCCCGGCCCGCCCACAGATGTGAAAAGTCGCATCCCCGCCTCGGTACATGTACATACATACATAGAGTACTATACCGTACATACTCCCACCATGGTGCTGGCACCTACCTATGAATACTGATGCCACCGTTGTCATGTACGATACATACGATTCCGATGACCGGGTACATCGTACAGCACCGTGTCGTGTCATAGGTGTCATAGATGATAGGTGTCATAGATGATAGGTGTCATAGATGATAGGTGTCATAGGTAAGGCGGGCGAAGCCGAGATTCCGGCTCCTAGGCTCGTGCTGTATCGTTGTGGAAGTGATTATCCGGGGGGAGGGGAGGGGAAAGGGATTCCCTGGAGAGAAATAGGGCTGTCGAAATGAGCCGAATCATACGGCGTCACTCGGGGCCGACACGTCACGGACGGCTGGGTGGGTACTCTATACCCTATGCTACCCTGGTGCGGTGGTGATTGTTCCGACCAGTTCCGTGGCACGCCGCTTCGCGTGTGCTGGGGGGTATTGGCTGGCTGGAGATTGCAGGAAGTGAAGTGGGTATCTACAATACAAGCATCGAAGTCAGGTATCTCGGTGTATCACTCGATTTCTCACCGATCTTTGCTCTCTCTCTCTCTCCCTCTCTCCAGCACACGTGCACTCTCCCTCGCGGCGGCGGGGGAAGTTGTATTGCCGCATCGAGCGTATTCCCAGGCGGCAGAGATAATACCCGGAGCGTACGCCGTACCGTGTGTACCTGCCACGACCAGGTCGTGTGCCAATATGGGATGAAAACGGAACACAAGCAATTGCACCATCCTGATCCTCGGTCTTTCCGACTGCCTCCCAACTACAGCTATATGCTGGAGTCTGGAGTCTGGAATCTGCCTGGCCTCAACACGACGGCTTGCATGTACAAAGTACTCTACATACCGTATCACATCTCATGACCATGACCATCCACATCCGAGCCATAGTGAGTGCCACACACACACACACACACACACACACACACACACGGCCATATCCCAATCTGGGAGATGGCTGTTCCGTCGATGGTCTCAGATGGGGGAGATTCCGGTAGATAGAGTGGGTTGTGGATATGGGATGCGGGATGGGGGCTGGATGTATGTACCAGTACCAATGCTGAGAGGTTGAGAGGTTGAGAGGTTCCTCGGCGACGGATTGATGTCCGCCCTGGAACCTGGGCTCGGTGGGGGCGAGAGCGGGCTTGGCACGGCCACGGGCAAGTACCTGGACCATCGTGCTATGGCGACGTCCATGTTCGGACTCCGGGTTCAAAGGGTTCGAAGAAACGAACTCGGTATGCGAGCCCTCGGGATGGACGTCTCGCAGCTCCGGATGAGGATCCGGCTGCTCGGCGGTAACCACGGTACCTTCGCCCATGTGATGCTCACCCGCTCGGCCTGCCGTCCGATGTCCGTCTGAGCTGTTAAGCTGCTGCGCCGCCTCCGCAATACGCAACATCCACGCAGCCCGATCCCGCGTTTTGGTTTGCCGTCTCCAGTAGGTGTGCATAGGAAGGTATATCGATCGACGCACGTAAGATTCGCGGTTTCGTAGTCAGCTCGTATCGGCGTCGAATCTGGTGTTCCCATCCTTATCCGCATCGTTATCAGGAAGGAAGGAAGGAAGGAGCTGGTTCCAAGCTGCAGTGAGCGATAGACAATTCTTCGAGAATCAATGGCAATGGCAACAGCAACTATCAATAGCGACCGTCAATGGCAACAGCAAATGTCAACGGTCAATGGCAACGGTCAATGGCAACGGCAGCTGACAACAGTAACGGCAACAGCAACTGTCAATAGCAACTAACAATCGCAACTGTCAATGGCAACGACCATAGCAACTGGTAACAGCAACACCAACACCAACAGTAACTGACGATTCCAGCATGCGGACTCCGGCGAGATATCCGTCCGCCACCCACCACCTTCCGTGGGATTGATCATTGGCCGGAATGGCCGGTACGGTACAGTATTTATGTTTACGCGTCCCTTTGGACGGCGACTGCGCCGCCTATGCATGCGCTGTATGCTTGGCTATAACTGTGGCGTGGTTATACATCTTTCCACCACTCACCGTCCGCATCAAACTTCGTCCTGCAGACCTGTGGACATGCGGACCTGCGGTCATGTTCGATGGCAAACCATATGCATACGGCACTCTACAGTCAAGTGAGCACTGAGATTGAGGCTGTAAGAGTCAACTGCCTACTTTTCAAACTCCGCCCAGTGCCCAGTGCCCAGTGTCCAGTGCCAAACATGCATGACGTCTGACATTCCACGAACCCACCCACCCTGCTCAGATATAGAGTATACTTCCCGGTGGTGATCGGAAGCGATCACCAGACATCTATATGGCAGACTTCTCGAAGCTTGAGCACTGCCTGCCGCGCGGCAGTACATCATCTTTTGTGTGATAGTCGGACAGAGGCCTTTGAAGTTCTTGAGGTTCTCGAGTTTTTCTCCAAGGTAATTGCTCTAGCGCTGACGACGAAAGTCTACATACTTCAACTAGCGTTTGAGGATCGTTTTCCATTCGCCAATCCATCCATTCGCCAATCCATTCGCCAATATATTCGCCAAGGGCAAACCATATGTAAATGTGGACAGTGGACAGCGGATAGTGGACAGTGGGCAGTGGACGGTGGCGGGCTCTTCTCCGAATATGTTTGTACCACGGTATTTACCACGGCATGTACCACGGTATAGTAGGCTGATGGAGCCTAACTGCAGTACATGGCTGTGGCAGCCAAGCACTGATATAATAGAGGTCCTCAAACCTTGCCGGGTGATCTGGCCGGCCGGAAACTCATCAAGACAGATTGACCAATAACGATTTCCTGCCATGAAATTCGGGTTTGGGGACCTTGCCCTGCGGGGCTGGCTGGCCAGGTGAGTAGCTCCGAGTATATCCAGGGTACATCCCGGACTTCTGAGCCCTTTCTACACCACCTAGTCCTCCTGCCCGCTGACTGGAGTCAATCCTGCTCGGTGATTGAAGTCATTACTTTAATGACTCCAACTGTCGAGTTGATTGACTCTTGCAATGCTTCCTGGGTAACTGGAGTCAATCCTGCTCGGTGATTGAAGTCATTACTTTAATGACTCCAACTGTCGAGTTGATTGACTCTTGCAATGCTTCCTGAGTAACTGCCAATAGTCTAAGGCCAATGATATCCGTACCGATACTAGTGTATTCCCATGTGTATGAGGTATGTCGCCAGCTTGCTGGGTGCAACACTCCGTCGCTTGCTGAGTTGCACATCCTCTTCGCCATCATCGGGTTCGAAAATGGAGTTTAAGCGCGGATGTTGGAGTCGAGCAACTCGAGCACAAATTTTCTTGTAGATACAGTCTAGTTCTTGATCCCGGAAACTACTCACAACCCACCTATCCATTACGGCGAACTAAAGGCGAACTAAAGGCGAGGTAGAGTTTCTGAAGTCACCCAGACGACTTTTTCTGAGCTGGAGGAAGTAGCGGTGCCGGGAAACCTGAAAGATCGCCAAACCAATAGAAACACCTAATCACCTAGCCGGCCAGGTCACCCAGCAAGGTTTGAGGACCTCTAATCCATCCGTGAGTCGACCGTCGGGATGTCGAACCTGGGAATCTTCTTCGTCCTCTTCGTCCTTTTCTTCTTCCTCTTCCTCTTCTTCTGAAATACCGGCACCGGTACCGTATCCCGCCAATACCTGCGGCCAGTACCTACCTCATACTCCAAGTTTCTTCCACCTGCCAAGTTTTTCTTCTTTCTTTTCTTTGCTTTTCTTTCGCTTTCAACAGCTCAAAGTGTGTACTCCACATGTATGTTGTGCACAGATTCCCGACGTCATGCGCATCGGACGCGATGCTTGGCCGGGTGGTTGGCCGGTTGGTTGGTGCAGGTGGTTGGTTGGTCGGGGTCGGGGTTGGTGACCTACTTCGACAGGGTCGGTCGGGAAACGGTGATGGAGATGGAAGGAGAGCGAAAAACCAGGGAACAGGAAGCAAGAGCAAGAGCAAGAGTAAGAGCAAGAAGCTGGAGGTCGCACGAAGTAGGTGATTGGTTGGGTGGGGTACTATATAACAGGTAGATAGGAAGTACCTAGAAAACATAGGTACCTAGAATGCGTAGAAATGTGCTGGGTTGGATAGGTTGGAGACTTGACGCAAGGCTCGCAGGTGGATAGAGTACCTTAAGCACAGTGTACAGGCAATTCCGACGGAGCCGAGGCGGGCACGTCGAGCACGTCGAGCACGTCGAGTAACGAGTTAGATGAATGTCTGACGGAGAGATATAGTGCCATATGTACAGTACATACAGTACAGTACATACAGTACAGTACATACAGTACAGTACATACAGCATGTGGGGGAACCGACGACCGGACGCACGCAATGCCATGCCGAGCCGAGACAAGACTCGGCGTGTGTGTGGGTGTGTGGATGTCGTATGTAGCTTCCGTTCTAGATGCCAAATGCCAGATGCCAGTTAGAACGCAGGTGTCGAATCTCGATGTCGATGTCGGCGCACGATGATGACAGCGGAAACCGATCATGACGATATGGTAGTCCAAGTACCCATACTCTATACCGTCCGTAGTTATAGCGAGATAAGTAGGGAAGTAAGTATCGTGTCCTCGCAGTCGGTACGTGCCGAGGTGGGAGATGATCGGCTGAGACATTCCGCACGGCGGAAGGCGGGGCGGCGCGGAGATGTATTTTGGGCGTCCAGTATAATAGACTAATGGTACCTGGAGCACATCGGTCTAGATGTAGGTACTTGGTCGGTATTCGTTCGTATGCGACGGCGATGAGTAGAGTACCTAGAGTAGAGTAGAGTGGGTAGATGGCCATGGTAGATGGCCATGGTACTGGTTGGTTTCATATACGAAGGAAGGAGGGAAAACGGGGCCGGGCCAGGTGGTTTACTGAGGTACACATTATGAGTCCAGTCACGTGCACCGCCTCCACCACCACCACCACCACCGCCATAAGAACCACAAGAACCATCCCCCAGCCGATGCGATAAATAGCCGTGGGTATGGCTCGTCTGCAGATAGATGCAGTACCTATGCCTGCCGATACGGTATGTACCTCCTACGGTATTCCATGTTAACTCCGCAGACCGAAAAAAAACCAAGACGGACGTCCTGCAGGCTGCTCGACCTTCCTTCCTTCCGTATCGATGACGGCCAATCTATCTATCTATCTATGGGACAGCCGTGACGTGAGACGCAACCCTGGCAGCAGGCTGGCACCAGGCATGGTGATAGAGTGCCTACATATCCATCGACGCGCTCTTTCCGATGGGCCAGAGGTCCAGAGAGACATTCGGCCATGGCCCATGGTAATCATCGGATGGAGATGTAACGCCGTGCTCTTCCGCATCTACTTCTTACGATGGAAAGGACTACCTGGTAACTATGTCTTTGCCTGCTTATATGTACCTTGTACATGCCCAAGTACTGGACAGTGGAGTATCATAGGGTGAGGATTACTCTACTCCACTCTACGACAGTACTCTATACACTGACGACAGGAGGAGCAGCACCATGCCAACATGCGACACGCAAATGTCAATGCCAATGTCAGCGTCGATGGGGTTGGGTTGGGGTTGGGGTTGGGGTTGGGGTTGGGGAAGCGGAGTTCTGGTCGTGTCGGCGCCGATGTTTGCCGTGCGCGGCCATCATCGCGACGCTACTACTAGTACCATGGTAGGCCACAGTTGAGCGAGTAGTTTCCACCGTAGTTACGCGTTGTGGTTGGTCTTTTGGCAGCCGAAAGTTCCCCCGCCCCCCCCATGCGAGCGCCTTCTCCGGAGTCCGGACGGGGCGAAATACTCTAGACTCCAGTTAGGCTCTCTCTAGTCCCTTATGTAAAATATGGGGGTGACACTACCCTACCTATGGGATGTTGTACTGTGGACTTTGGGGGGGATGGTGAGAAAAACGGACAGAGACTGGATGAGTTACTTACGAATGGATGGATATACGGCAGTGCCAATAAAACCAAGAAGCTGTCTCCTGTCCGATGCAGTTCCAGTTCCGTTCCGCCCCCTCCCCCCTTCTTACATATCAATAATCGTCGAACGCGCACCCACCCGCCCAAACTCGCTCGCTCATTGTTCATCTCTTTCCTCCTTCACCTACTCACCTACAGACAAACCTTCGACAACGACGTTGCTTGGTTGGTTGGTTGGCCAGACCCGTCCACACACCCTCTGCAGCTCTGCTCGCTCACCAATCCACTGCGATCGCTCGGTAAATACTTACACACATACTTGCTTGCTCCACAACACCATTACCCAGCGTACGACATATCATACATATTCCCCCCGTGGAGCGGAGGAGTGGTTACCCGATATCTACCTACCTGCTGTGCTTGCGTTGCCCACCCATAGAATAGACTCTTATTGCGGTACGGTACTGCATCTATCCGTCCGCCGCCGCCGCGGTCCGTTGCAACTTGCGCTTCGTCGGTCTTCAGTTGTCGGTTTCAGCTGCGCCCCACAAAAGCAACCAAGTCGAGACTCGATAAGCACGCAAGTCGCCTCGTACTTACACACATCACACATACATCCTACATACTCTACTTGCTCTACTTATAACTATTCCTTCCTTCTTCTTTCCTTTTCTCTCGTCGCTCGTTCGCTCGCTCGTGCCGATCGGAGTTTAGGATCGCACAACCTCGACTGGGTGCGGGGACAGCCGAGAAAGAAAGAAAATCAGAAAAAAGAATTGGCCGGCCTCCTGGCTGCGTTAGTGTGGTTTAAAGCACGATGATGACATCTCCTGCTCAGCGATCCCAGCCTGCCGTCGATGCCGCTGCCGCTACCACGACTATTACCACTGCTGCTGCTGCTATTGCTGTCGCTGCTGCTTCTGCTCTTCATCCTCCGTTTCGATTCTCTCCCTCTACTACCACTGATTCACCCTCGAGACGCCACTCCATCGTCGTGCCAAACTCCTCTGAAACGACTTCCTCCACCACCTCCATCACCACCAGCACCTCCTCACCATCGGCTTTGCCACCTCTTCTGCCGGGACTGATCTCGACCCCTACAGCCACGGCGTCCACCCAGCCCGACCAGACGGGGAGACCGCTGTCGACTCTGACGGAACCCACCCCACGGAAGAGCCGAACCCCGAAAGACGTCGCCAAGCGACTCTTCGAGCAGGCCATCTCGTCTTCGTCCAGCCGATCGTCGCGGAGAAGACGGACCATCTGTTTCCCCGTAAATACAGACACCACCACCACCACCACCACCTCCTCCTCCACCTCCACCGCCTCCACCACCCCGATGCTGCGCGTAATGGGCGGCGGGAACTCCGGTATTCCCTCACATCATGTCACTACGACGGCTCCCAGACCGGTGCCGAGCCAGTGCTCCTCGGGAGCTTCGTCCACAACTTCCGTCAGTACGGTCAGCAGTACCAGTAGGCCCGGACCGACCCCGAGACAGCGACCGACGAGCGCCTCTCGCATCCACGACCCTGGCCCGGTTCCCATGTATGAGAAGCCGCAAGCTTCGTCGAGCGGCGGCGCCGTGACCATGACCATACAGCTTGCGGAGCCGATCCTGTTTCTGCAGGGACTGGACGGGAGCGAGAGCATCCGGAGGGCTGCCATGCTGCGGGGTAGCATGATCCTGCGGGTCACGAAGCCGACAAAGATCAAGGCGGTGACGTTGACGTTCAAGGGACGCGCTCGAACGGAATGGCCGGAAGGTACACAAACAAAGACTTTTTCTGATGAGTGATATCTGTTGACTGACCTGACGTTTTTAGGAATCCCACCTCGCAAGTCGGAATATTTTGAAGAAAAGGAAATCATGCAGCACACGTGGCCCTTTTTCAACGCTCAGTTCGTGACGGCGGAGCTGGGCCATTGCGCGGATTCGTTTACCCCGCGGAAACCCACGTCCGGCTCCTCGACGGAAAGCGGCGTTGGTGGCCTCCCAAAGAGCAACTTCATGTGGACGGCGACACCCGCCGAGCACAAAAACACCTTGCGCATGACAAAGTCGCGGAGCCTATCGAGAGGAGAATCGCCACATCGACAGCTCTCGATCGCGCAACGCGGATACCGCATATTCCCGCCCGGTGATTACGCCTACAACTTTGAGTTGCCGCTCGACAGTTGTTTGCCAGAGACGGTAAACGTCGAGCTGGGGTCTGTAAAGTACGAACTGGAAGGTTCGATAGAGAGGCCGGGTGCGTTCCGCTCCAACCTGACGGGAAAGAAGGAGGTCTTGTTGGTTCGGGTGCCTTCGGACGCGAATCTGGAGCAAACGGAGCCAATCGCGATCAATAGGACCTGGGAAGATCAGCTCCATTACGACATCGTCATCTCGGGCAAAGCGTTCCCGCTCGGAGCATCGATACCGATCGCCTTCAAGCTGACTCCTCTGGCCAAGGTTCGCTGCCATCGCATCAAGATCTTCATCACTGAGAACATCGAGTACTCGTGCAAGAACAAGAAGGTCCATCGCATCGACCCGGTCAAGAAGGTTCAGTTGTTCGAGAAGCGCGCGGAAGCACCGGCCACGTCGGCGTTTGCGGGCTCTTCGGTTCGAACCACTTCTGGTGGAGGTGTCACCACACACAGCAGCGGTGGTACGGAGGATGTGGTCAACGGAACGGACAACCTCCTTGGGGATCTTCACGGCACGCCAAACATCGGACCGACAGAGATGGAGTTCAATGTGCAGTTGCCTGGGTGTAACGCGAAGGAGCGGGATCGTATCCATTTCGATACCACCTACGGAAACATCCAGGTGCATCACTGGATCAAGGTACGCGCTCTCGTGTGGAATTCCCACAGAAAAAAGAAGAAAGAAAAATTGACAGGAGTAGATTGTGATGCGACTCAGCAAGCAGGATCCCACCGATCCGACCAAGCGTCGCCACTTTGAGATCTCGATCGACTCGCCCTTCCATTTACTCGCCTGCCAGGCGACACACGCCAACACCACTCTCCCGGCGTACGACGATCCCCAATCCGGCGGGCCATCATCGACGGGCTCCTGCAGGTGCCCGCCATTCCGACGGGACTCCTCGCGCACGGCTCAGCAGACCCCGGCGCTACAACGAAATCCCACCACGGCTCCACCTCCTCCGTTTACACCGAGTGTGCGGCCACCCGCAGTTCGATATCCAACCATGAACCCACCACCATTCAGCGCCGAGCCGGACCCATTACCGCTCGTCACCCCGCCGCCGCGCTACGATTCCGTCATAGACAGCAACGAGGGACTGGCGGGATACTTTTCCCGGCTGGCGGAGGCAACGGAGGATGACGATACCGACGACGACAGTACCAACGGCTCTGCCCGCGGAAGACCCCCGCTGCTGCCGCTCACGCCTGGCGGAAGAGTTGCTAGGAGCATGGACGAGAGGCGGACGTGGTAGTGTATGATTATGATTTACGATTTGTTGTGGGTTTCTTGTTATGCCGTTGGGGTGTATATAAATTCTTTCGGATGCTGTCTGTAGTGTAGTGTGGGGGTATACCATCTTTTTCTTTTTTCTTTTTTCTTCTTTGTTTTCTTTTCGGTTTGTCATTTGGCTTGTTGATGGAGAAGTGGGCGTTTGGGGGCGTTGTTTTTGCATTTTCTGTTGAATAACATACATAGGATGGAACGGGATGGGGATGGGTTGGGAAATTAGACTGGATTGGATGATGGATGATGGTTGATGGATCCGCGCGTTTCCGTTGTGGTGGTCACACTCGTGGTCAACTGTGAACAGTAGTCAACTGTCTACAGAGGTGGGAAACAGAGGTGGGAATACGGGATCAAACGGAACCGTGGGCCCATTCGGTTTGATGCACTGTGCTCTACTCCCGATACCTGAGAGATACGATCGTGCTCGTGAGGGTAGACATCCAGACTCCACTGTCCAGTGCAGAGCTGCAGAGCTGCAGAGCTGTAAGGAGGATTGATCCCAGCCGCATGTTCCCAACAAACCCCCTACGGCCTCACAGCCTCGATTTACTTTTTCTTCTCTTTGGTTTGCGCAATTACCTGGCCGTTCCTGGCCAGAATGCGCCGCCGTGGCGAGGTCGTGAGTGACTTTGTGTGAACTACGCAAGCCATCGTCTCGGTGGTGTCGGTGCGAATGAGTGAGTACATAGCAACGCCGCAATGACACGTTTCAGCCCTACCACTTTCGTACCTAGTCGGTAGCCAGCAAGCACTTACTCTGGAGTACCAGCGCCCCAGCCACGGCACACATGTAACTACTAGAGTAGTAGTCCAGGAGGATCTACAGTCCAGGAGGATCTCCAGAGTCTATGTAGTCCAGTTCACGGTACGGTACGGGCGATGCCTTTAAAGTTTAAGCTTGCCTCGCGGTCTTGCTGGCCTCGTGGTCCTGCGGTGAGCTCGCGGTCCTGCGGTGAGCTCGCGGTCCTGCGGTGAGCTCGCGGTCCTGCTTCCCTCGACGCTGCCCGCTGAGCTCGACGCTGGCTGCTCCCCTCGACGCTGGCTGGCTGCTTCCCTCGACGCTGGCTGCTCCTGCTCCTGCTCCTGCTGGGATCTGGGACACAAGAGCTGGAAGAGTCGGTTGAGGAAAGAGAAGTGACGGCTGGGAGCACTCTGGGCGAGCGTGTAGTCTGCGACCGGCCACAGCACAGCACTGGCTGCAACCTGTAGCCTGAAGCCTATGAGATGCCAGTGGGCGTGCAGTGCTGCTTGCTGCTACATATCTCCCTGGTGCTCCCGATCCCAGCAGTGGAGCGGGAGGCCCGCTAGAACCTGGGATATCTAGTGTGGAGTTCCTCCTCCTCTAGGCTCCACGTTGTATCACTCGCGCCGCGGTGACCGCTAGTGTGGACTCTTGGAGTGCACATGCGAGGCTGTGAGGGTTTGGTGCGATACTACTACATCGACTGGCGTGGTCGGTGTTGCCTGCGACGTGCGTACCGGTGAACTATATGCCGGGTCCGGATCACTGGTGAGGTAATGGACGAGAGAGGGTGATCTTCGGTTTATTTCGCATTCAGCCTGTCTAGACTATGGCGAACCGTCGCAGTTCTTTCCTGCCCACTGTAGATCGCAGTATCCGAATATCCAAAAAAATCATGTGCGAGTGCTCGGCCGTGAACGGGAGGTGGTTATCCATACAGGTTGTTACGGCTTCACGGAGGTGCGCTCCCCTAGATACCGTAGGATACTACGTAAGGAGCCTTGTGGCAATGTAGCAGAACAAGGCCACCACAGGCAAACAGGCAAACAGGCAAACAGGCAAACAGGCAAACAGGCAAACAGGTGCAGGTCATGGGTACTATGTGTGCCGTGCCATGTATCACAGCCTCACAGGTGGCCATGAATGTGTCCAATGTTCAATGTTCATGTAGATAAAATGGCGGACATGGGCACTCTATTATGTACACCTGCCTGCAACCCGTGATCTAGCCATCCAGCATCCAGCGAGCCCATTCACCTGCCCCAAGCCTGTCCGAATCAACCAGCATTACTACGTCTTCCTCGGCTCCTGCTGCTGCTGCAGTCGTATCTTCTCCTCAACCGCCACGATCTCCTCATTCGTAATGGCGAGCTCCGCCTCCACGGCCAGTAGCTTCCCATCGAGCATGGCAGCATACTCCTGATCACTCAACTTCTTGATCGGATTCCAGCGTGAGTTAAACGTGCGGTCCAGCAGACTGATCGTTTTGACCTTGACCTTCGGCGGCGCAAACGCCTCCTCCGTGTGGCGCGCGTCCGCGATATTGTAGCCGTACTGGCCGCCGAGACCGACGAGCCCCCATACTAATGCCCCGGGGAGCGCGTTGGAGCGACCTCCTGTTGGATACGGTTAGATGTGTGGTGAGGAGGGGAGGAGGGGTTGGCGGAGGGGGAGAGAACGCACGTAGCACAAGCCCGAGCGTCAGCCCAGTCACGGCCCCGGCCGCACCGCTGACATAGACTTTTTCCTTCGGTGTCAGGTGGGCGCCCGCCGCACCGTCGACGCGGGGATCATGTAGGGCGCGGAATAACGTCAAGCGTACAGCTGCATACACATTTCTTGTCAACCCTCGCGCAATCTCATCTCCCTTCCCTTCGCGGCGGGGTAGTGGGGTGGCATACCATAATACGTTGACCCGAGTGCGAAGCAGTTCAATCCCGTTCCGGCGGCGAAGAGGCCTATGGTGGGCGTGGAGCGGAGAACGGCAGCTATGCCGCCGAAAACAACGCCGGTACATCCTGTGCGACGCACGGAGGTGAGCGCGAGATGGGATGCGCCGAAGGCGGCGGCTGCGAGAGAGACAGCGGAGGAGGACGGACGCACGGACCAGTCACGGCACCCACCTTCAGTGCGGGAAGAAGAATCGGTTCGGGATTGTATGCGGCTGCTGGCGGCGGCGGTGGTACTGGTGGTATAGATGAGGAGGGTGGGGATGGGCCGGGGAGCTGCATGGTGATTGGTGGAGGCGGGGTGCGGGTGGTGAAGGATAGCAGCAGCGGCGATGGTGTTCAGCTGTGTGTGTTGGAGTCACGATGCGAATGCGAGGGCCTCGTGCACATGCGTTATGCTTCGTGAGGAAAATGCCGAAAGCAGAAAAGCGTCGAGACGTTACTCCCGCAAGTCCAGAGAGGCTCAAAATGTGCAATATCGATAGCCGAAGACGACGATTAAAAATTCCCTATCGTGGATTGGCCCAACGTTTATTACCGCGTGTAGCTGTTCTGGGCACCTTCTAGCCTGCATGTGTGACGGAGTAGGAGGTACTCGGCGCTTATCGCATACACGATTACTTGAACGGGAAATACATAATAATAAAACAGTCGTTTGGGAAAATAGGCCAAGACTGGCCATTTACATGGCACTTTTCCACACACAGCGCTTTCCCTCGAGTGAATTTTACAACGCCATGTTCAGACGAGATGCTCAAAGCATCACAGCAAAGTACGCATTTAATTGCTGGACTGCTCCAATTTTCTTGAATTTACTCGGGGACCAAGATAGAAGATTTCTCCCGTGGCTGACAGGAGGTGGTCTGGTGAGTCAGCGAGCGGTTATTACACACATTTCAATTCATCCGCCTCTTCTCTTCTGCTTACTTAACTTGCGTGCGCCAAACCCTTCCACGGTCTGGCTGCAATTTTTTTGAACGTTGCACACGCTAAAAGTAATTTAGCACCTACTTTTCCGCACCAACCTCCACCACCCCGCTGTTAACTGACAGACGACAGGCAACAGACCGGTCCTCATCGCACAACCCACTTACCACCAACCCTTACACACACCGGCCCCATCGCTTCCTCTCCTCCCCCCACCCAACCCTCTACTACACACTACCTTACTACCAAAACTACTACCTTATTTCCCACCCCTCCCGCCTGAAGAAGTCTTCTTCAGCTTCACACTACTCCAACAAACGCGCTCTGCAGTTGAAGCGCGTTCTCCAACTTTCGCAATCATGGGTTCGTTTTCCCTTTCCTCTGCCGCCGAGTCTACAGTCGTCTTCCGCTGTCCCTCCTTTGCCGCCGAGCAATTTCCCGCCGTAGTATATGGTGCTGACTGTCTTTCTCCCGTATAGCGCCCAAGAAAGCAATCAAGATGAATCTTGCGGATTTCATCAAGGACGAATGTAGGTCACTGCTTCACTCAATCGCCGTCGCCTGGCAGATGTCACTACCGCTCAATCTTCGGACATTTCTTGCTGGCCGAACACAACGTAGAAACATGCTAATCTGTGCCCTCAGCCATGGGTCCCACCACCAGTTGGGCCGACGAGATGGACGCTTCCACTCCAAGCTGTATGTATCCCAACCTCCAACATGCAATCCACTGATCCTCGCTTGACAGTTGGCTGACATCTATGCATTAGCTTCCGGTATGTTGCGTCGCTTGTCCAGCTGTTCTTGCATGCGCACAGACCGCTAAAACTTCACCTAGACGGACGCACCGGCGGTTCCTACGGTAGTACTCGTCGCGACTACGGTGGTGCATCCAGTGGTGCCGGTGGTAGCAGTGACCGCTACGCTGGTTACTCGAGGGGTATGTATATGAAAGTGGACTTTACTGGCGCATTTTTGACATTTAATGCGTTCAGCCGACGACTCGGACCGCCCTGCACGTGCGGTTGTCCCGGTCCCCGACAGACCGCCCTACAACGCCCACGTCGGCAACCTTTCTTTTGAAGCCACGGAGAACGAGATCTCGGATTTCTTCGCGAACTGCAATGTTACCAACGTTAGACTTATCCGCGACAGGGAGCAGGGTGACCGTCCCAAGGGGTTCGGATACGTCGAGTTCGGTACTAAGGACGGTCTCTTGGCGGCTCTGGACCTGAATGGTTCTCAACTTGCCGGTAGACCTGTCAGGATCAACGTTGCCGAACCACGTAAGTTGCCATCAATCATTGATTGAAGTTTCGTATGGCGATGACTGATGGTGAAAAACAGCCAAGGACCGTGGAGACGACCGCACCACTGGCGAATGGCGTCGCAGCGGCCCACCTCCTTCGACTGAGCCTGCTCAGCGTCGTGGTGGTGGCAGCAGCTACGAGCGTTACGGAAATGACCGCAGTGATCGCAGCGACCGCGGTGACCGCGAGGAGGGTGGACGTCGTCAAAATTCCTTCCGCGAGAGTGACGGCAAGGTCCGTGACTTTAACAACTGGGAGCGCAAGCCCTTGTCGCCCCTCCCCCCCACCTCCCCTACAGCCAGCGACCGTCCCCGTGCTGGTGGTGATCGCGAGTTCCGCCGCCGTTCGCCCGCTCCTAGCGCCGATGGTGATCGTTCGGAACGCGCACCCCGAGAACGTCCCCAGGTCGAGAGACAGCCAACCGCCGCCGATAAGGACAACGAGTGGCGCAAGGGAGCCCGCCCTGACCCTCCCCAGCGCAGCACACCGACTTCCCCCGTTCTGGCCCAGAGCCGTCCTAAGCTTGAGCTCAAGAAGCGCTCCGAGTTGCCCCTCGCGACAGATGCCCCTGCGTCTGCTATCGACAGCAAGGCGAGCCCGTTCGGTGGTGCTAGGCCCATCGACACTACTCAACGCGAGAAGGAGATCGAAGAGAAGAGAGTCGCCGCCATCGCTGTCCGCAAAGCCCGTGAAGAGAAGGAACGTGAAGAGAAGAAGGCTGCCCGCGAGGCCCAGGAAAAGGCGTCGGAGGCTGGAACGCCAGTTGCCAACAAGAGCTTCGACAATCTCCGACGGGGATCCGGATCTGTTGCGACTCCCGAAGCCACCGAGGAGGAGGCCAAGGATAAGCCGGCCACCACCGAAAAACCTCAACCGGAAAAGAGACGGACGGACACCAAGCCTGCCCCTAAGAGCCCGGGAAGCTGGCGAACTTCTAAGGCGGAAGCTCCCAAGCAGGAGGGCGAGGATGGTTGGAAGGTCGCCTCTGGAACAAAGCGCGGAGGTCACGGATCTAACAGGCCGTAATCGACACTACCAGCCGCCGGCACATCGGAGAAAAAAAGAGTATGGTGGGATCAAGGTGGGAAGGCGCAAAGTATGTTTGTGGGTGTTGTGCTTTTGTGAGATCGGGGTTTAGTTTTCGGTCTTGGCCTGTTTTCATGTTTGCTCTTTCCGATGGCCGTCCATTAATGCGTGGGCAATCGCAAAAAAGGTTGTTTCGTCTTGTTCAAAAGCTTTTGTTCTATTTTTCGTCTCTATGATCCATCTCCTCTTCTGTGTTATGTGTGCACAGCGTGGTATCTTGATATACTTCCAATGCACGACCTCTCCTTAAGCCGTTATTTTCTCCGAGTGGATGAGGGGGGCTCGTTCTCACGTTTACGTATTGCATCGTGTGGCTTACCTATTTCGGTCATGGATTTTTCATCTTTCGGATTCAAAAGTGTAGAGCGTCTCTCTCTGTGGTTTTTTTTCTATTAAGCCGTATCATGTATTCATTCTGCTTTTTCTTACGGCAAAGGTGGGGTGGGGGTTATGGCTGCTTCTGCTGCTGCTGTTGCTGGTTGAAGTCGGGGGGTAAGAGTTTGAGGATGTGCAACCACGGCTTCCATGTTTGTATGTTTGTAGGTTGGTTGTTAGGCTTTATTTCATGACGCCTTTTATGATGAACTGCTCGGGTTCGTATTGATGTCCTGGTGAACTCGACAATGCATACTGTACTTCTGAGGTACGAGGTTTGGGGTTTGGGTACGAGATTTGGGGTTTGGGGGTCCAGGGCTCGGGGCTGGGGCTCACGTATTGATGCCCTGTTGAACTTGATGTTGCATATGTACTTCTTGGGTACACGAGGTTTGGGATTCAGGGCTCGGGGTATGGGGTATGGGGTTCGGGGCTCGCGTCTGCATTCGGCTCGAAACGGAGTTGTCGGTTCTAGGTAGTTGGCCGAACGATCTTTGATGATGGAGTAACTGGTACGCTGGCTTCCCTATGAGGTAAGCACGAAGAGACAGGAGGGATCCCCCATGGTGATTTCAACCTCCACAGATGTGTGAGAGTATGTCCTCACCGGTCTGAATGGGGCGGGTCTGAATGGGGTGGGTTAGACTAAATGGAGATAACGAGTGAGGGATAATGAATTATCTGAATGATGGCGGACCAAAGTTACTCTACTACATATCATGTTCATTGAAGAAGGAAGGTGCGACGGTAGAGCGACGGGAGGATAGTTAAGAGGACAGGTAAACAATACCTTTGCTTCCTTGAGGGGAGGACTTTGAATGCTTTATCGTTCGTGACTTATTCATGGCTGAGCGGTGATCTGGGTTGCAACGGGGCGTCTGTGTGCGCCGTGCGATACTTTAATCCGAATGGGTGCTGTTTATCTCGTCCGTTTATTGGCTGCTTGTTTAGTCCCTTGCAGCAATCAGCCGTGTTTCTTGGCAGTGATGGCATCGCTAGTGACTCTAAACACTACACGTCTTCCAGCTTCACACAAGAAATCACCGCGATAGGTACCTCCGAGTCCAAGAACCAGCATGTCACCACCGCAGAATAAAACTTCTGCGCCCGCGAAGAAGCAAGCGCCGGCTGCCACTACGACAGCATCATCCGAAGAGAAGAAGGCCCCTACCGTACAGGAAATTATTGGAGGAAAGTCATGGACGGGGAAATTGCCGCAGACGCTGTTGTGAGTTCTCTCCTCCGTATGTAGGTTGGTAGCTAGTTTGAGTGCGGAGTGCTGAATTGGAATTGCAGCTACGAGCACTGCGTCAAGAACGGCTGGGAGAAGCCACAGTACGATAATGTACGTCGCTCCCGTGTGCCCCATCCGGGGGTGTGTGCTGACCTCGATCCAGAAGCGCGACAAAGGCGGCTTCGTCTCGACGGTCCACATCGGCGTCAAGAACCCGCGCAGCGCCGAGATCGAGCGCATTTCCTTCCAACCACCGGACCTGCCGTGGGTTCCGCAACCGACCGCACTCGAGTCCCGCCACTTCTGCGCAACCTACGCTCTCCACCGTGTCTGCTCCATGAAGAACATCCAGCACATGCTGCCGCCAACGCATAAGCGCCTCTGGGGCGCGTGGGAGGATATACGGGTGGAGGAGAAGGCGGCGGGGAAAGGGTGGCGCTACGAGGCCGATCCGTTTGCGGTCAAGAGGGAACATGAGCTCGCCAGGATTAAGCAGGAGCAGAAACGGGAGGCGCAGCAGAAGGAGCCGAAGAAGTTTAAAGACTCGAAGCTTACATTGGGCGGTGGGAAGGGGTGGCAGGCCGTGCCGGTGGTGGACATGGGACGGGAACGAAGGGTGGAGGCCGAAGATTTGATCCGGCGGTATCATGTGTGGAATCCGTTGGGTATCACTCTCTCGAAAGATGCGCAGCGGCGGATCGTGGATGAATTGGTAGGGCTAGGCTTCAGGAAGCTGCATGCTGAGGAGGCGTGTGAATGGGTGAAGGATCGCGAAGAGGCGCTGGAGTGGCTATTGACGCATGTACCTGAGGACGATGTGCCGCCAAGGTTTTTGCCAGAGAACTATTCGGCGGGGATCACCATGTCGACTGGCGGGAGCCTTGGGGTTGAGTATGCCATAAAGCGACTGGCAACTATAGGGTACTCATTGGACTTGTGCCGGGAGGTGTTGGAACGGAATGCGCTGGATGAGCACCGCGCTGCCGAAGCGTTGATGGAGATGCTAGTGCACGGAAAGCAAATATCGCCAGTTGGAGTGGTGGAAGTGGATCTTCTAACCATCGAGCAGCACCACGACTGGGAGGAGGAACTAGCATCACTTGAGGCTATCTACGGAGCCGAACGATTTAAGTGTGTCTCTCCAAATGTGGTCAGAATAACGCTCGACATGCAAGATCGGGGTCCCAAAAATCTTCCTACTATCATCCTTGAGGTCCGAAAGCCAGCAGAGTACTCTGGATCGGTGTATTATCCTGAGACGATTCCTACCTTTGCGGTCATCACGGAGGGCGAGCGCAAACTTCCAGCACATGTCCGTTTGAGCATCATTCGACAGACCGCGGAGTACGCCGAAACGCTCAAAGGCGAGCAGATGATCTTCACCGTAGTCGACTGGCTAGAGAACGAAATTCTCCGTATCATAGCGAATCCGGGTCGATTACGGGACGTGGCTACAGCTATCACTGGCAGTGACGAGAGAAAAGATGAGCCATCATCCGTGCAGCAGAAGCGGCGACGAAATTTCCGCAAGAGGAGCCCGATCGACTGGACGCCGGGTACGAAGCAAAGTTTAGATATCATGCGCGCTACTGAGGCCCGACTCAATACTCCCGCACAGAGGAAAATGGTCGAGGCACGGATGCGGCTTCCGGCTTGGGAGGCACGGCACGATATCGTCAAGGCGGTCAATGAGGCGCAGGTGATCATCATCAGTGGAGAAACTGGTAGCGGAAAGAGTACGCAGGCGGTACAGTTTGTTCTCGACGACCTTATCCAGCGCAAACTGGGTGCTACGGCAAACATCGTCTGTACGCAGCCTCGACGTATCTCTGCACTCGGTCTCGCGGACCGTGTCAGTGATGAAAGGTGTCAGGCTGTTGGCCAGGAGGTCGGATACGCTATCCGTGGCGAAGCGAAGCAGACGCAGGGAGTCACTAGGGTTACGTTCGTGACGACTGGTGTGCTGCTTCGACGGCTGCAGATGGGTGATACGCTTGAGGATATATCGCATATCGTTGTCGATGAGGTTCACGAACGGAGTTTGGACACTGATTTCCTCCTCATCCTGGTCAAGAGGATCATCACTAAGCGGAAGGATCTGAAGATCATACTGATGAGCGCTACCCTGGATGCCGATGTTTTCTCGAATTACTTCGGAGGCAACAAGGTGGTTCGCAGAATCAACATTGAAGGCAGAACTTTCCCAGTCGAAGATATCTATCTGGATACTATAATCAAGACCACCGGTTTTACTGGCGGAAACCAGTATTCAGGAGGTGGGAAAGATAAGAGACTCGACGACGCGGAATGGGACGATACGGATCCGTCGACAAGCCTGATCATTCGGAATCTGGGCGACAGAATCAATTACAATCTGATTGCTGCGACTGTGACGGAAATTGATAAGCGGTTGACAGACACGGAGGGTGCAATCCTCATCTTTCTACCTGGTAATATCCCTTTTCTTCGTTGTAAATCAGAAGATACTGAACGAAGTAGGTACAATGGAGATCTCACGCTGTCTCGAAGCCATCCGGTTCTTGCCCGGTGGCTCGTCTCGGTTCCATGCCCTTCCACTCCATGCATCACTTACGCCATTGGAACAACGTCGCGTCTTCCCCCCGGCGCCGAAGGGCCTACGAAAGATCGTAGCGGCTACCAATGTTGCTGAGACTTCCATCACCATCGAGGACGTTGTCTGCGTCATCGATACCGGAAGGGTCAAGGAAACTTCCTTTGACGTGGCGAATAACGTGGTTAAACTCCAGGAAGTGTGGGCGTCTCGCGCAGCAGCAAAACAGCGCCGCGGACGTGCTGGTCGTGTTCGCGCTGGCCAGTGCTATAAACTCTACACTAAGGGCACCGAAACACGAAAGATGCCAGAGCGCCCCGAGCCAGAGCTGAAGCGTGTGCCGCTGGAACAGACGTGTCTCAGTGCTAAGGCGATGGGTATCAAGGACGTGCGAGCGTTCTTGGCTGCGGCCATCAGTCCGCCCAATATTGTTGCCGTTGAGGGTGCTCTGGCCTTATTGGAGAAGATGGGCGCTGTCGTCGACGATGAGCTTTCGGCGCTGGGAAGGCATATGTCCATGATACCCGCGGATCTCCGGTGTTCCAAGCTCATGGTGTACGGCGTCCTCTTTGGCTGTCTCAGCTCAGCGCTCACCATCGCAGCCATCCTCACAGCGCGATCTCCATTTTCTTCCCGGATGGATACACGGGAAGAATCCAAGAAGTCTCGTGTTCAATTCGCCAAGTCCCAAGGCGACCTCCTGGCGGACTGCCGGGCATGGGAGCAATGGTCGGAAAAGCGTAAAAATCTTTCTCGCGGAGAGCTCCGCCAGTGGTGCCAGGACAACTTCCTCGATTCTCAAGTCATGTTCGACATCGGGTCCAACCGCTCCCAATATATCGACTCTCTCCGCGACACCGGCTTCCTCCCATTCGGCAGTCGGAGCCAACCGCTCCTTCCAACGGAGCTCGACAGGAACGAAGGCAACGACATCCTGCTCCGCGCTCTCATCGCCGGTGCCTTCACTCCGCAGATCGCACGCATCCAGATGCCGGAGCAGAAGTTCGCGTCAAGCTCGTCGGGTGCCCTGGCCGTGGATCCAGAGGCGAGGACGATAAAGTACTTTTCCAACGACAGTGGCCGCGTCTTTGTGCACCCGTCCAGCACCGTATTCGAGGCAAAATCGTTTCCTGGCAACGCTGGGTTCATGACTTTCTTTGGAAAGATGGCTACCAGCAAGGTGTTTCTGCGCGATTGCACTCGTAAGCTCCCTCTTCCTCTCGCCTCCCCGTGCTTTCCCTTGGCTAACATCTCGTAGCGGTGAATACCTACTCCCTCCTCCTCCTCGGCGGCAAGGTCGAAGTCGACACTATGGGGCGCGGTATCACTATCGACAGCTGGCTGCGACTCCGTGGATGGGGAAGAATAGGCGTTCTGGTTCGACGGCTGAGGGCGATGCTGGATACCGCGCTCGACGGCATGATTGATTCGCCGGATACGGCGCTGAAACATGGGCATGATGAGGTGGTCAAATGTGTTATCGGACTCATTGAGGGTGATGGTACGTGATCCGCTGTGTTTGGTTTGGACGGGCGGACGGACGTGGGGTTTCTTGTTATGGCTGGCATAGATTGGGTGGGTCGATGTACTCTAGATGATGGGATACACATGGGATACACGTATAGTAGTATGACTGAATGACTAGATGACTAGATGGATTGGTGTTATGGGTCTCTGAATGGATTTGGAGCATACATGCATGTTCACTCGTGAGATATCGATACGAGGGACTTGGAAGTGTCGTGTGAGGCATCACGGAGCCGAACCGGATGTGTATCTGCTATGGTCTACTAAGGTCGAATGTAATAATATCTTCACTGTATCCCATTCACGCCGCCATTACGCTGAATGTAGCTCCGTAATAAGGAAAGTTGAGTTGAGGGCAGGCACCGTACCAGCAGACGTTACCCACTGCAAACGGCTCAACCGATGTTGGAACTTGGAAGTCGTTCCAAGAATTTGGAAGCAGCAGATGAAAATTGGAACCCGGCTCTTCCGTGCGAAATTGTGGAATCGGCAAAGAAATAACAGAACAAAGCCTTGTTCCAACTTCCAAGCCATCGAGTCGGGGCGTTTCGTCACAGATAACACTACCGAAACCCCATGGAAGCCAGCATCCCCACAAGGGAGAATGCATCCGGCCAGAGGGTCTTTTTCCGGTCGTCGCCGGGAATAGTCTCCTCGTGCGGACTGCGGATATTCCGCTCGATTGGAGGGGAGGGATCGCACAGGATGGATGATATTTGGTGTGTGCTTCGCCGTCACTCGGTGAAGGCTGGACCGAGGAAGTAATCTGAGCCGGTCCATTGGGACGGCGGATGGCTGTATGGGGGGATTATCTACCGTTCGACTTCTTGTGCCGTTATTTGTATGTATGGACCGGTATCCTTGAGGTTTGGTGATTGCTTCGGTTATTGATAGTTATCTACCAGGGAAGGGAAGGGATACCTATTCCTGTGGTACCTATGATACCTATTTGCCACTGGATAAGGGAAGTCCATAGTAGGCTCACCAAATCGGGGCTAGAACTCGAGAGATAGGTATCTATGAACTGAACAGTGAACATGACGGAGAACTTTTCACTACTTCCTACTTGTTTCTTGAGTAGGCAGTACTATACTCTCCACTACTATGATAGCTATGACTTCATCTACAAGGTACCGGTATGTATGATACCTAGAACTCTCATCGCGAAAAAAAGGACACATCCATTCAGATCGGGGGTAAATACTATACCGGTACTCTACTCTATTCCCTAGCCACCCTCTCGAGTCTTCAGGCCATCCCAGGCCATCCCAGTCAACCCATAAGGCAGATTTAAGAACAAGCAACTCGGATATCCACTATCCAGAGTCTAGGCAGTTGAGGGGATGAATTCTGAAGCTTGGACAGGCCAACTTCCAAGCCGCAAGCAGCATCGAAAGCGCCCTCCCTCCCTCCCTCCCTCCCTCCCTCTCTCCCTCCCTCCTCCGAAATCGGCACCCAGTCCGACCCGTGAAACAACGGAACAGTGTAGGACGAAACGAAGGGCCAGATTACTAGGCAGTATCTATATCAGATCAGGATTCAGTGGGTAGGCTGGAATCTAGATCCGCCCTTGGCGGGAGTGGGCGGCTGACGATGGATACTGATGTAGTACGGTACTACATACGCCTATGCGGCATCCCGTGCGGACGCGCAACGAGAAGGGGGACGGGGTGGGAGACGGGGTGGGGGGAAGGAAGGAATTGGCGATATCTAGATACATCTGCTGTAACGGTAGCGGGGCGGCGGGGGTTCGCTTCGGAGGTGCTGGGGAGGGGATACTCCAGGTACTCTATCGTAGGTATCATTGGATGGCCTTCTCGATCGTGTGCTCACTCCTCAGGACTGAGGCGTAGCTTTTAGCTCCGATGCGTCCATTTCCGAAGTCAACTGGATCACCACCCAGGAGTCCAAGCCTCAAGAGACCGGCGGCATTCGTCGATAACGACGGAGGCAAAAGCGGCTTCGAGTTCATGCACACCACGCGTCCCGGGGGGAGGTCTGCTAGCCTCTGGGTAGTCTGTAACGTGCCCAGAATCCGAGCCAGGAAATGCACATCTCAGTCGCGATGCTTCCGCGCTTAACGAGTCGGCCGGAGGAGTAAGCATTGAGCACTGAGCCAGGCCCCTGGTCAAAACAACCAAACAAAGGGGAATTCTAGATCTGGAGCGGTAGGTAGGTGCTACAGTACTTTATATGTAGTCACCCATCTGCTCCGAAATCCGCAATTTCGGTACTTCGGTATGTAGGTACATGGTAGGTACATCAAACAGACAAGACGCGTGAGGAAGTTATGATATGTATGGGGGTAGTCGCATAAGGGTCTCGCCAGGGGGGAAGACGCGATACATATTACACACCCTGGCTCGGAATGCACTGGCGATCCAGGAGGCGTTGTTATTGGTGGGGAAATCGACAGCTTTTGCTTGTTTTGTTTAATCGGTGATTGCATACGATGGGGAAACCAGTGCCTGGTTCGGCAAGACGGCAGATGTGCTGTGCCCGAGTGCTGAGCGGTGACGGCGGTTCCGAGGGCGGCGATTGAAAGTTGCAATGGGGTCTGCGAAGGAGATTGTCGCCGCCGAGATTCCAAGCTTTTCGGAGATGCTGCACCAGCAGAGTTCAACGGTAATGGCCGTATCGTAACTGCATCTTACTCTGCTCTAATAATTATCGACTCCCGAGTCCCAATCTTCAAGCGATGCCCTGCGCTGCCGCGATCTCTCTAGCGCCCATTCGCTCTGATCTATTTATGCCCGATCTACCGACTCCTGAGGGCTGAGGGCTGAATCCTGAGCAATGAGCAGCGAGCAGTGAGTGCTACTACTACACATACTATCTAGCAGGTTACAATCGGCAAGTACTCAGGCAGGGCGGCTAAGCCAGGTACCTTCCTCTCCGCGCGACCCCCACCAGCCTATGGAAGGTGTCGCGCAGCGACATCCAAAACACAGCTGAAACTGCCAGTGCAACAACAACCACCACCACAACAACGGCCATGTACGAGATAGTTATACCCCACCACCCCATATGTAGGAGGGATCTTTCGTCCGCCGCCGGTATTCCTCTCCATTCCATCATTTCACATCCTCTTCTCATCCTTCTTCTTTTTTTGTTCCTTGCGTTTATTTCCATTCTTCGGTTTGCGTCAACGTCAACGTCGATTGCTACCGCACATACGAGCCAGCCTCGTTTCTTTGTTTTATTTTCATTCAGCTCACATTCCACGACGGCAGGCCCACCCACAGTTCAGAGTTGACATCTGTACCTTTCATTATTTCACTGTCCGTAACAGCAGAAGGCAAGGAGAAGAAGAAGCAGAAGAGGAACGAAGCAAGAAGGATTCATCGCAGACAAATCATCTTCTTCGGCTATCCGTCGATATCCCGACAATCACCATCCGGCAGGACCGAATATCCAAACACGGCGACTGCTTCATTGCTCTCTCGTCCAGATCCCCCTCCATCACATAATCACCCCCCTTCCGACCAGTCTCAGTCTTCAGACAACTCGTACATCGAGCCTCAGTACGAGCCCGAAACCGAAACGAGGGGCCGCACACGCACAGACACACGGAGTTTCAATTCCAGGTTCCCATCGGCGCTTCCACTTGACTCCAATCCTTTACTCGATATAACAAGCACATATGTCTCCTCGTTCACGATCCAACACTCGCACCGCATGGACGTATCTCGGACTTGCAATGGCTCCGACGATGATAATAGCACTACCGACAGCAGAGACGGCGCATGGGGGAATGCGGGTCAGGAATATCGAGATACGATATCCGGCCGGCGAATCGCGCAACGGAACTTCGCCATTCCCTCCGCCACCACCACCGCCACCACCAAAGAACGATCACGATAGCGATGATGATGACGAGAGTGATGACGACGACGTGGTTGCGTCTGCCAGCATCTCTGCGGGTATCCCATTGCAGACGGGCATTCCGGAGGCTGAGGCCGCAGCGATGAGGGTGCAATCACCCGAAGAGGAGACGAAGGAGCATTGGATGATTGCCATGGGATCTGTCGGTATGTTCCCTCCCCTCTTCTCTGCACAAGGCCGTCCACTGACCAACCGCCAGTGTCATTCGTGGTAATCTGCGCCGTCTGCTTCTTGCTCTGGAAATGGCGAGCAGTAATCGCAAAGAAGATCTTCCCGAACCGGGGCAACAACCGCAATTCCTTCTCTTCGACCGCCGAGAAATCCCGGCCGATCATCACCGGCCCGACCGACGGCTGGCAATCCGTAGGCTCCGACGCCCCCGCGTCGCTGTACCACATCCCGCTCTTCGGCGCACCCACCACCGAATCCGGCACCACCGAAGACGGCATCTTCGCCATGCCGTACCCACCGGCGCCCGCGCTCGCGCCCTCAACCGCACAGATGGGGCGACAGGGGTCCCTGCGGCGCCTCGTGCGGCGCTCGCTCCTTGACGAGTCAGACCGGCAGCGGATCGCATCGCCCACGTCGGACGGACACACGCACACGTTCTACCTCGAGAACGAGCTTGCGGCCGGCACCACCGCAGCGCGCAAATCTATCCCCACGCGCAAGACCAAGCGCGAGTCGCTAAGCCTGAACATTGCGCCCGCTGCGGCCACCGCGTTCCCGCCTGCCCCCGCAATCCCGGACTCCCCTGAGGCTGCGCGAGAGATCAGTAGGTTCAGCTGGATCACCGCCGCAAAGAGCGTCCGCTCCTCCGTGTCAATGGAGAGTCAGCCAGTTAAGCATAGAACTGTCAACTCGTGGGTCAGCCAGCAGGCGAATCGTACCATGTTGAAGAATGATGCCACTACTGCCCAGGTTCCGCCGACGCCCGTGGAGTTTAGAGCGCATCCGGGCGCTGAAGTTGTGTTTGGTAGCGGCGGAAGGAGGATCGAGAGCCGTGTGCTCGACATGAGGCTGGATGCTAGGTCGTGATCGAGAAGGATGTATTATGGTTTTGGTTTGTTTGGTTGCTTTTGGTTACTTTATAGCGGGTGTATGTACATGGTATTTCTCGTATTGTTTTCCTTTCCTTCTGGTGTTTAATAGGATCGGTGGGTGGGGAGTCTGGGGAGTCTGGGGACGGTGGTTGGGTTGGGTTGGGGGAGTTATGTTATGTATGTACAAGTGTCAACGGGAAAAAACATCCATAACTGCAATCGCATTGCCTTATTCCTGTACCATAAACCCCCTTCCCCATCCCCGCCCACCCTCACCAGCAGCAAGAGTAACTACAACCTCGCCCCCCCCTCCCCCACCAAAATCCTCTCCAACCCACATCTCATCTTTGCCTCCAGCGCCTTAACCGGCCTCCTACTCCGCGCATCAACAAAAACATGCGTGAACCCGCCCACGGCACACACCTTGTCCCCGCCCCCCACCCGGAAGAACCCCACCTCGTACTGCACACTGCTGGTCCCCAGCCGTCGCACGCACAGGCCGAGCTCTACCGCCTCCGGGAATGATAAAGACAAGAAGTACGTGCAGTGGCTTGAGATTACGAGGCCTATCTGCTGCTGAGGCTGCGGCTGCTGCTGGGTGGTGGGCGTGGAAGAGGGGGCGCTGGAAGGGGAAGGGGTGGGGGTGGGGGTGGGAACAAGCCCGCAGTGCGAGATCAGGTAGCTGTTCACGGCGCTGTCGATCAGGAAGGCGTACACGCTGTTGTTCAGGTGGCCGTACTGGTCGTTGTCGGACCAGCGCGTGCTGTGTGTGGATTTGTGAGGGTAGTCGGCGAGGGTGCGGGATTTGAGGGGGTTTGGGGCGGTGGGTGGCATCGATGGAAGAGTGGGTGGGGGAGGGGTGGTGGGCTTGGTGGGCTTGGTGGGTGGTGCGGGAGAGGTGAGCTTGGGAGAGGTGAGCTTGGGAGAAGTGGCGGCGTGGGAAGTGGCGGCGTGGCGGCGTGGGACGCGGTGGGGGAGTTCGTCAAAGGTGTGGGCGTTGCAGGTACGGGCGGGAGAAATGTGGTCGTCCACCCTGTGGGCGGGGGACGCGATACATATCTGGTGCTGGTGTTCGTGTGCGCGCTGGGAGCGTGGGCCGAGGCTCGGTTGACGCAGCACGATGCTTGATAGTGCTCCCCCAAACCCCGGTTCGGCTCGGGAGTGGTGCGGATCGGTTTGGTCGGAGGTAAATAAAGTACTTCAGGCACAGTCTGTGGATGGCTTGTGACAGACAGGCTTCAGAGGTAATGGGAAAGTAAGGCTGTTGCTTGAATTCACCAGCTCGAGACGGGACATCGACATCACCCGCTTCCTTTCACGTCACTCAGCCGAAAGAAACTCGGTATTTCTATCTCCCTCTGATCTCCCTCTCGAGAAAAAAAATCCTGATACATAAGAAAAACCCAGCGGATACCTACCAGACATGCAAAAGCAAAAGCAAAAATGGAGAAGCAAAAAGTATCCTAGTACACCGAACCCCCAGCAATACCAGAACCCAGAACTTTACAACATAACAAAACTTTTCTTCATTCACCGCCCCTACTCATCGTTCATATTCAGCTCATCGAACTCATCCAGCAGCTCATCCATGCCGATCTCCGGCAGACCACCGTCCTCGTCCTCGTCCTCATCGCCATCCATCTCATCGTCCGTGTGCGCCGGCGCAGCGGCAGCGGCATCGTCCGTCTCCATCTCGACGCCATCCATCTTCTGCGTCTTGGGCGGGTTCTTCCTGGTGCTCTTGAACAGCTGCAGGGTCTGTCTGAGCTCGGTATCCTCCTCGATCTCGCGCAGAAACAGCTCGTAGTCGCGTTCAGCACGGTCCTGATCCTGTTTGCGGGGCAGCATCTCGCTCTCCTCGCGGGAGATGTGGCGGAGCTTCCACGCGCGGGTCTTGTTCTTGCGGCGGCGCGGGTAGTGTTTCTTGACGAGCAGGACGGGCGGGACGTGGGAGTCGGGGATGCCCTCAAAGTGCGAGTTGTTGAAGTTGCTGCCGGTGAGGTGGTAGCCCATTGCGTCGTCGCCCGGGTGCAGTATCCCGCCCAGGTGCGTGCGGATCGTGAACTGGTGGTTGTCGGAGCTGCGCATCACCTCGACGTCGGCCAGGATGAATTTCCCCCGTGTGGGGCCCACCGGCTCCACGTTCAAGATGAAGTACTCCGTCAGCTCCGTCACGTTCGCGAGCGACGGGAACGGGTCCCGCCAGTACACTTGGTTCGAGATCTCGGCCACCTGCAGCGTATTCGGGTCCATCAGGTGGATCGAGTTGCCGATCTTCGTGCACAGCAGGAGCTGCGGGATGTTGCCGAGCTGCTTCGCCAGCTTCGAGGGAAGGCACACCAGGTCGTCCTTGCACACCGGCACGATCTCTATCGAGTACGTGAACTTGTACGACTTGGTCGAGGTGTGGATATCCTGCGAGATGAGCTCGGACGACTTTTGGCTGCGCACGGGCGTGACGGCGCTCAGGAAGTCCACCATCTTGACGGCGTGGTTGCGCTGCGCGTAGAAAAAGTCCAGCCCGTCCTTCGTCTCCCGGATCGAAATCGTGTCCTTGTGCGCATTGTGCTTGAGGATCAGCTGCTCCAGGTACAAGAACGTCCGCTTGTGCGAAACCTTCTGTCGCACCTGCACGCACGCCCGCCACGTGTTGGGTGTGTACGATTTCGCGCAGTCGGGACACTGAGTGTAGACCACCACGAACTCGACCTCGAACGTCTGCACCAAGAAAGTAGTTTGATACGCCTGTCATTGCCCCATCAGCGCCTTCCCACATCACCGTTCCCCCTCCCCCCTGGTAATACTCACATCCTGCACCTTAATCTTCAATTTAATCCTCTTACTGTGAGGCTCCGTCCAGATAAAGCTCGCATCGACCAGCCTGACCTTTGCGAGTCCCCTGAGGCGTCTTAAACACAGCGCCATCAACTCCTTCGACTCGAGCTGCGCGCCAACCCAGTGCTGCGGCGGCTGCAGCCACCGCTCACACCCGTTGCAGAAGTGTACCGACGCCTCCCGCTGAATCCCCTCCGATATGTCAACGTTCAGCCGGATGCACGACTCGCACATCGCCATGCCCGTCGTCCCGCTCATCGGCGCTCCGCATGTCGCGCACAGGATGTTGGCGGCACCCGCCGCCGTCGCCGTGTACGGCGTGTATGCGATCGGGGCGTCGATATCCATGGCTGCTGTAGTAGTGGTGGTTTGTGGTGTTGTGTTGTGGGGGGTGTTGTGTGAGGGAGTTGTGGGAGTTGTCGAGGGAAGGAGGGTTCAACACTGCTTTTTGGAGGGGTCTTTTGCCCCGCAATAAAGTATTTCTATCTAACGAAAACCTTCGAGCAGGGGCTAAGCAAGCGCATTATTAATATCACGTGGGAATTGGCCATCATCATCACCATCACTCATCGTGGCAATGGATGATACCGTGTGTACTCGCCACCCAGAATCTCGTCTCCGTTACCCATTATCATTAACCTTCCCCAGCTCGTCCACTCGTCCCAGCCCGTCACGAAAGAAAAATCGACATCGTGAGCTCAACTTTCAACGCCATCATATCTAAAGACCAAGCAAGACCAAGCAAGACCAAGCGAGACAGACAGACAGACAGACAGGCAGACAAAAAAGCGCATCCAAAAGAGGGCGACATAGACTAGGTATATGGCAATAGAAGCAGACAGAACGCAGGTAGGTAAGTAAGTAAGTAAGCAAGCAGACTTCGAACACGGAAAAGTAGGCAGAAGATATCAAAGGAAAACCCGTCCCCCCGTACAGAGATGCAAAGAAAATGAAACGAAACGAAGAGAAAGAGAAAAAATCGCAAACGATAAAACAACGAAACGCAGCATCGGAAGAAGAATGCCGAATTTTAATGCCACCGACGCCACCCAGCCCCCCGTCCCATCCATCCATCCATCCATCCAGCCACCCGCCCCTTCCCAAATCATAACCATCTGTCGTCGTAAATCTCAATTACCCGAGAGCCGATCTCCTCCCATCGCTAACGGTGGCTCTCTCGTCCTCCTCGAGCACATCGCTCAAGCGCGTCGGGTGGTGATGTCTCGAGATTGGCTCCCAGGTGTTTACGATACCGACGCCGCCGCTACCCCCATATCCTACACTACCACCATTACCATCGTATCCGGTTCCATCATAACTGGGGTACGTACCCCATTCTCTGTCTTCCGGGTAATTGTCTTCGTCTTCTTCGCTGGAGAGGTCTCCCGGTTGCCGGACCCGCAGGGGCTCGCCGTCGGACCCGATCACGATGTTACCATGCTCGTCCGTCTCGAAGGCGATCGATGTTGTGCTGATAGTTGGCGCCGGCGAGCCAACCATCGGATTGGTGGCGTATGAAACCGGCGATGGGTTGGTCGATGGCGGGCCGACTTGCGAGCCTTCCATGTCGTGGAGGGAACTAGGTGTTTGCTGGTAGAACCCTCGGTCCGACACCGACGACTGCTGCTGCTGCTGTGGCGACTGGACTGGCGGGTACGCAGGCGACGGCGTTCCGGTCGCAGTCGTGGTCCGGGCGGTAGCAGCCGCCGTCGAAGTGGGCTGTGGCTGTTGCGGCTGGAGATCGATGAGATCTGACTCGTGGTGAAGCGGCGACGGCGATTGCGGCTGCGACGGCGGGTGCGACTGGCGATAAGTCTGCTCCTGGGCGAGCGGGTGTGGCTGACGTGTCGTAGGAGCGGCCGTGCCCGTCTGCGGGCGGTCATTGTGGCCTTCCGATTGAGGACCAGTAGCAGCGCCTGGATTAGGCGGGCCGGTCGCTGTCCGCGGTCTGTTGGATTGGCTGTTGCTTCTCGATGGGACTCCGGGCATCGGCATCGGAGTGACCTGGACACCGCCCACCAGAGCGGGATGGCCGTCTCTAAGACTAGTGGTGACTTCGCGCTCGTCTTGCTCCCGTCGCCCGAGTTCCTCCCACGCACGCCTGCACTCTTCCCTCGAGATCTGCAATTCGCGACGCGTCTCCTCGACCATCTTCTCGGCCGTAGTCTTGTCCTTATCCAATTGGCGTATCTGCGTGACCGCGTCTGCGCGCTGTTGCCTCTCGATGCGGAGCGAGCGCTCCAGCTCACTGCTCATCTCGCGCGCCCGTTCCTGATCCGCGCGCGTCTCAAAGAACCATCGCTGGAACTTCCTCTCGGAAGACGCGCGCAATCTCTGCAGTTCGATCAGCGCCTGAAATAAGTTGGCGCCAGCGGCAGCCAAGTCCGTGATCTGCCGCGACATCTCCTGCTCGAGCGGCAGGTGCGAAAGCTCCTGTCGGTTCTGCTCGAGGCGCGATACCCAGTACCCGGTCAGCCCTTCCCAGCGTGACGAAAGCATCTCCCAGCGCTCGAACGCGTGCGGGAACGAACTGCTGTTCGCCGATTGCTGCTGCTGGTAGGTCTGCTGATTCTGACTGCTGGTGGTGCCGGTGCCTCGCGCCGACGAGGTGCCCGCAGCAGCAGCGCCAGTAGGCGGATTGGAGGTGGACGGGCGAGGCGCATGAGACTGACCCTGTGATTGGAGCACCGGCTCGGGCTGACGGGGATTCGCCGCGGCGGTGGGACGAAACGAGGCTTGTTGTTGCGGTTGTTGTTGTTGTTGTTGTTGTTGTTGTTGTTGTTGTTGTTGTTGTTGTTGATGTTGATGTTGATGTTGTTGTGATGTTCCCCCGCGCGGCGACTGCTGTTGATGCGACGTGGTGGGCCTCTGCGCGTTCGCTACTCTTGGTGGCATGGCTCTGCCCTGGGGCCCACTTGCGGGTCCGATCGGCCTGGCTTTGTCCTCAGCACTTCCTGCTCCACCTGCTCCATCCCCCGCGCCTACCGCAGCGACTGGTGCGCCTCTGGTCTGAGTGTTCTGCGTGTGCCTTCTCGGCGACGGTTCCTGGGCGGCGGCAGTGGCTGCTACCGGTCTCCCACCACCCCCGCCTCCACCTCCACCGGTAGCGGCGGATTGCTGTCGCGTATGCCCGCGCTGCACAGTGACATTGCCTGGGACGTAGTTCTGTTGCTGTTGCTGCTGTTGCTGGACAGGAATGGGGCCGGGTGCGCTGGCTGCCATCATCGCGGACATGGACGCGTTTTCCTCTTCCAGATCAGGGGTGAGCTGGTGGGGACCGCGAAGGGCTTCTTCGAGGACGTACAGGATTGCGGAGAGGGTGCGCTGGTCGACGAATCTCGGGTGCTGTTCGAAGAGGGTATCTTGGAGGGTTGGGAGGGTGTTTGGAATGGGGGCCTGTGATCTTCGTAGATACTCTCCCCTCGTCGGTGTGGGTGACGACGACGAGGTTGGAGACGTGGTGGAGGAACTGGACAAGATGGTGGCGGTGGTGTGGGAGTCTCGGCGCAGGGCGGGAGGGAAAAATGGAGAGGCTGCGAAACCGGAGCAGTCGCAAGCGTGTGGTGCAGCGTGGGCGGCGGGAGCGTAACAACAACACCTTTTCGTAACACCAGCAACGGAAGGGACGGGGACGACGGGGGGAAGCGAGCGAGCCAGCGGTTCGTAGCGGGTGGGCGCCAAAGAGGCGACGAAAAGAGATGGCGGGAATGGAATGGCAGAGGGCGTCCTCCTCCTCCTCCTCTTCTTCTTGTTCTTCTTCTTCTTCTGCGTCTTCTTCTGCGGTCTTCTTCTGCTGCTGCGGCCTTCTTTCGTCTCCTACTTCTACAGGCCAATCCGCTGCTGCAGCAATGCGTATTCGCCGGCAGCAATTGCAGGTGTAAGCGATCCTTCTGCGTCTATCCTGTGTACTAGTCAGTAGTGTATCTTGTTATCCCAGCGTGTCAGCTTTCGTCCTCATTGACTGACAGCAGCCATCGGGCGGTGAGGTGAGATGTAAACAAGGGTGGCTGGTGAGGCGGAGAAATGTATGGATAGTAGATGTGGTACCTACCTGCGCAATCGGGGAGGCTGGGGATTCGGGGGATTCGACGGGAAGAATGCCAAACACTCCAAACACACCAGACTCGGATGGCGGTTCCAATAGCAATTGCAGTCTCTCTCGATCCTCATCAATGGTCCGCACGAGTGGTCATTCAATTGACCCCGTTCTCCGTCCCTCCCCCTGCTACTAGATAGTTATACCGGTAAATGGTACCCCTTCTCGATATATATGTAGACCACCACCACAGCCACCACCACCACGACTACTCGTGCGGTTCCAGCTCCGTTTCTCGCTTTCCTCGCCGGTCTGTCTGTCTGTCTGTCGTAATGATGCGTTGTCCAGTGTCCAGTGTCCACACCGCACCGCACCGCGAAACCAAATATAGCCGGGCAGAAAGGTAAACACCCCGGAGGCTGGGATGTGGGGGATGTGCTGCTGCGGTCTGTATGTGCGAATTGTGTGTGTGGTCGTGGTGTAGGAAACGAATGGACCGTAGACGGACGAACCAGAACGTGTGGATCGAGGTGGAGGAGGAGGATAACAAGCCTTTGCATACGATGTGATGTGATGGAGATGTCTGCTACTGGGGAATCGGCGAAGGCGATGGGACGCGTCGATTTCGCGCATGTCACCCACCCGCAACCCCCCATTTGCGACCCGGGTCTTCCTTATTTCGATATTAAAGCTCATCTTACTTTCCCGCAGCAGCAGCAGCAGAAGCAGCATGTTCCCAGCGTGCGAGTGGGGGGATGGGGGAATTGCATGCACTACTACTATCTACTCTACATATCATACCTATACTACCGGTATAATCGTAGAGTAAATCGCGGCTGCCCGCTCCCCTCTACTCTACACTCCCCGCCTTCTCCGCCGGCTGGCTGACCGGCTGGCTGGCCGTCCCACTCTCCGCCGCCACTGCCGCCATTGCCGCCATGACATCTGTTGCCTTTTCCACACCGCCCACCACCTCCTCCACCTTAGCCTCCCTCACCTCGATCCCCAACCTATCCGCCAGCACGCCGGCCCACACACCAGCGACACCAGCGACGGTCTCCCCCTCGACCCCCTCCCTAAGCAGACTAGTAGCCTGCTTCCCCTCAAGGCCACAAGCCACAATCCTATCGAACCACCAGAGGTTTGTGTTGACGTTAAGTCCCACTCCATAGCTCGTGACGTTCCTGCGCATGTGGACTCCGACGGCGCAGATCTTCCTTTCGGCGCTCGTCCACACGCCTGGATCGGCCGTCGTGAACCCGCGGATCCCGTAGTGCGCCAGCGTGCCGATCACGCTGTCCTCGAGGAGGCGGATGTAGCAGCGCGGTGAGAGCGCGTGCGTCTTCAGGTCGAGGATGAGGTAGCCAGTTAGCTGCCCCGGGCCGTGGAAGGTTGTCTGCCCCCCGCGGAGTGTGGGCACGACGGATGCACGCCCGGACGTGCTGAGGTGCGAGGCTTGCGACGAGGTCAGCGTGCGCTCGCGCCGGCCGAGGGTGTAGGTTGGTGGGAATTCGGCGGTCAGGAGGGTTGGTGGTGGTGGGGAGTGCGAGGCGGAGGGGGACTTGGAGGCGAGGAAGAGCGATACGAGGTGCGATTGTAGCGCCGCGGCGGCGGAGAAGGGGATGCGCCCCAGCGGGACGTGGTGGAGCGGCGGAGGCATGTGTACATAGGATGGCCGGAGTGAAGGCGGTGTGATGTCACTTAGTTAGCCCCTGGTGGGGCGGCGTGACTTGTGTAATGGCGTTTTCCGGCGGGGCAGTATCATAACTAGAGACTCGACATCTGCCACCTGCCACCTGCCATCCCTCGCCACCACCACCCCAGCACCACACATTACCATCCACCATGTCGGTCCCACGAATCCACATCCTCGGCGGCGGCAACATCGGCAGTTTCGTCGCGCACGGGCTCCGCTCTTTACCCTCTCCGAAGCCCGAAGTGACGCTCCTCCTACGCGGGACCACCTACCAAACCTTCCTCTCCCGCTACTCTGTCTATGTCGAAGACGTAACGACCGTACCACCGACGCACAGCGTACGGCGGATCACTACTGCGCTGCCGAGTGCATCAACCTTTCTACCGACGCGGATCCAGAACCTCGTGATCGCGACCAAGACGCACCAGCTGGGCGCGGCGCTCGCGCCGCTGATCCCACGGCTCACGCGCGAGTCCACCGTCGTCTTCCTGCAGAACGGGATTACGCCGTCGCCGTCGCAGCTGTTTCCGGACCCGTACATGCGGCCGCGCGAGCTGTGGGCCGGCGTGGTTACGCACGGCATCAATAGCGAGTGGAAGTTTAGTCTGAAGCTCGCGGCGCGCGGGGAAATCGTGCTGGGCCCGCTGGGGGAGGGCGTCGCGGGCGATGACGCGAGGCTGAGGAGGAAACCGCTGCTGGTTGAGGCGTTGGCGCGTATGGAGGGCGGCAGGACTGTCGACACTGCTGGAGAGCTGCTAAGGTGCCAGTTGAGGAAGTTGGCGGCGAATGCGGCGATCAATGCGCTAGCGGCGGTGCACGATGTGAAGAACGGAGAGTTGTTGGCGATGCCGGAGGCGCTGGAGACGATGAGGGCCGCGGTCAGGGAGGTGGGTGACCTGGTCAAGGGTATGTTGGGAGAAGACCTGGTGGAGGGGGGAGAGGAGGCGCTGTGGAAGAGTGTGCGAGACGTCGTGGAATTGACGGGAGAGAATACGTGCAGCATGCTGCAGGATCTACGAGCGGGAAAGAAGACGGAGATACAGGAGATTAACGGGTGGGTAGTCGAGAAGGCTACGGAGCTGGGGCTCGACTGCAAGGTCAACAAGGAGCTAGTGGAGAAGGTGAAGGCGCTGGAGAGAGAGAAGGGGATTCTCGAGGTGGAGCCCGTGACGAAGCTGGTTATCGAGGAGCAGCATCCGCGTGACAGGAGGAGGGTAACGAGGAAGGTCTTCAATAACTCCCCGATGGATCGTCCACCGACGGTGCCCGGTCTTGCAAGGAGAGTACCAGTGTAGATACCAGACATTAATGGGTGTGCGTTTGATACCATCACTCACTCGCAGTACCTACCGTGTACAAATGAAACCTACCATTAAGCACACACAAATTTCTCAAGTACAAACCCCATAGTATCATCGACTGCCCATCGCAGCCCTCTCCTCCAACAGGTCTCTCTGTCCGAAGAAATCACCCACGACAGAAATGATCATATCCAGCATGCCGATCGAGTCCTCAACGCTGTAGAACTCGATTTCGGGCTTTTTAGGCTCGACGACTTCGCCTTCCTCTTCGACTCCCTCTTCGACTTCCTGCTCAGACTCCTTTGCTTCTTCGGCCTTGCTGCTCACCTCCACCTTTGTCTCTTCTGTCTCCGCGCCATCTCCTTCCTCAGCCTCCTTCGCCTCCTTCCCTTCATCCCCCTCCCCCTCCCCCTCCCGCTCCCCAACCATCATCCCCCTCCTCATCCCCACCGCAACCTTGCCCAGCTCCCTCACAACCGCCACCTCCTCAGCAACCATAACATCCTGACACCTCAGCAGTAGCGCCCAACACCACGCGCCCCAATTTTTCGGCATCCCCCTACCGCGCGCATTCCTAACCCTCATCCTCCAGCCGATCCAGCCGGCCACATCTCCCAGCAACCTCACAACCTCCCACTGCTGCATACTCCAGACCCAGCCCAGCCTCGGCGGCTGCGTCGACACCAGCGCGCGCCAGGCTTTCGCATCGCTCCAGCGCGGGAACGGCCGCGAAGCGGCCCCCCGCGGCGGCGTGGAAGATAGCCGCCCCCGCAGCGAAACGAATAGGCGCAGGATCGGCGCGTGGAACGCCGGTGCCGCGGAGCGCGCGGGCGATGGGTGCAGCGACACATAGGTACTTTCCGCAAAGTAACAGTGCTCCCCCCCCTCCCCCTCCCCCTCCCCGGAAGCGGCCGTGGGCTCGTCGTAATTCAGCACCACATCCTCCGCCTCCCGCTGTGGCTTCGCTGCCGGCGGCCGGTGCGAACTGCTCACGTGCGGCGCGAGCAGCAGCTCTGGCACGCCGCGCGCCTCACTGCGGACCATGCGTAGGTACTCGAGCCCGTCGGAGGGCGGCCCGTAGAAGTCGTCGTCGCCGCCCGCGAACGTGTCGAGGCCGGGGAAGGCACCCCGCTGCCCGGTGGTGGCGTCGATGTAACCGCCTGCTTGGGGGAATTTAATGCTGCTGCCGTTTTCATCTGAGCCCTCGTCTTTGTCCAGAGATGTGCGCGGTCGCTTGTGGGTGGGGTGCTTGGGGTGCTTGGACGACGAGGTGGGGTTGCTGGATGCGTTCTTGCGTTTGCGCGCCATTGTTGTGGTGTGGGGTGGGTGCTTGTGTGATTGAGAGGTGGAGGGTTGAGGTGGGTGGGGTGGGTGAGGTGGGTGGGGTGGGTGAGGTGGGTGGGGTGGGTGAGGTGGGTGAGGTGGGTGGTGAGTGGTGGTGGTGGTGATGGCGGTGGTGAACGTGGAAGTGGAGGGGGAGACGTGTAGAGGTGTGGTATGGTGATTCGGGTGAGCTAACTTAGCTGGGTACTAGTAGAGTACTACATCTATCACTCGACCGCGATTCACGACCACGGGAAAGGTAATTGTGTCTTAACCACCACCCACAACAGTCTAATTCACACTCAAGACCTGAGTGCATCTATAGATCAGACCAACCAACTGAATACCCAGCTTCATCATCAATTCGCAACCCATTGGAACCCACTAACACATGGCCAACAACACACACATTACCAGTAGATTAGAAGCGCCCCTCTCTCCACCCATCCATCCATCCATCCATCATAAGCAAGTGCGTATGTAATCACAATCATAACCATCATAACATCCATCACCCCTTCCCCTCCATGTCCCTCCCCTCTCCCTCCCCTCCCCCTCTCCCCCTACCCCACCTCGTCCTTCAAACCATTAAACCCCCCATCCCCAATTAAATCCCCCCCTTAGCATCGCAACAAAACAGGCTGATATGGTTATCGCCAGCACCAGAGCAGGCGAGCATCATTCTGTGCGGATGAAATGCGAGGCCCGTGACGGGGCTGGACCTATTCTGCTGCAGGAAGCTAGTGTGCGGCTTTACGGTCGTCAGTGGCTCGCCGAAGTCGTTCGCGTTCATGTTCCACAGTTTTACGTCGTGGTAGGTTGAGCCGCTGGTGCGTTGCTGTTAGCAAGTGTTATGTGGGGGATGGGGGAATGGGGAGGGTAGGGGGGGCGACATACGTCGCGATGACAGGCGCATGCTCGTGCACGCTGAGGTTGCGCATGCCCTTGGTGTGGGCCAGGAACTGTTTCACCGGCGAGTCCATGCGTATATCCCACAGCTTTACCTCGCCGGCAGCGCTGCCGGAGACGAGCTCGCGCATGCCGCCGCGCTGCATGTGCACCTTGACGATCCACGACTTGTGTTCCTTCCAGACCTTGACCATGGAGTCGCGCGGGGGCAGGCGGCGGTCGTAGAGGCGCACGGCGCCGTCGCCGAAGCCGGCGACGAAGATGTTGCCCGCTACTTGCTCAGACGTTAGGCTGGTGATGCAGGAGCCGGAGCGCGCGGGGATGTCCTGGGTAGGAGGTTAGCGCTATGAGGGGTGGGAGTTGGGGCCCGCGGAACTTACGCTCATGCACATCTCCCGCGGCGCATCCCATACGCGGATCACCTTCATGTCGCCGCCCACAAGCATCGTCCCCCGTCCCTGCTGCCAGTCGGCGATCAGCCCCGAGCTCCTTTGCGACGACAGCAGATCCGTCAGCGCGCGCCAGGTGGCAACCAGCTCAACATCTTTGTCACTCTCGTAGTTCCGATAGATGCGGACAACACCATCACCGCTACCAGTCATCAACAGTGCAACATCGTCCTCGTTCAGCAGCTTGATCTCCGTGATCCTAGTGCCGACGGGATTTCCGTTCGAGAAGCGACTCAGCAGCTTTTCGCCCTCCCAGTCCCACACCGCGACACTATCCTTGTCGTCCACAGCGATGAGATAGCTCTCGAACTGGTGGAAGAGCAGCCGTGTGGGCTGCGCAAGATTATTGAACAGCGCCTTGGGATAGTCCCATCGTGAGGTGACCGCTCTTTCCTTCTGCGCCTGCGTGTCGATGATAATCTTGTCGTTCCGTGTTCGCCGCCACAGTCTCTGGTTGTAATCGACACTGCCCGGCTCGTCGGCTTCATTCGGCTTCATCTGCGGCTCTCGGAAGTACTCGATCGACCAGTCCATGAACTTGCTCTGGATGGGGATGACAGGAGGCTCCGAGGAATCCCTACGCTGGAAGTTCCTGCTGACGGGCTCCTTCGCCGAGCGGTAATTGGTGGTCGTGTTAGAGTAATCGTTGACATCCGGCGGGCGATTCCACTCTGGATCTTTATCCGCCAGCCCATTCGGAAACCTTCCAGATTTCGTCGGTTGTGCGTAGTCTGCGCGGCCCGAAGCAGTATTATTTCCATAGCCAAGTGCCAGATTCCGCAGGCTCGCCGCGATGCTTGCCGACCTGCGCAGTGAGCTGGTAAAATACCCTTCGCGGGACGATGTGGTGCCAGGCGACTCCGGCCTCGCTTTCTCATTCATCGCGGTATCCGACGGCAGCTTGAGATTGAACGACTTGAGACTCGCCCTCGTGATATCGTCGATGAGCGTGTGCGTACTAGGTCCCAGGGGGCTCTCCAACAGCGCCAGGTGAATATAGTCGACCGCAACCTTCGCCGCCTGCGCGGTCTCGGGGAACGGATCGGCCGAGATCATGAGCAGCGCCTGCCACACCGCCGCGTAGATCGTACCATCGGACCGTCGAGGCGCCGAGTCCTTGTACCTGCCGGGCTGCTTGAACTCCGCCGATCCGTCACCCAGACTCGCGGGGTTGGACGTGGTCCGCGTCAGCGCTGTGCCGTTCGCGCCGGGTGTTCGTAGCATTTCCCCGCCGTTCGCTCGAGGTCCGCCATTGTACAGGAACTCCCGCTCCTGCACCAACTGCTCGTAGGCAGTGACCAAGAACTTCTCCTCGTTGCGCTTGACGAAGTGGCTGAAGAACACGACCAGCTCCTTCCGTACCATACTACTACCATCAGTAGTCATGAACAACACGTGGCTGGCGACGGTCTGCTCGATCTTCATCACATCCTCGCTCATGTCCGGAATCCCCAGAAACGTCGTGAGCGCGTAGAGCATGGCGGCACGGACTTCGGGAACATTATCCGTGACCAGCTCGCACAGCCTCAGATAGGCGCCCTCGCGGATGCCCAACCACTTAGCCTCGGAGTAGGAATCCCACAATTGTGAGATGCAGAGGCATGCCCACTGGCGCAGCAGGGGATTCTCGTCGCCGAGGTGAGCCAGACACGCATTCATGACGCCGGGCGGCGCACACACGACGCGGCCCTGCGGAAAGCCCCGACAGAACATGGCGAGGATGAAGGCGCACATGGCCCGGTGCTCGCTGGCATTGCCCACGGGGATACCGGAGGTCGGGCTCAGGATCTGAACAAAGTAGCTGTAGCCATTGTCCTTCAGCAGGTCTGCCTGGCAGGACGAGTCGACGGCGAGGATCCGCGCCCAGATGAAGACCATCACGGGCTTGAGCTCCTGCGCTGCGGACTGCAGCAGCTTAAGCACGTACGGGAAGATGCCGATGCTCAGCGCTAGGTTGACCGCCCATGGACCCAAATCGAGGAATTTACTGAGGAGAATCAGCGCCCGCAGACGGTGGACTTGACTTAGCAGCACCTGCAGGACGATGGGGAGTTGGTCCGGTGGGTGGCGGTCTACAGCGCCTTGTGAGAGGTACACCTCGAACGCCGTAAGCTGCTCGGTGAAGAACGTCGAGTGCTGGTACTCGTACATCTGGCCTCCCTTCTCCGCAGCGTGGAGCGCCGGAAGCTGTGCGAGCACCATCTCGACCGCAAGGTCCCACGACTGCCACAGCGGATGATGGTGAGTTTCCGGCAGTGCGGGAGATGATATTGGGTGACAGTGATGTACACGCATGATCCTCTGACTGAGCAAAAAGTTTCTGAATAGAGCGGCGACCATAAGGTCCTGCCTGAACAGCTTCTTGAACAGCGGACGCGGGAGGGTGTTCCACGCAATGGTATCGGTGATGGCAGTGAAAATCCAATTCAGTTCTCCCAGGGGTGTTCTACGCTCCTGGAGACGTCCGGGGATCTTCATTGCCATTTCCATTGGCAGCGTTGACGGCAGTGGATTTTGCAGAACAAAAAACCGTACTGCGATTTCGATCGGTGTCGTCAAGCAACAGGTAAACAGATCCGCCGGAAGCTCCGGGTTCATCGGTAGTGTCTCCTTGCTGCTGCAAGCTGCCAGCTGGATGCAGTCGGCATACGACGAGGTATTCAATGCCAACGGATCTCTAGCCCGCTGTTCCATCGCCTCCTGCTCGTGCTTCTCGATAAACCTGTTGAAATTGGTAACAATGTTCCCGGCATCGCTGCAGTCGTACACGAAGAGACTGGGCGCTCCCAACCAGCTCTGCAAGTCGTACAGAGAAATCGGGATGTACTGGGTAAAGTTCTTATTGAAGACCCAGATCTCACCGCTTGACGTCGGCTTCGGCACACCGTGGCCATTGTAGTGAAACAAGATCCTCTCGTCCTTCGCATTACGACGGAGCGAGCAGCAAAACTTCTTCGTATCTTCAACGAAGGGGTCCAGGTACTGTTTGTATCTTGTGCGGATGCTCAAAGTCTCATACTGCTGCTGGAGGTTCTTTCCGATCATTTCGAGCGCCTTCGCCGCGGGGTGAGCCGTGGTATCGACCCAGCACTCGAGCTTCGCGCACGGATTCGTCTTGACGATGTCGGGCGGATCGACGCCGATGTTCAGGCACAGCACCAGCGCCGCAGACACCGTCTTGAGCCGGTCGCGCATCCGCCACTCCTGCAGCGGGAAGTGCTGCGTCTCCGCCTTGGGATTGCCGCCCGTCTCGTGCCGCTTGTCTGTGTAGTACATGTAGAACACCTGTCATCGCGCCAGAGTCAGCGGGGGATTGATTACCACACAACATCTCTCCACCACCATCGGGGGGACGTGTCCACAGACCTGCTCCAGCACCGCCAAATAGTCCTCCGAGTTGTACTCATCCTCGAAACCATGTCTCATGCGGTGAAAATCGATGCCTCCCAGTTCCGCGCGGGGGCTCATCGCGCCGTCGGAGCCATCGATGCTGCCATTCGGCGTGTAGATAGTGTGCTGGCCGAGCCTAGGCGTAGTGGGGGTAGTGGGCGTTCTCCGCCGCGAGCTCGACCTGCTCCCCGGACGTGAGTTCGGCGCAGACCGTAGCGTCTGCCGCAGCAGCTCCGCCGCTGGCTCCCCGGGCGCCACGGCGAGCGTGTTGCGCTTCACGACGGCCGGTGTCGACGCTGTTAGCATCGTTGTGTTGAGCTTGGGCGGGTACGTTGGTGGGTGGATGTGGTGAGGGTGGCCTCCGGTCTGCCCTCCCATCTGTCCCCCGACGGTCGGTCCGCCCTGAGGGTGCTGGCTCGGGTTCTGGCTCTGGCTGCCGTTCGGGTGCGCGCTCATGGTGTTGCTGCTGCTCGCGACGAGTGGTGGTGGAAGGGACGGAGGTTGCCGAGTGTATTGCTGTGGGTTGGGTTGGGTCAACATCTGCACGTGTGACGCTGACGGAGCAGCAGCAGCGCGTGGCGACGGTGGTCGTTGCGGTTGCGAGTTTATGGCGACCATGGTTCGCACCGACGACGGTGTCGGCGGTGGGGATAGCTAAACGACGAACGTAACGTGGCGGAAGATTGCGTTTGCCACTGCCGTCTATAATATCTCTCTTTCTCTCTCTCAAGATCCCGCTGCGCGGAGTATCGTGGTTACGGTGGGTTGGTTTGTGGGAAATCGGAGCGTAGGTATAGGTAGTAGGTAACTTGCAAGCAGGCAATTGCAACGGAGTCGACAGTACGGAACGGAGCTATGGTTCAGGACATGGAGTAGAGTGTATCGTCGTTCGAGTTGAGTTCGTCGCTACATAAATTTCGAAAAGGTAGATATGATATGTAGGTCCTCGAAGAAGTGATGATGAAGTGAAGTGGCAGCCTGAATCGCTAACGATCTGTCTAACTGCGTTGGTGCGACCGGACGGCGAGCCGACAGTAAGCACTTCGCTTGGCGGAGGTGAAGGCGCAGGGCCCTGGACTTTGGAGGGTATGCGTGAAATCACGTGGACGACCGGGCGATTGTCTGCACGTTGGTGCGCAATGGTGGGATATTATACTGGTATTATGGGGTAGTTATCTGGAGAGGGATACGGCAAAGTGACTCGAGCCCGAACAATTGGTGGCAGTTATGTAGCAGGCTTGTGCTCAATCTCTAATGGGAGTGCGGTAACGAGACCCGCTCAACACCTGTCACCAACCAACTCACGTGACAAGAAGCCATTGAATGATTGCTCGATGTCCAGTGTCCACATGCCCGGAGTTTAAAGGGCAGAAATGAGAAGAGCACCAATATATTTGCACCTATAATAGGGTCTGCTCGGCAATCCTCATTGCTTAGAGCCCGTTTGGATGCCCTCAGTTTTCAGTTCCACTCCCAGTTCCAGAGCCAAAACTTAAATCCAGCTCCCCTCCGCTCCGGGTCACCGAATACCGTACCATCCAGTTTCAGTTTCAGTTTCCGGAAAACCTTGAGGTGAAGTTTGACTAGGGTGTTTGGCAGTTCTCAGTACCTACCGTATACTCAGCCATAAGTCTGAAAAACTTAAATAGGCTTCACCGGAACTTTAATAGTAGATAGACACATTATAGCTCCGCTTGTCGGAAGGGGGGTCCATGGTTGAAGACTTGAAGTTAAAATGCGGTACCGGTACCGGTACTGAGTGGTGGGGAAGAAAAAACCGCCAGACTCCAGAGGTCAGTTCCCGTTTCATCGCCGGAGAGGCAGTGCCGCACAGTTTCGGTTTTTTTCTTCTTCTCGGTTTTTGTGCCATACAAATAGGGATGCAGTTTTGTTCGCTTGGTTTCTTGATCTCGAAAAATTGGCAGTTTTTGCTAAGCCTGAGGGTATCCAAACGGGCCCTAATTGAAGCTCTGAACGCCGATAGAGTTCTTTACTCTACCCAATCTACGGCCCCAAGGTATGCATACCATAGGAGGAGGAAGTAGTATGCCAAAAGCACCGCTTTATCCACTCACTATCGCATCCGACCTCCATTCGACCTCCCACAGGTGTCGAGCCGCGCCCCGGATCTATTTCATGAGCGCCTGTATCTTCGCCCGAGTCACATACCGTGAATCCAACCCTCCGCCAGCGGCCAGCCTCGCCAACTCAACGCGGCGACGCATCACGGTGGCTTTATGCCCTCCACGCCCTCCAAACTATGAATTGAACCCATCCCACTTGGTCCGTAGTCGACAGATCGCGTGTGTGAGCAACAGCCTAAGGACTAGGCAGAAGCGTGTGCACTCTACATACAGGTAAGGCCGATGTACACTAGGTACTACTATCATAGGTACTATATCTACATCGCCCCGGAGTCCCTCGGGAGCCTAACGGCTGTCGACGGAATACCCAGCCCACCGCGACCGTCCAGACTCCGGATAAGCCCCGGGCTCGAGTGCTTGCGCATGTCTTATAGAATACCTGGGTAGAACCTCGCAGGGACCATGTCACCTTGGAGCAAGTACAACAGCGGCCCAGTCGCTCTTAATGGTCTGATTCTCTACTCCCCATACTCCCCATACTCCTCTCCAGTTACTCCCGTCAGCAGACCCGCGCCGCGCCACAGTGTCGTTTCGTTTCGTTTCTCAAGCGGGCATGCCGCCCTACTGCCCTGGTTCTGCGGCGAGGACCGGGTCGATCGTGGGTTACACGGACGCGGAAACAGCCTCCACATTGCACAACCGCGGCGAATAAAGTGTCCACTGGCCGCGCAGAGACGAAGACAAAGACAGAGACGAAGACAAAGACAGAGACGAAGATAAAGACAGAGACGAAGACAAAGACAGAGACAAAGATAGAACCGCCGGCCGGTCTCGTATGTAAACGTCACTGGGTTTATTCTCTGCTGCCTCGTCCGCATACGGTACGGTATGGAGGGAGCTCGTGCCAAGCAGCAATTGCCGCTGCCAGACTCCAGTGACTCCTCACACGCTCGCGCTGCGATGTCGAAGTGTCGAGGTACCTGTTGTATGCAGATATCGCAGCCAACAGGAATCCTCCTCGACTCGACTCGGGATGCAGCGACTCGTTCGTTCGTTCTCCAGCAACCAACATTCTTCCGCTAGCGCACGGCGGGCTGGGTACCGTACCAAGGATTGTTCCCCAGTCCCGACTCCCCAGTCCGCACGCCGCACGCACGACGCCAACCCCTTTCCGCGCGTAGATTTGCAGGGGCCAGATCTGAAACACGCGAGTCCACCAAAATGGAAGAAACGAGGGAAGAGAAGATGGAAGGAGAAAAAAAATAGAAAAGAGAAAAGAAGGGAAGAAAAAAAAAGAACAACCGGAATGCCGCCGCCCAGGGTAGGTGGTGATGTTCCGCACGCTTCCGCCGTGGATACAGATATGCTATGTAGGCAGCAGCGGGCGCCGGGCGGAACGGGTGTGGCTGGACTGGACGGGACGGAGACGTCGATGATGTCGGCGCTCGCGGGCGTGTGGGATGGCGCCCTGGCTGGAGGCGAGCGCCGGTAGGGCGGCCATACTCTAGTATCTGGAGCTCCCTGGGGAGTCTGGTTGTGGTACCTACTGGTGGTTCGGTGTCCACTGTCCACTGTCCACTGTCGGGCATGATCCAGCTGTCGCCGTGAATAGATTGAAGATCAGCCAGCGTCATCAGCACCACCAGCGTCACCAGCATCACCGTGGCTGTCCTGTCAGTCAAAGTCAGCACGCATACACCCGCAGCATCCCCATCCCCATCCCCCGATCACTCCCATAAATGCCATCCCATCCACCACAACCACCCCTTCCTCCTTCCCCCGATTGTATGTGGTATGTAGCTTGTTGGTTCGGTTGGTCGGTTGGTTGGTTACATGCCCACTTTGACTCTGGTCCTCGTATACGGAGAGGAAGGGAGGGAGGGTGGGAGGGAGGAGGGAAGGGGGTAGCATATAGTAGCCAAGGTCCATCTCTAGGCGGCGGGTCTGCATCTGTGCGACGACCCACGGATCAAGCAGAATAGAGTAGCGGAAAGCAAGCAGGCAAGCAAGCCAGACATGCCATGGCAGGAACGCAAGCCGCAGCAGCAGCGGTAATCGGTAGAGTTTGCGGAAGAGGAATAGGGTGAATGGAGGTGGAGGTGGAGGTGGAGGTCAGAGTGAGGCGGTCAAGGTGGAGAAGAACCCAAAGGCAGAATGGGGGGAGGTATAAGCACTGGAAGCACTGGAAGCAAATCAAGCAAAGCAGGCGACCAAGCAGGCAAGCCATCTCTCCATCCATCTGCCATCGATATCGAACCTCCCCATCCATCTCCCCTTCCCGGGAAAAAAAAGAAGCCCGTCCAAAACAGCCTGCACGCACCTTTTAGTTAGGGGGTCTTCCGCGCATTTACTGGGGTTTCCAATCTCCTTCCACCGCTAATCCCACCCGCATCATCATCATATCCCCCGAAACCGAATCTGTCTGTCCCGTCCGCCAGTCTGTCGTGTCGCGTCTTCTGCTTCTTCGACTTCACCCACCAACACCGCCTCCACCCCCCCTTCCCCCCCTTCCCCCCCTGTCCCCCTACTAATTCATTGGCATCGCACGCACGCCAGGCTTGCTGCGATTGTCCTTCTTCTTCTTCCCGTCTCGCCCTTCTCCGTAGATACTCTCCGTATCCCCATCACCCACCCACCACACCCCCCTACGTTTTCCTTTCGGCTTCGCGGCGTTTTCCCTTTTCTTCGCTCGTTTTTGACAGATGAAGTAAGAAGAAGAAGAAAGAGACAGTTCTAGAGTTCGGGACTCCTGGACACAGACAGACACAGAAACAGACACGCCCGCAAGCAGGCTTAACTGACCGCAAGACGGGAAAGGCAGTGACGACGTGCCGGACAGAAATAACTGGGAGGATCGTTGTTCATCATAATCACCATCGCCATCTTCCTTGACCCAGCCACCCCCGACGAAGCGAACCAAGCCCGCCCACCGGCCAGCCCGCCCGCCCGCCCAATAAACCCACCCCTCCCCACCCCCCTCCCACCCACACCCCCCCCGAAAGACGCCTTCCGATCTTTCTGGAGACGAGTAATTTCGACCATCTATTGCCCTTCCTCTCCCCGCCGGCATCACGTCTCCTCCCGCGGCTACCACAGCAAGCAGCAGCAGCACCAGTAAACGGGCAAGCAGGCGCCTCTCCCAGAGCTCTTCACCGACGACGGGAGGTGGTGGACGTGTCAAAAAGGCCAATCGCTTCTCGAGCTACAGAAACACGATGGCTTTCCTCTTTGGCAAGAAAAAGGGGAATCATCGTGATGGACCTCCCTCCACTGGGGGAGGAGGACCTACCTCAGCCGCTGTCACCACTCCTCCGAGCTCCATGAACACCTCCCTCAACAGCCTCGGTGGCGGCGACGGGGGCTCACCGAATACGCGGCCTATGGCTCCGCCGCAGCAGCAGCAACAGCAACAGCAGCAACCGCGACCACAGCAGCCGCACGGGCCCCATCACGCCCAAAGTGCGGAAGGGACACCTCCTGGTTCAGCTCAAGGGCGAATATTACAGGTATGTACCGAGCTTGATTGTTCCCCCATCCACAACCCGTTTCTATTCTGTTCGTCGTCCTCTTCTCTCCCATTGGATGTCTTGAGGGCGACAGATGGAGACTCACAATTGAGCTGATTTAGAAGCAGCAATCGCCTCAGGGACCACCACAGCCATCGCAAGGCAATTCGTCCCTCTACCCGTGGTCGCAACGACGCCTTACGCTGAACTCGTCGCATCCATCGCCCTTTCCGCGCTACGGCCATGCCGCCAATGCGGTCTCGAGCAAGGATGGAGACATCTACATCATGGGGGGTTTGATCAGGTCGCAGAACGTGCGCGGGGACCTGTGGATGATTGAGGGCGAGAGCGAACGACTGGAGTCGTATCCTGTGATGACTACCAGCGAGGGTCCCGGCCCCAGAGTAGGGCACGCAAGCTTGCTGGTCGGCAATGCGTTCATTGGTTGGTTTTCTTTGTCAATCGCCGTTCACTGGGTGGGCTGTTTCTAACGGCAGCGCGCAGTTTTTGGCGGTGATACCAAGCTGGACGAGAGAGACGTCCTGGATGAGACTTTATATCTTCTCAACACATGTAAGTTTCTCAGCTCATCGCTATCCAACTCTCCTGGCGATTCTTTGCCGCTGACGGGGGGTTCGAAATGTCATAGCTACACGACAATGGTCGCGTGCTAGTCCGCATGGGCGGCCGTCCGGGCGCTACGGCCATACCCTGAACATCCTAGGCTCCAAGTTGTACATATTTGGTGGTCAGGTCGATACAGTTTTTTTCAACGATCTCGTGGCGTTTGATCTCAACACGCTTCAGCATGTCGGTTCGAAGTGGGATGTTCTTGTACCAGCTGTGGAGGGTAGCACCGATGTGCCGGCGAGTAGGACAAACCACACCATGGTGACATGGAACGACAAGCTCTTCCTGTGGGTCTCGCGCTCTGTGTTGCGTGCGCGTAAGCGAAAGGGAAAAATCTGGCTGACAACTTGGTGATTAGATTCGGTGGAACGAACGGACTCGAGTGGTTCAACGACGTGTGGTCCTACGATCCACGGACCAACCAATGGACCCAGCTGGATTGCATCGGTTTCATTCCATCGCCTCGGGAAGGCCATGCGGCGTCACTGGTTGGTGATGTGATGTACATCTTTGGTGGACGATCATCCGAAGGAACGGATCTGGGCGATCTGGCTGCGTTCCGGATATCGTCACGAAGGTGGTACACATTCCAAAACATGGGCCCCTCACCTTCACCGCGATCAGGTCACACGATGTCTACCGTCGGAGCCAAGATCGTTGTGCTCGGAGGAGAACCCAGTGTTCCGGCGCGGTCACAAGAGGAGCTGCAGCTTGTCTACGTGTTGGATACCGCGAAAATTCGGTATCCTACCGACAATCCCGCCCAGCCCTCGCCGACGGATCGCAACAGAGTGGTGGGGCCACAGCAACAACAGAGGGGACAAGGACCTTCGGCGCTGGGCTCGAGGAATGGCTCCGTTGATGGACCGTTGAATGGTCCCGGACGGCAACCGCAGGGACCACCGGGGCCGCAGAAGCCGGTTCCCCGGGAGAGTCTGATGGGGTCGTCACCGCCTTCCGGTGGAATCGGCCCACAACAAGGCAACAATCAAGGCAACAATCAAGGTAACAATCAAGCCAATAACAATAACAATAACGCTTCCATTGGACCTGGGGGATCGCGGCTACCCCGCGCGTCGTTAGGAACCCAACCCCCGGGCCCACCACCGATACAACAGGCGCCTGCTCCCCGGGCGAATGGAGCCCCACCCGGCGGTCCAGGTCCGATCAATAAGACGAATGCTGGCCCGGTCGCGAGGGGCAAAGAGAATGTTTCTCCTGTCCAGGACAACTCGCCTGCAGCTGCGAATGGAAAGCGTGCACCTACGACGCAGAAGAGGGATACAAGAGAAGGGCCGCGGTCGGGATCCCGGCAGCACCAGCACCAGCAACAACAGAGCATTGACAGTTTGAATGGCCCAATATTTGAAGAGCCGGAACCGATATCACCTCAGCCACAGCAGCAGCAAGCCCCACAGAGACCCTCCATTGATGTTCGTGCGCCTTCCGATCAGCCAACCATCCCAGACTCTCTTAGCCCAGTCGGATCGCAACAGCCTCTCCCGAGTTTCGGTGGCTTAGTGGCCGACAAGAATCCTGGCCTTGAGTCTGAGGAGTTCGAGAAGTTGAGGAGTGTTAACGACTGGTATGCGTCCGAGCTCGCACTTGCGCGACGGGCTGGCTACACACCGCAGACCAACCACAGTGCGCTGCTCGAAGACCGTGGAAGGGACTTACTCGCCGATGACGACCGGCCTTTCGTGGAAGCTATGCTTGCGCTAAAGGGTGAGCTTGTCAAAGTCCAAACACAGCTCGACGTTCAGTCCACCGAGGCGGCCAAGCGCATGCAGGATATCGAGCGGCAACGAGACGTCGCCTTCCAGGAGGCTGTCTACGCGAAGGCGAAGCTCGCAGCGCTGGGCGGTCCCGTATCTCCCATTCCCGGCGACAAATCATCCGACGCGGCTTCAATGGACCAGGAGAAGATGACGGACATGAGCCGAAAACTTGCCGCATCATTGTCAGCGCAAGCCGACCTGAGCGCCAAAGTACAGGTGTTGACGCAGGAGGTTGCGGCAGAGAAGAAGGCGCGGTATCTCGCCGACGAAATGGCTTCTACTGCTCAGCGCAGGATAGCGGAGCTGGACGAGTATCGCAACCGCGCGGCGTCGGAGATCGAAAACCTTCGTGCAGAACTGCTGGATGCCGGAAAGGCCTACCGCGACGAGGCGGCGCTTGGCCAGGAGGCCGCCGCGGACGTAAAGCTCCTGCGGATCGACCAGGCCGAACTGACCGAGCGTCTGACGGAGGTCCTGGCCGAGAACAGGAACTACCAGGGCTCCCTCGAACAACTCAGCAAAGCCATGCAGATCAACAACTCCAAGAGCAGCACGCTTGAACGGCAGCTCGAAGAGGAGCGGCAGACCAAGGAGGCGCTGGAGCGGAAACTGGCGCAGCTGCGAAGCGAAAACGAGGAGAAGTCGGCGGATCTGCAGAGTGTTAACCAGCGGTTGAAGGACGTCGAGGAGATGATGGAGACGTATGCCGAGGAGGCGAAGGCTGCAAATGCGGTCATGGCTGCCGGACTGGATAAGGTCACCGCGCGGGAACCGCAGAATATGCTGACCAGCGCTGTCGAGGAGCGCGTGATGGTCCTGCAAGAGCAGGTGGTCAATACCCAGGCGCTCCTGTCGAAGAGTAAATCGCAGGCGGATGAGACCGGCGAGAAGCTGGCCGAGGCTATGCAGCGTGTGGCGGGATTGGAGTTCCAACAGGGACAGTCCAGTAAGGACTCCATCGCGCTCCGGAGACGCATGGCGGAGGTTAGCGATGACGCTCGGCGACTGAAGCAGGAGAACGCGGAGATGGTCAATCAGCTCGGTCAAAAACAGCTCGAAGTCGATGCCGTCTCTGCGAAGCACAATGCCCTCAAGAAGATCCTGCAAGAACGTGGTAGCCAGCCCAACCTTGACAAACGGCGATCCCGCAACCTGCAGAACCCCAGTCCTGAGTCCGGCACCGCAACGCCGGAGCAGCTCAACCGTCTGCGCGAGCTCGAGGCACGGCTGGAGGATAGTCTACGCGCCCACCGGGAAACGAAGAATACGGCGGAGATGCAGGCGCAGGAGGTCGAGAAGCACTTCCGGGAGAAGCTGGAACAGCTCGAGAATGACTACCAGGCCGCCGTGCACTACGTCAAGGGCACCGAAAAGATGCTCAAACGCATGAAGGAGGAGCTGACGAAGTACAAGACGTCGAACGCGAGGCTGCAACAGGAGCTCGATGATGCGCGGCGCGGTGGCGCGGGTCTGCCGAAGCCGGAGAGGTCGGACAGCACTGAGTCGGATTGGGAGCAGGAGCGCGAGCTGCTCAATAAGGAGGTTGAGGACTTGCGCACGAAGGTCCGCGAATCGGCCACGGCGCTGGATAAGCAGATCCGCGAGACTAAGGCGCAACTCGACAACCTGCGCGAGGAGCGAGATCATCTCAAGAAGCAGCACTCGGAGATGCAATCGCAAGTCACGGAGCTGTCTCACCAGCAAACCGTCGCCCAGTCGATCCTCGAGCGTCTCGAGAACGAAAACGGGCTCCTCGAGAACCGCGCCCAAAGCGCCGAACAGAAGGTCTCGATGCTCCTGGATCAGGTCGAGAACTCGGTCGATGCCTACCGTCGCAGCATGCGGTTCGAGGGCCCCAACGGCGTCGTCCCCGAGTCCACACGGAGCAGCTACTATGCCGGCCCCGACAACCGCACCAGCATCGCGCTCGACTCGCTCGCGTCGGAACTCGACGCCCTGCGCAACCACTGGGAGAGCAACAAGACGTACCGCCTCAGCACCACCACGTTCGACTTTGAGAAGTCGCCCAGCACCCCGATGCAGTCGGACTTCTCGAGTAACATCACGCAGTGGAGACACAAGCTGGCGCAGGAAGATGAGGTCGCGAGGAGCGCCAGTAATAGTCGCCAGGGAATGAATGCTCCGAATGCGCCAGAGGCCGCGAGAGAGTCGAGAGAGAAGAGCTCACCGCCCACGCAGGCGACCGTCGCTGCTGGTGGCGGGGTAATATAGATCTTTTTTTCTTTCTTCTTTTCTGTATTTCTTTTCTCTCACTGTGATTTGATGTTTTTATACCATTTTCTTTTTTTTTATCCGTGTGCTTATACTGTGCTGTGTCGTGTCGTCCCGTCGTCTGCTAGCTGTACCTTATGTACTATTGTATTCCTTTCTTTCTTTCTCTCTTTCTTTCTTTCGTACTTTCTATCGACTACGCCGGGGGGTGATGATGATTGATATCTTTGTGTTTGGGAGCTCTCGGTGCGACTTTACTTCTGCTTTGTGTGTGTGTGTGTGTTTGACTGATGGTTGTAACTTGTAACGGAACGTGAAACCGGTAACTTAGGACGGGGGTTAATGATTGTGCTTTTTTTTTCCGGCTTCGCAGTTTTTTTTAGTGATATATTATACTAAGTACCCTTTCACACTTCCAATTGGCTCCACCTTTGCTCTTTGCTCTTTGCTTTCGGTGCTGGTGCTGGTGCTGGTGCTGGTTTGGTCGTTTTTTTTGGCAATGGACTGGGGAATCGGGGCTTCAATTGTCTAAAGTTGTGTGTTGAGTTTTTTTATACACGGTTTTTCGTCGTGTTTTTGTGCGTTCTGCGTGTTTTGATTTGGCTGTCATAGTCGTTGTTTTAGTCGTCTTTCAAGTACTCGATAACCTTTTACTCTGGTTAAGAGATGATCAATGGCCATTGAACTTGGGGATTGTAGGTTGAAAATGTAAGCTGTTTTTTGGGGTCAATCATCGTATCGTACCGGTGGCATTCGACCTGAGGAGAGTACGGTAGGTACTCTAGATCATCGCTGCGTAAGATGTATGGAGAGTACATGTCCGTTTCCGTTTCCGCTCCACAGTCGGTTGGAAACAGGCCGCAGCTTTTGTTTTTGTTTCATCATCGTAGCATTCGACTTCAGTAGATCATGGCTGTATACACTCCGGTTCCATCCCACTGTCCAACCCGACATTCACCAAGCGGCCCGATGTAGCTTTCCCTGCCCTCCGTCCCGGCCTGTCACAGCTATGAAGGTAGAGCGCACCTAAGAAATGACACTAGGAAGAGACATGTGTGTGGGGGGAAGTGGGGAGGGGGGGGGGGCAGCGAGAGTGACCCCGGCTCCTCGACCTCAGCACCTTCCTCCTCCTCTTGCCTCAACTCTGCCTTCCTTTATTCCCGCCCCCGAGCGCCCACTCGGACACCTCACTTGCTGCATCTTCCTGATCAGCCTCTGGGATCCGTCTACCTACATCAGTGGAGGAAATGAAGTCTAAAATGGCCTGGCTGCACCGCTCGTCTGCAAAGAGGTCCCGGATCTTGAATCGATCCATACCCCTCCTCATCTGCTTTCGGACCTGTGCCCACAGTGGTTTCTGCTGGCTTTTCCGTTCGGAGCAGCTTTTGAAAAGGTGCTCCTGAGTCTCGGCCTGGGTCTTTTAGCGGCACCATCTGCCGCGGGCATTGGGGCGGTTCTTCGTCCATTGGAGATACTGGCCGGTGAGGCAGTGTCCTTTCTTCAACTGGTCGAACCTCGAGGCCAGGCACTTGGAGGCCGTGGCCGGGATCGGGTCCGGTCTCTGGCCAGATTTTCTGCTGAACCGGTACTTCTTGCTGGTAACTCGGGCGTCGGCTGGCCCATGCTTTGGCTTCTTTCCACTTGCTTTCCATAGTGCCTCGCCTTAGGTATGCGAGTGACGGGGGAGGTAGCTGTTGATTTTCACGGAGCTGGCACGAAGGGTTCAGATCTCTTATATTGCTATTCCATGATCCATCGGAGAGACGGCCGGTCTATATATACTCTCCATCTCCACGAACGATCTACGTACCAATAGTGCTGGTTCTAAGGCTGGGCTTCGTCACTCCTTCCAACAGTAGCGGCCTGGTGCCGTACTTGTTCAGATAGCGGGTCCCCTACACTCCGCGAGTGATGGGTTGTCGGCTGCCAGTTTGGCCCATTCGTCGGCCTTTTCGTTCCCGGGTTGAAATGGGACGCCGCTTGAACCCAGTGGCGTGAAAATAAAGTAATCGAGTGACACTCGATGACATGAGGCTGAAATCTCCCATGGCATATATTAGCGCACTAAAAAAAATTGTCAATGGGAAACTCCCCGCCTTGAACTTACTTGCCTGTCCGTCCACCCCACACTCCAACACTCTGTTCCACCTACATATCCCACCCACCCCATCAATCATCTCCACCGTTGCCCCGTAGACAAGATGAGCGAGTCACCCATCGAGCAGGATTCTGGCGCCGTCATCGGCATTGCCTTCGGCAATACTACAAGCTCGATTGCGTATACTTCAGCTGTGCGTACTCCATGTGGGGTCGGGGAGGGGGCGGGGATGGGGGAAATGGGGTGCTGATTTGTGAATGTGTGCGTGCAGGATGGAAAGGCAGAACTTATTGCCAACGAGGAGGGTGATAGACATATCCCGTCGGTCCTCTCGTACCTCGATTCAGACGAGTTCCACGGTGGTGAGGCAAAGGCACAGCTCGTGAGGAACCCGACAAATACCGTGGCATATTTCCGCGACTTTTTGGGCAAGAAGTGAGTTTTCCGCTTGGGGGAGGGAGAAGAGGGGAGGGAGGGGGGTTGTGATGCTGATTGCAACGGGGAAACCTAGGTACTCTGAGATCGACCCCACAAACAGCCACAACTCGGCGCACCCCATCGATGTCGACGGCACAGTCTCGTTCAGCGTGATCGAGAAGCACGGCAAGAAGGCGGTAAACCTGAGCATCAGCGAGATCACCAGCCGCCACCTGGGGCGTCTGCGCCAGTCCGCCGCCGACTTCCTCGGAAAGCCCGTTACTGGCGCTGTCGTCACGGTTCCTACCGACTTCACCGACGCCCAGCGCGAGGCCCTGGTGGCTGCTGCCAAGGGCGCGGATCTTCAGGTCCTCCAGGTCGTTCATGAGCCCATCGCTGAGGCCCTCGCCTACGCCGCTAAGGAGAACCTGCAGCCTCAGGACAAGATTCTGCTGGTCGTTGATGTCGGTGGTACCAGATCGGATGCCTCCGTCATCGCTGTTCGCGGCGGTATGTACACCATCCTGGCCACGGCTCACGACTACGAGCTGGGTGGTGTCCACCTCGACCAGGTCCTGGTTGACCACTTTGCCAAGGAGTTCTTGAAGAAGCACAAGAGCGACCCGAGGGAGAACCCGCGTGCGCTTGCGAAGCTGAAGTTGGAGTGCGAGGGTGTCAAAAGGACTCTGTCCATTGCGACCACCGCAAGCATTGCTATCGACTCTCTGCACGACGGCTTCGATTTCCACTCGAACGTCAACAGAACTAGATATGAGCTGCTCTCGAGAAAGGTTTTCGACCAGATTGTCAAGCTGGCTGAGCAGGTTGTCGAGAAGGCCGAGCTTGATCTGTTGGATGTCGATGAGGTGTGTAGCGCCTGCGTTCCAAATGATGGGTGTACGACTTACTGATGATGATGATGATGATGATGATAGGTGATACTCGCCGGAGGTTCTTCCCACACCCCCAAGATCGCCCAGCGCTTCGCTCAGCTCTTCCCCGAGACCACACCGGTTCACGCACCCGCCACCGACGCGACTGCCCTGAACCCCTCCGAGCTCGCCGCCAGGGGAGCCGCTCTCCAAGCCTCGCTCGTCGCCGAGTTCGATGTCGAAGATATTGACCAGTCCACCCACCCCGCCGTGACCGTCGCCCCCCACCTCAGCAAGGCCATCGGAGTGATCGTTGTCGGTGCCGACGGCAGCGAAGAGTTCCAGGCGATCCTGGCCGCGCAGACCGCAATCCCTGCCCGTAGACTGGCCGAGTTCTCTTCACCCGTCGAGGGCGGCGATGTCGTCATCAAGTTCGTCGAGGGCGCCAGCGAGATCCACAAGACTACTCCGGAAAAGAAGCCCAAAGCCGAGGCTACCGAGGGCGATGATGATGATGAGGACGAGGACGATGAGGAGGAGGAGGAGGAGGAAGAGATCAAGACTAAGCACATGAAGGTCGAGAAGGTCCTCGCTGAGGCCCTGCTCAAGGATGTGCAGAAGGGCCAGAAGATCGAGGTCACTATCCAGGCCGGTGCCGACTCCTCGCTGAACGTGGCGGTGAGAATCGTCGGTACCCAGCAGGGTGTCCGTGGCGTTATCAGTGCTGCTGCTGCTCCGTAGATACTTTTTTGTTTCTAGCTTGGGGATGGCGACGGGGACGGGATAGAGAAAAGTTATGTACTGGGTGGGGAATGGGGCGAGATGCATGGGATCCGGTGCAGACTACCTAGATTGTGTATGGCAATATCATGGGTTTCTTTTGTTTTCCTTTTCGGCTTTTTTTTATGTTTTGTTCTGTTGTAGTTGTGAATTCGATTCGATTCGTACTTGGATGTGTGTAATCACGAGGTATCATTCATTGCATTGCACTCAAACTCAATCACATGATCTACAGTAATTGCTTACGTACTCGTCGTCGGTCGGTCCCTGCTGGTTTGAGGCCACATTCGAGCTCCCACAAGTCTGGCTGGGCCCGCAAGCAACCTTGACACCTCCAAACATCTGCCGCCCGCAACCCCGAATCCGACACCGACACCGCCCATCCGCAACCCCCAATCCTACACTATCAAGAATCCAATCACCATCTCGGCGGACCCAAGCTACAGCTTCTTCATCAAACATGGTACTCCCACCAGCTAGCATTGAGGGGCAATGGGGGATGTCGGAGGAGGGGTGGTGTGTGTGTGTAAGGAGGGGTCGTGACTGACACATCGTGTGTGTTTTATCCAGGTCGTCCTAGCAGCATCCATCTGCACGCGCGGGGGCAAAGCGGTGTTATCACGGCAGTTCCGGGAGATGCCGCGGTCGCGGATCGAGGGGCTCCTGGCGGGGTTCCCGAAGCTGACGGACGCGGGGACGCAGCACACGACGGTCGAGACGGAGAACGTGCGCTACGTGTACCAGCCGCTCGACGAGCTGTACATGGTGCTCATCACCAACCGCGCCAGTAACATCTTGCAGGATATCGACTCGCTGCATCTGTTCGCCCAGGTCGTCGCGAGTGTTTGTAAGAGTCTTGATGAGAGGGAGATTCTAAGGAACTCGTTTGAGCTGCTGAGCGCGTTCGATGAGGTCGTCGCGCTCGGCTATAGGGAGAATCTGAGCCTGCAGCAGATTAAGACGTTCCTCGAGATGGAGTCCCATGAGGAGAGGATCCAGGAGATTATCTCGAGGAATAAGGAGTTCGAGGCGTCTGAGGAGCGGAAGAGGAAGGCGAAGCAACTGGAAATGCAGAGGAAGGAGATGGTCCGGAGCGGTGGGAGCGGCGCGGGAAGCGGCGGTATGGCTGGTGGCATGGGCGCCGGAAGGAGCATGGGCGGTGGTAGCAGCACGCCGAAGTTCAATACCTACAATGCCCCGGCTAAGCAAGAGTCTACCTACGATTCCTACGAGGCGGAGAAGAAGAAGACGTACTTCTCGGCATCGTCGGCACCGAAAGGCAAGGGAATGCAGTTGGGGAAGAAGAGCAAGACTACCGACATGTTCGAGAAGGTACGCAACGAGATGGGAGGGGTGGACGCGGACGACCGCAGCCCGCTCATGGGCTCGTCTACGCCTGACGTCGCCAGTCCTGCCGCCACCAGACAAACCTTCCCAGCGGACACCCACGGCGTTACAATCACGGTCACGGAACAGATCTCGGCGGACCTGGCTCGCGATGGAAACATCAAGTCGTTCGATATCAAGGGCAACCTCTTCGTCCGCGTGTCCGACCCGGCCCTCTCAAAGATCAGGCTCGCGGTCACGGCGGATACCAGCAGCGGCGCACAGTTCAAGACGCATCCTAACGTTGACCGTGCCGCGTTCAACACCGGCATACTGCAGCTGAAAGACACATCCCGCGAGCTCCCCCTCGCTAGCCAGTCGCTTCTCCGGTGGCAGCAGAAATCCGGCACCGCACCCATCGCCTTCACAATCTGGCTTAACCAGCTGGGCGGTGGCCGGTACCAGGTCACTGTTGAGTACGAGCTCCAGGACGAAACCAATACCCTCCGCGACGTCACTGTGTCGATACCGTTCCAGCGCTCGGAGCCGACGGTTACCAGCATGGACGAGACCTACGAAGTCGCTGGTGACTCGCTCGACTGGACGCTGGCGAGCATCTCGGAGGAGAACGGGAGCGGCGCTTTCGAGTTTGAGGCCGAGGCCGAAGAGGAGGCGGAGTTTTTCCCGATGAGGATTGGGTTCAGAATGGAGAGGCCGGCGGTTGCCGTTGATGTGAGTTGTCTACCTCTTGGGAACAAAGGATTCGAAACTAATGATCATAGGTTGATGATATCACGCTGGTCGACTCAGGTGACAGCGTGGAATTCTCGAAGGAGGTCAAGAGCGTGGCTGAAAACTACCTTGTCGTCTAGATTACTTTCTGGCTGGGGTTTATATGGGTGCGAGTTAATGGGTGGTTCGCGGGGTTCGTGTGGGATGGCGGTTTGCAGTGCAATCGGTGTTTAAAAGCTAGAGCTCAAAGGATGAAATGATGATCAAAGCGATGCAGCATCGGCATGAAGCGAGTGATATGTATATCTGTTTGTCTGTCACGGATGGCGCGTAGACTCGATCTCGGACTCGGTCCGGGTAAAGGCGCGGAACGACGGGCGAGGGCAGGGTGGTGCTCGTGTAACAAAAACAACAAGCGCATCTGCCTGTTAGATCCCTTTTCTTTTTCGCGTTTCACACACAGCCAAAACCATAACAAACACCACTGTCTCCAAGCAACGCACCACACCAGGCCAAAACAAACAAACCCCCGTCCTTCCTCCTCAACACCACCGCCACCACCACGAATACTGCACATAACGCAAACTACCGTACGTCCCCCCCCCCCCCACACACACACATATGCAAGTCACACAACTCCTGCTAAAACCACGAACCCCTATTGTAGATGACCACGACAACGACTCCATCGCCATTAACCCCCCGCTCAGCAAATAAGCGCTCAGCCGCTACGCCCACACCTGTCAAGCAAAAGCAGGCCTTCAATACTTCTACACCACTCAAGCAATCGACCACCGCGCCGGCATTCGCGCAGTCCTCACCGTTCATGAGTTTTTCGCCAGTAGTCGCGTCGAAACGGGCCTCTCCCGCGCCTGCGCCCGTGCCCGGGTCCGGGGAGGGGTCTGGGTCCGGGGAGGGAGGGAGTGAGGACCATGAGACTGACGAGTTCGCACTATTGTCGGAAACTGAACTCGAGGCGGAAACTGGAACTAGAACTACCAGTAGCGGGAAGGAGATGCCTGAGGACCGTGACGACGATGATGACGACGACGCCGGCAGTGTCTGCTCGTCGTTCTCGGACGTGGAGTATGGCTTTGGCAGCGGGAGTGGGAGTGCCGTCGGCGCTGGTGCTGGTGCCGGGGATCAGGATGAGGTGGGTATGGGTATGGGTGCGACGCTGGGTGGCACGCCGCCCGGCAGTGTGAGGAAGGGTTCGCCGCTTAAGGTATGTGATCGGTATCTTGTATGGGGGACTGGGAGGTGGAAGGCGGAAGGCAAGGAATGGCTGTGCTGACTGTTAAAAAGCCCTCGACACCGAGTACAACGAGACGGAACGTGAATCTTGCGACACCACGGACGGTGCCGCCTTCGACCGCGAAAGCTGGGGAGCTCCATTCCTCTCCGCGTCGGGCGGGAACGAGTAGTCCGCACACGCCCGCGGCCAACGACAAGACCACCAACCTGCTCGACTTCACCACGCCGTTCGAGGGCGTCGCGCGGCCGAATTTTGGGGGCGCCACGCCTGCCACACCTCGGAGGACAATCAGCTCAACGCCGCGCACGGGATCGCCGATTAACAGGCCGCCATCCACACCGACGGAGAAAAGGTTTTTTCATTTATTGGATTTCACGCCCGGGCCCGTCGCGACGCCGAATTCAATCCCGTCGATCACGCCCAGAGAGGTCGAGGAGCTCAAGGCCGGGTTTAATGCACAGGTCTCCCTACTCACCGCGCAGCTTGATGGGCGGAAGGTCGAAGTGGAGGGGCTCCGTGCTGCTGTGCAGGAGACGGAGGCGCGTTGCGCAGAGCTGTCGAATACTCTCAGTGACCTGAATGAGTCTTTCGATGCTGAGCGCGAGTCATGGAATAAAGTCAAGGTGGAGCTGGGCGAGTTGTTCGAGCTTGAGAAGGCGGAGAGGGAGCAAATCTCGTCGCTTTTGGGAGAGAAGGAGCATATTGTTGAAGAACTGCACACGGAATTGGAGTCGAAGGATACAGAAGTTAAGAATTTGAGGAAGCGCCTTCGGGATACGGAGGATGATCTGGATAGGACGAGAGAGGAGGTTATGCGGATGAAGACGGAGGTTACGGATGCCCAGTCGATGGCGAATTCTGCGCTGGAGGCTGCCGAGGCGGCGCAGGCTGAAGCAGATCGGGCTACCCAGTCCGCACTGTCCGGCGGCGCAGCTCCCGCTTCTGGCATTCCCGCCACCAACACCTACGCTGATCCCGCTACTCCAAAGACGACGCAAGACGAGGTTGAACGCGTCGCGCGCGAACTCCACACACTCTACAAGGCCAAACACGAAACCAAGGTCGCCGCCCTCAAGAAGTCTTACGAGACCCGCTGGGAAAAGAAGGTCGCCGCGCTGCAGCACCAAGTCGACTCCCTCAAGCTCCGCAACGTGGAGCTGGAGGAAAAGAACCTTGAGAAATCGACTGCAGATACGTCTACTCCCAAGACTGCCGTCGCGCCTGCGTCGACAGATGAGGATCTCCGGAGACAGCTGGCGCAGCTGCAGCTCGATCTTCAAAATGAGAGGCAGGAGAAGGAGGGCATCGTTAGCCTTGTCGAGGAGCTGCTCGCTATCCAGCAGACGCACCAGATGCAGTTTCAGCAGCAACAGGAGGAGAGTGAGAGTGAGAGGGGGAGGGCAAAGGGGAGGGGGGAGAGGGAGAGGGAAGACCGGAAGGAGGCACAGGAAGCACAGAAGACTGAAGTCGTCGTCGAGAAGAGGAGGATTAGCGGCCCCACCATTGCTCCCGACGCTTCTGCCAGAACATCATCGGCTGCGGAGAAGAGCAGGCCAGCGGCTTCCACTTCCACCTCCGGCACAGCCTCCGCCGCCGGCGGTGCGCGCAGTGGCATCGCAAAGTCGGGATTCGCCGCAAAGCGTGCCGAGATGGTCGCCGCTATGAAGAAGCAGAAGGAACTCAGAGAGAAAGAGGCTGCGGCGGCGGCGGATGGTGATGTGGACCCAGACGCGGATTCGTTTGTCATGTAGAAGATTGGCAGTTGGATGAGTTGAGTTTGTAACACGTACCTACCTACCTACCTAAGTAGTTCTGTTTTTGTTCTTTTTGCCACTACGTACTATGATTGATTGATCTTTGGGTTTTGCGTGCAAAAGAGGGTGTATGCTTTATATTATACGGTTTGCGTTCTGCGTTCTGCTTGTGTTGTGTTTGTTTTGTTTATCCTAGGGGGGAATGGGAGTTGAGTTCTTGGAGATACCGTAGGAGATGAATAGGTAGTGGAAGGTACCGTAGTGGAATACCCAGTGTGCGAGCGAATGGATAAGGAGTTGAAGCACGTGAGCCATGAGGTGAAACTGTGCATTTGCCTAGAAGCATGCGTGCAGTCGGCGGTGATGTGGTGTAACTTGTAAACAATCGCAGTATAAAGTGCCATTCTGATGTACATGTTTCACATAGTCTCGACAATGGAGATGGTCAACCGCGTGGACTACGAACAAAGTGCCCACCATATACAATCACTCGGCGGAATCCGTCAAAATTTATTGAAATTGAGAGAACTTGACTTTGAGAAAAGGGATTGCTTTTAAAGAGAAACAACGAGCTCGTGTATGTAAACAAAGAGATGAGGCCTCTGACAAAGAATGCTACGATAGGTAGACAATGCCGCACTGAGCTGGGCTGGGCTAAAGAGGCTGGATCTGGGGGAGATACCTGGGACAATGCTGACTTCTTGCGGCGACGATGCGAAAGGACAAAGAACAGTACCATGACCTAGTGAGCAGAATAAGCAAGAAGAGGCATACAGCAGAGCAGAGGAGAACAATCGAAACGGCTCACGAGTGCTGTTGCGAACATTATTCGCCTTTGTGTAGGGGTTTCTGTTGCTTCACGGCTGCCGGTTACCAGAGTATGAACTCTACAGTTACGTGAGAACGGCACTCCGGAATCCTTGGGATCTTGCATATTTCTCTCGAGCTGTTGCTGCTGCTGCTGTCCCCCGCGAGCCCACCTCCCACCTTCCCACCTTCCCTCCCTCCCGTTGGACTGCCCAAACCCAAACAGCCATCGAAAGTTGCCCGATTGCCCGCGGGTGGTGGTGGCGATCACGGTGGTGGCTCCGGTGAAGCTTGTGATCGTGGTAGTGGCGGATATTTCCGCTTTTCCAACTCACTACTGGACCTGGGGCGAAAAGATGGGGGAGGGAGAGGGGGTTTTATAGCATTATGTGGTCGAGCTTGGAACCGGAGGGTCACGGATTGGTTATGGTAGCCGTCATTGGAGGTGGTGTGGTTGATTCACAGGCTGTCAGTCGTCATTCGAGCTCGACACCAGTTTCTGGAAGAGCGAACTTGGAAGAGGCGGTAAGAGCCAGCAAGGCTTTTTTATTATATATAGCTACTCCCACTCAACTGTGGCAGACACTTTTGTTTTTTGTTCAATCATCATTGCATTCGACCTTACATTAAGTAGGTTTACATAGCTGTTTCCACCCGGCTGCCACCGACTGCTGGCCGCGAGCTCGATACCGGTGCCCTATTGCTCTCCGCCCAGCCCTCTCCGCCCAGCCCTCTCCGCCCAACCATCCCTACTTAACCCTCCCCGCTCAACACCAGCCATAAAGACAGAAAAGGAAGAATGAAAGCAGGAAAGAGAGAGGCAATGTGTGAATGAATGTATTCGTTAATCTAGTTCTCGTCCCGTCCAACCTCCTGTAAGCTCAACCAAGAAATCCGGTTCCTCGTCTCTGCCACCCGTGTTCTTTATGTCCTCCGACCAGTCACCTCATTCGTCCTGTATCCTCTTTTTCGCCCCAGTTCTCACGCTCTCCCAGTCTATTGCCGGTTCTGATGATGTCTGGGTGAGGAGGCGGGTGGAAGAGGGACAGGCCCGTCTTTTCCTTCGCGCTTTCGTCTCTCTCCTGGCTCTTGCTTCTCTCTTCACTTCCGCCCTTGCCGCCACCACTGTTCTTCCACCTGCCCTCTCTGGTCCTGCTGTAGGACATATGGGGTTTACTGCTGCCGCTTCCAGGTCAAAGGGTTGGCTCGGGTATTCCGATGTGTCTTCTAAGCCAAGGTGGGGGGTGGGGAGGGGGCTTTTATAGGTGGTCGAGCTTGGAACTGGAGGGTGACGGATTGACTATGGTAGCCGTCATTGGGGGTGGCTTGGCCCATTCACAGGCTCTCAGTGGTCACTTCGAGCTTGACACCAGCTCCCCGAGGAGTGTGCTTGGAGTGGACTATGGCGACCACCAACTTCCCGACCTTTCCTGCCAGCGTCACGGGGCTAGAGAGAAAGCCCTATCGCCTCGGCTCGATGCTGCACCGCTGCCTACCAACCAATTTTACAGAGGAAAAACAAATAGTAGAGTGAGAGAGAGAGATCTTCAGTTTATTCCGCATGCAGCCTATCTAGACTATGGCGAACAAATAGTAGAGTGAGAGAGAGAGATAGATCTTCCTGTTTTATTTCGCATGCAGCCTATCTAGACTACGGCGAAAAATAGTAGAGTGATGAAGCATGACGGCCGCGGAGGGAGGGAGTGGCCGAGTGAGAGCAGAGGCGGAGCGCCAAGTCCGGAGCGGGGGAGGGGGGATGACCACTCGGAGCGTGCAACGACTGCCCGCGAGCCGAGCGAGTCTCCCCTCATCGCGATCGGAACACTGCGAGTGCCGAGCTTCTTTCCACATGACTACATAGGTACCTACGCAGGAGAAACCCCGTGCCGCCGAGCCGCCTCACCCCCACGCGGGGGTGAGGCGGCTCAGGGACACGTAGAGTAGAGTAGAGTATCTAGAGTAGAGTAGAGTAGAGTAGAGTAGAGTAGGATCCGTGCCGCAGCTGTGCGGGTGCGGGGTTAGGTAGAGTACTGGTTTTCGCCAGCGCCGCCGCCAGTGCCGCCTATGCCACCTAAGCCGCAGCGGCGTATGATGTATCCGCGCAGCCAATGGCGAAATTGCCTGTAGGTGGCAGGTGCCGATCGTGAATGTCCGATCCGATCCGGCCACGATTGATCGCTGCGATTGCGGGTGGCTACGGGTTGTTTGATCTGCCGATTCTCCGCACTGCGCAGTGCTGAGCATGTGGTTGGAGTGTGTGGGTGGGGATGCTGTGAGTGAACGGCGGAAAACGGGAACTGTGGGGTGCTAGCCGCGGCAGGACTGTCGTCATGCGCCTCACTGCCGTTGGGTATTGTGCGCTTGTTTCGGGGCGGGGGTGCGTCGATGCCTTTCAATCGAGCACCACCACCACAACTGTCGCAGGCTGCAGGCTGGAAGCATACATTTCGCTCGTTTCCCCTGTTGGCCGCGCGACTGGCAGTGAAACGCAAGAGAAGGCGCAGCGTGACGGCCAAAACCAGTACCTACATGTGTACGTTCGAGAACCGGTTCATGAGATATCACTATCGCTAACTACAGCCGCACCCGAACGGACACATGTTTTTCCGACCGACCGACGGACGGGCCGACTGCAGCAGCAGCTGCTGTGCATGTGTGTGCTCTAGAGTATCTACTATTAGTACCTAGCCGCTGAGCTGACTTGCCTGAATCACCCCAAGCCCAAGCAGTCACGAACCAGCCGCAGCCGGTAGATACTCTACTCTACGCAATCGCGGATGATCGCCCTCAGCCCTGCACGAGGGTTTTTGGGTAATCGGCTGTCGGGGCAAGAGTGGATACCGGGTATGTACATACTGTCCTGTACTGCACACTGTATGTAGACGGTCTGGAAGGAATTTCCACAACAACAAAGACAGGAAGTTGGTGGGGATCTAGACTCTAAGCAGACTCGCTGAACCGTAAGTTCGACTCGCTCTAACGACGAGAAGAGGACGGAGGATCGTGCAGCTCTGGACGAACGCCCAGGAGAGGGCCTAAAGGCCGGACGAACGGCGCAAACGAGTCGAGAGCCTATGAATAGAATTGACGGCTGGACAGTGGAGGGGGCAGAGCAAACCCAAATGGCGCGGCGATGATACCTACTAGGTAAGTACTTACTTCTATCCCCCTCCGTAACCGACAGACATACAGACAGCCGTCCGAGACATGTGCGGTCTCGATCTACATAGATCCAGATCTAGATTTTTCATTTTCCCTTAGCGACTCGAGCACGCAGCATCACCCGGCCCCACCAGTGTCACCAGCAAACCACGAAAAGTGCCGGGCGGACAGTCCGTTCCCCCGTATGATACCGTGGGGCGCCTCCTTTAGGCAGATGGTCCCAACCAAAATACCTACATAAGCGCTGACGGGTCCGTGGTTAAAAGGATCGATCACCTGATCGCACGCGAAACTTTTGTACCATGGGTTCGGTGCCCGTCTCGGAGATTCCAGCTGCGCTAGCTAGCAAAAAACTGTCCCCGAATCCCGACAAGCGAGAATAATAGGTACTACATAGTAGATGTACGTACTCTAGAGTGCTCTACTGTCCGTTGATATGTATGGAAAGCAGTAGGCCCTGAGTCGGATCATGGTTTATGTAAGCCCTAGTTGAAGCGGAACTATGATGGAGTACGGTAAAGTAGGTACGTACGCAAGACGAGCTAGAGGCAGAGAGAGCGAGATTGAGATTGAGAGTGAGTGAGAGTGAGTGAGAGCGAGAAAGCGAGAGAGAGACCGAATGAGCCCACCAACCGCAGAGTAGCGAGATAAGCAAGCCTGGCGATCACCAGGGAGCGAGCGAGAGTTGGGGGCTAGGTAACTACTCGTCGCATTGATATTAGTTAGACAGGAAGGCGTCGAGATACCATACTAGTACTCTACATATCAAAGGTATGTACGCAGATAGTCCTAACGGCCCGAATATTCCTGTAAGCTTGCAAGTTCCCCCACACCCTCCCCTTCACGTCCTGTCCTGTCGACGTGTTCCCTCTCCGGCTTCGGAGCTATGGCTAGGTATGGCCCATCAACACGATCTGCGCCGCGACCTCACCCCATCCCCATCCCCATCCCTTCTGGCGGGTTGGTACCGGACGTGTGTGGATTTGGATATCATCTCCTTCCGGCTTTTTACCGTGTGTATATAGAGTACGTACATACGTAACCACATACCGTCCCAATGCGATCCATGTTTCCCACTCAACCAGGCCAGTCCCGCGGTCGCCAATCCTAGAGCCTTGCCGGTTTGTGGCTTTTCGGGAGCGGAGTATCTAGAGCAGAGTAGAGTAGAGTATGTAGCCTACGGATGAAATGGCGATTGCATGGTCCATGGATACTGTATTTACTATTGACACTTACGTCTGCTTTACCAGTAACCAGTAACCCCCACGCCCGACGAGAAGTTATATGTAACCCCCCCTAACCGACGGACTACCTACTCTACCTACGCGTACGGCGGGCCCCTGGCACGCAAAGCAAACGCTGTGCGTAGTTAATTACCCGTATGCTGCGATTTGTCTCTGTAACCAAGTAACGAGTAACCAAGCCACCAAGCAATCAAGCAATCAAGCAATAAGCAACCAAGCAACAGTAACCAAGTAACCAAGTAACCAGTAACCAAGTACCGTAACCAAGCACCTGTAGTTACCAACTCTACAGCTGTAAGGTCAGCACTAATAATCATTGCTCCCGCCAAGCCGCGCCAATTCAAGCCAAGCCAATATAAGCCACCCCAAGGCGCCAGCCATTCCAAGCCAATAACCACCCGCCAAGCCCGTTCACCTCCCGTGCTCCCAGCTCGGTCCCGAGGTTGCCGAACCCGATGTCCATCGTCTGTCGCGCTCGCTCGCTCCGCCAAGCCCGTATTTCGGACTTACATACATACCCGAGTACATAGCCATGCCTAAGTACGCAGCCTAGGTACCCGGGCGCCGACGGTTCTAGAATCTGGGATCTGCTCCCCCCTTCGAACCTTCCTGACTGTGCTTGTTGTCCTTTGCGCTATATACTACTAGAGTACTGCACGGTATCTAGTCGCTGCGATAGTTAGTTATGCAATAATGGAATAGTTACTCTAATGCAAGCCACCACCCGGAAAGCTGCCGGATGGGTGGGTGTGGTGGGTTGCTGGATGGGTAGATGGGTACGTGGGTGGGTTGCTGGATGAGGGATGGGTGCGTGTATGGGTTGGTGGGTGTGGATGATCCGGTTCCCCGGGTTTTATGTGTGTATGCATACATAACATACGTAACTTATACACACATACATGATACATACGATACCGGTACATACATAAAATACCTACATAACGAAGTAACCACTCTATGTGGAGTCTATGTAGAGTACTCGTCCACCTGCAAGGGAAGGGAAGGCGGAAGGGAAGGCGGAAGGGGGAGCTAGAGAGAATCGGTGTAATATTCCGACGAGCGAGTGAGCGAGCGAGTGAGCGCCAGAGTACTACTGTATAGTAGACCTCGTCGTCGCGAGGTTACGTTCGTTTCGTTTCGCGAGATTACCGTTTTTTTTCTTTCGTTTCAACGTTCGCTAGTTAAAAGTCCATGTGTTGATGCAGTGGGTTGATGATATGGGCTGACACCGACCGACCGACCGACCGACCGATCGATGTCTGGGATCAAGATACAAGCGTGAGGCTGTCCACAGTCCGTACCGAGTATGTTATGTATCATTTGTAATTAACCACGGGCTGAAGTCATCGGAGATGTCTGTCGGGTCGGAGCCGACAACTAATCGTCAAGGCGAAATTGCACTTCGGTGGCCTCATCCACGCCCGATGTATCACTCGATCGTCAGTCGGCTGCGGCGGCGGGGGTTAAAAAACCGTTGGCCAGGCTCACCAACTACCTATCGACTACAAAGTTATGGTACATACCCGTTCGGCCATAATTCCGATCGTGACGTAGGGGGTGGTGGGTGATGTGAATTACGGGATGTGGAGAGAGGAGAGACATGTACTAGTAGATACATGTTCTCGACCGCTCTGTCATATGTCTCAAACGGAAGAACGACATTGGATGGCAGCAGCAGTAGCAGCATGCACAAGTATCTACCTATGTACCGCGCTTTGTCTCGGTGGATTACCTACCTGTCCGACTGTCCGCCTGTCCATGAGGAAGGACGTACACGCCAGGCATGCCCCCACCGATAGCCACATCGAGGAATCGAAGCTTCCCTCGGCCTTCTCCTGGTGGATGTGGAGGAGGAGGTGGTGGAAAAAGCAAAAGCACAAGAAAAAGAAAAGGCTGGTTCCCCTTCCCGGAGGCGTCCCGGAGGCGTCCCCAGGTTTTCTTCCGTTGGCCGCTGCAGTAATAGGCTGCAGTGCACGGACTATACCGTAGTAGTTAGATAGTGGTACGGGAATTACACGCCAGGTATGGAGATATATGTAACCCTACTATAGTACCGTATACAGCAGTCTGTCTCGACGGGTGTGATTGCGGGGTGGGGGGATATGAACCGGCTTCGGTCGTATGCAAGTCTGTAGTGTAGAGTACAGATACCGTCTCCTTTCTTTCCTTTTCTTTTGTATTCCGGTTTCCGAGTTCAGTTCGTACTTCGGTAACTTGTTCGGATTTTCCGAGATCCACTCGGCGGGAACTGCTGTGGTCGGCGGACGGACATCTAGACTGACAGACGAGTGTGGAAGGTGTAGGAAGGAGGTGCGAGCAGGAGGAAGGGGTGCGAATAGGAGGAGGAGGAGGAGCAGGAGGAGGAGCAAGAGGAGCAGGAACAGGACTCGAATGACCGGTCGTTCGTTCGGCAGCCCTACTAGGTACTCCAGTAGCGAACCACCATCTATAGTACATAGGGCTTGTTAGCACCGCATCCCAGGCCTTGGGGCCTCGCCGGGCGCCAAGCCTCGCCTCGGGTCGGATCTGGTCCGGTCGGAACGGCGCCGACGTCGACAACAATAATGCTGGGTCGACGTTTACTTTTTTGCGCGGTCGGACGGACTGGAGGCCTGGGCTACACTAATCTATCGAAAGCCGACGAAAATGCCGGAGATTGGGGATACGAGTGCTTGCTTGGGGGAGGGCCGGGTCGCAGAGAACACGTCTCTCTATATCCCATGCGGCCATGCCATGCTCTCGATGCTCTCGATGCTCTACAGTACCTACAGTATCTACCTGTATATCCGCGCTGCTTCCGTTGTGCTGTGCTGTACTGTGCTGTGGTCCGGGGGTTGGGCTTCGAACTTCGTCGGGCAGTGGGGACATAACAAACCCGACAAACCCGACGGCGTGAGGTTGTGGTGCCTTGGTGATGCTGATGACGAATCCTTCCCTCCCTCGGCCTTGTTGTGGTGCTGGATACCGTCCCCCACCCTACCCTACAGTAGGACTGGAATAGCCTATTGCCTGCGAGTCATAGTTGGTACCCAGCCTGGGCGTCTGCTTTATGTCTGTACTTTGGTACGAAGGTAGGTATGGAGAGTGGGTATGAGGTGTGTAGAGTAGGTATGTACACTACTATCCTCGACTATCTGCAAGGCGGGAGGGACGAGGGAGGATTGACGTCGAGCGAGCGGGGCGGAGCATGGTGACTCCACTACACCACCGTCATCGCCCAACCTCCGAATTGCTTGTTTGTATCTGCTCATCCAGGCCTCATGACAGAGCTGAGTAAGTTAGAACTTAGAACACTACTCGGGTTGCACAGTGCTGCTGCTGTTACTGTTTTAACTTTTCGTGTGAGGATTCATATGGATTCACATGGAATTCGTATGGATTCCCAACAACAGCATACCCAAGTAGATACATATAGTAATTCTGAATCCCGTCGACAACTTCAAGTTGGACGTAAATAACTCCACGAACCTGATGATGCGCACAACTCCAGACCCACGAGTAGAAAAAGAAAAGTAGGTAGGTAATCAAGATAGATACAAGAATTCAAGATCCAAAAGCCCCCCCTTCTCCCTCCCCCATCCATATCCCCCCTCCCATCTCCCCTCTCCCATCTCCCACAATAAAAATTGAACTCCCCGCCTTTTCCCATCCCTCCCGTCTTCATTCACTCCTACATACATACCGCCGTATTCGTACGTCCGGCCCCTGCCTGACTGGCAATAAGTACCCAAAACAAACCACGCAACCAACCAACCCACTAAACCAGCCTCTAGTTACACCGTAGTAGAGTAAAGTAAAGGAAAATATAGAAAAGAATATGTGAATATGTAAAAGGAAGCAATAATCCATGAAAAAATAAATAAGGGAAACCGTAACGCCGTATCTCATGCAGCAACGAAAAAAAAAACACTAGAAGAATACGAACCCCCAATTTAAAGCGCGGGTTCAAGGTTGGGGGTGAGGGGAGGGGAACAGTACAGGAAATAGGAGTGAACTGTGAACCCAGCAGAATGCAATGCGTTCCTTGTCGGCGTGTCCCTCCACCACCGCCTACCCACCCATGCCCGCGATGTGCGTAGTCAACTTGCTATACGAACGGCTGGATACCCACGACCGAGACTGTGATGAGTGCTGTGCTGTAGCTGTATGTGCCGCAGTTACTGCAGGCGCGGGGCGCGGGGCGAAGGACGAGGCACAGTTGCAGTTGCTTGCAGTTGCAGTAAGAAATTAAAAGAAAGAAAGAAAGGAAAAAAAAAGGTGGCATGATCAGACGATCATGACCTTGGAGGAGTATAGGAAGTCCAAGCTCCTTTCGTCGTCCTGGCGGTAGTGCGAGAGGATGTTGCTGGTGAAGCGTGCGTGGTCTATGAGGGGGTGCAAGCAGAGTCAGCAATCTACCCTATAGCTAGAGTGTGTACAGAGATGCCTGTTTTGTTTAAGGCAGTGGGGTGTGGGTGGTGGTGGAGTCGTAGTTGACTTACCAGGATTTCTTAATCCGCGGCCAATTCGCTCCATGGCCCCCATAACCCCCTCAGGGTCCTCGCAGTTGCCGATGAGCCCGATTGTCTGCTCGCGACTCCAGTCCAGCGCGAAAGGGGTGAGCCCCTTTGAGATGGCGGCGAAGTGCGCCGCCAGCGAGACGGCCAGTGCATCGTTCTTTTCGATCAACCGCTTGGGCGTGGTGGGGTGACGCCAGACGTACCCGCTGTCCATGTGGAACAGCCAGTAGTACAGCCGCCACGAATCGCGCTCGAGCGCGTTCATGAACACGACGGTGGTGAAGAAGATCTTGAGCCAGTCCTCGCGCTTGCGCCCAAAGATGCGCTTCTGTAGCTCGCTGAGTATCTGCTTCTCGAGCTGCCAGATGCGCCGCTCGAGGAGGTGGTCGATCTGGTTCGAGAGGACTCGGGGGAGCGGCGTCTGCCCCGCCTGCGGCGACGACAGGCTCGGGATCGCCATTATCCCTAGGTTGTCGGACGTCGGGTGCAGCGCACCCCCTCTGATCAGCATCTGCGTCGCCGTCCACAGCTGTAGCGTGTCTCGCAGCAGAAAGTTCTCCTCCATCCGCGAGTACTTGAACGCCGTCGTGAAGATCTCGGCCATGATGGGGTTCTCGCGGAAGGCGCTCTCGACGAAGTAGTAGGTGTGGTCCTGGATGTACTTTTCCATGATGTCGGTGTTGATGCCGCGCTTCATCGCAAACGGCGCAGTCGGCGTCGACTGCCACCCGTTGGCGTCCTTGTACCAGTAATCGAGCTCTTCCGTTGCCGAAGGTGCAAACTCGTAGACGTTGAGCTGCATCGTGACGCCCAGCGTCTTGGAGTGTGACACGACGAGCGTCCGCGGCGGCGCATTCGTGAAGCGGAGTGTGTGATGCATCATGGTCCGCGAGTACGAATCGACCAACCCTTTTTGTCGGAAATGTTGGTAAGCTTCCGCCCATCACGGGGGAGTTTGGCAGTGAAAACCTACATTTGGAGAATACATCCAGATCGACAAAATGAACACGAACGCAGAGCGCTCCGGCACCAGTCTTCTCGCACCTCTTGCATGGGCTTCCATCGTCACACTAAGAAACTGACGTCAGGTCTAGAACTTCTCCTTGTCTCTCCCTCCACCGCCGAACCGCCCAATCGCCCACCACCCGAGACAAAAACCGACTAACCTTCATCTTCAATCCCCAGCACTTTGTACAGGCGCCAATCTTCCTGAGCTGGTGAACCTGCTCGCGCTCCCTAGGCTCGAGCTTCCTTCGGACCTTCCGGGTCTTTGTGCGGACGGGGCCGGGGAATTGAGCCACGAGGTGGCCGTGGGTGTAACAGGCCAAGTTGGTGCTCCGTGGGAGGTTGTGGTGTCCGGCGGCGGCGGCCGAATTGGGATCGGGCGAGTATGCGCCGATGTTGGGACTGGAGTGGGCGGTGCTGCTGCCGCCGCCACCGCCACAGGAGTGGCTGCCCATCTGCGGTGACCGCGAGTAGTCCGAATGTGTGGCCCACTCCCGTGGATCGCACTCGGAGGAGCTGGAGTCGTATTCGGAGAAGGGAGATAACCGTGTCCGCTTGGGATCTCTGTTGAAACTGTGGTGAGCCATCGTTCACGTTTGAGGGTGCTGCCTATTTTACTGAGCGGGGGGTGGGGAGGTTGGTTGGGGCGGAAGAGTGCGGGTGGGAAGGGCGGTGCAGATAGGAGGGGGGGAGAGTTGAGTTTCTGTCCCTCATACCTTTCGAATTCCTGAAGGGTGCCAGTCCCATCATATGGTTGATAAAACGCCTGGTCTGACCGGTGAGACTCCACTATTAGGGCAGCGATTAGTCTCAGCAGTTTCAAGTAATCTTCATGCATCGCATGATGACCAAGGAGGGGGGTGGGTGGGGGTCGCTATGTGCGACCTCACGCAGGAGGGAGGGAGGGGGAGAAGCAGAAGATGAATATGAAGAAGAAAAAGAAGGGAAAACGTACTATTACTACCGTGAATGCGCGTATCAAAGGCATCTGCAGGATGGGTGCCGTGAGAAGATCTCGTTGGTGGGGGGGCCTGTCCGTAAACAAGGCCGCCCACGGCGTGCATATATTGATTATCAGCTGTGGCGGCGGCGGTGGGATAGACCTGCGAGTCCGCATAGGGATCGGGAAATAGTGCGAACATCCATGGCTGGATTACTGCGGCATCAGCGCTCGAAACCCCGTCGGCTACTGTGGTTGATAGGCCGGACGGCGAGTGTGCATAGGTGCGGGGGATATTTGTTGGCTCGAACTCCAGGTGTGCCACTACGGACGACGACGATGAGGACGAAGACGACGGATCGTCAGGAACCGTGGTAGGAGGTGTCACATATGCCGCCGCCGCTGCAGATGAGCGGTGGAAGCCGTCCTTGGGGGCTGCTGGGTTGACCATGGTTTTTGACCGTCCCAAAGCGCGGAAGTTATTGTTGTTGTTGTTGCTAGTGTTATTGTTACTGCTGTTGCTGCTGCTGCTGTTGCTATGGTTGAAGTGGAAAGGTGAGTGTTGCTCTGGGAGTAATGGTGATTGGAGCATTCTGTTGTTGGGGTGGTGAATGATGGTGGTGGTGGGGGTTTCGTACTTTCGACCGAGCTTATAAGATGAAGTCGAGGTTGAGGAGAGAGAGAGAGAAGTACTCTATAAAGAAAGGCTTCTCGAAGGATGAGCTTACGGGCGGCGGTGGTGGTGGCACGGGCAGGTCCCTGTGATAGTGCCAGGATCATCTCACATAACTAACTACCAGCTCGAGGGAATGATTGCCGCCTCCGACCTAAAGGCCCTGCAGGGCTTCCCAATTGCATAGCCGCATGGGCATGGCCATGGCCCCAGGGACCTTGGAGACTGACTCTGCAAGGAGAAAGAGGCGCCAATTGGGGAGTCATTAGAGGTGAAACCCACAGGGCTTGGGGGCGATTATTATCGATAGGGTATGTACTTGGTTGTGGGTGACTGGGACAGAAGTAAGTAAGTAAGCCTTGGCCGCCGACGACAGGAAATGGCAGTGGAGCTGGTGACCCGCTGATCCCCAGCCTACTTACGATATAGTGTAGTAGTATGTAGTCGTTCCAGTCTTCGTGTGAGCGGATTATTTTTGGTGATGTTGTTGGGTCAGTGGTGACCCACAACCGTGGCCCAGGGCGGGGGTGTAGTTTGTGGGCCGAGAGGAGTCGGGTGGGAGTCGGGGTACCAACGCGGTGGTGCATCATAGCGATTTGAGTCGATTCGATTGGATTTGGAGATGGCATCCAATCTCGATGAGGATGTGACCCGATCGCTTTTTTTAATTCCTTTTTTCTATTTCTTTTTTCTTTTTCCGTGCTCCAACGTTCACTGTCGTCCATGGAGGCAGCGGAGACCGTTCTTTCGTCTTCACGGCAGACGAATCAAGCACATGGGCTTGGCATGTTCTTCTCCCGCGACCGGACTAGACTCGATCATGGCTCTCAGCACTCGTATCTTTTTGGAGTCCAGGCGGAGACTGATGGATTGGGGAGACAGAAACAAGCAAAAACAGCCGCGCAGCGTCAAAGTCGCAGCAACAACAGCCTGGCCGAGTACGGTAGGGGCGCCGACCCATGGCAGAGATCGGATGGAAACGTTTCTCCCCCCGCAAGCGAATCTATGTCAGCCATGCTCCGAGCTCGGTTTAATTCCGTCGAGGCTTTCAGGCAGGTTCACTCTCCTTATTTTGCGGGTTCCAGTTCTGGCCCCATCGAAACGGCCGGCACAGCTCCAGACGGTGGCCCGGTTGCATGCGCATGATGGATGGGACGGAAACCAGCCCCCCCGCCATCGTTCACCCGAGACTCTAGCTACCTACCTGCTCGATCGTTACAGCAGAGTCCATAGATGGGATCAGAATTAGCAGCAGAGCCGGGCGAAGCCCGTGACATATCATGCTCTATCATGCTCTATCATGCTCTATGTACCTGGGGTATTTGGTTACCGTCTAGTTGGTTACTAGTATTGTTGACCAGATAGTGATACTCTACTCTGTTTTGCACCGCCACAGTGTGGGTTGCTATTTTGGTGGTGGTGGCCGTCGACTGTCGGGACTCGGAAGGGAACCGCGTCAATCACGTCGCAGCGTCGGGCGTGTCGCAGCACCTTGGCACTAACTGGGACAATAATAATAATATGTGTGTGACAATCAATGCGTCTCTCTTAGCGCACGTGCAACCCCCGAATGGTCCGAGCGTCAGCGCCCCGGCATCGGACAGACAAGGCCAGTGACGGTTGATATATTTCAGTTATGCTCTATTGTTTTATCTGGAGACCTCGCGCTCATCCGACGAAGATGTGACCAGTAGAGTAGAGTGCAGAATTCAGTACCAGTAGTAGATATGGGTAGAGTAGTATGGAGTAGTAGCCTACTAGCCATAAACCCATACCTCTGCCAATAATCACTGGATGGAACGGATCAGAGGGAACAGACAGTAGATGGATATTGAAACTGAAAATTCGGAGTATTTACTGTACATAAAATGACCAGGCTGACAGGGCTGGCTGATATCAATGGCTGTGGCGCTCGGCTGTCTACCTCTCCGTCGGATGAGCGACCTATATCCACCAGGGGGGAGGTTATGGCCCCGTCAATACTCCCCCGGAGTGGAATTGCTGGGCACTGCGACTCGCGTGTACTACCGAAGCGTAGGGTACGACTCGAAACGGGGGGGCATAACTACTAGTAAATGTTGCCTGCAGCCTGCAGCCTGGGCCCTGCAGCCTACAGCCCTGGTAGACTGGTAGACTGGTAGCCCTGGATCCCCAAGGCACGAGAGAAGGCAGACGGCGGCGGGGACGGGGAAGAGGACGGGGAACGGCCACGGAGACGGGATTGAGCTAGCTTACTCGAGTAGGTACTCTACTTACCCAACTTACATAGGTAGCACTCTGCTCGCCAGTCGCAAACGAAACATGCGAGCGAGGGGGGTAATGTTCGGCGCTCCCCCGGGCCCATTGCTCCAACCTTGCGTTCCATCACGGCTTGTCTGGAATGGTTAAGCACTTCATGTCAAACGGGATCCCTGGAGAAATTTCCCGCGGTGGTGGAGTAGGTACCGGTAATACTATAAACTGGTTGGGGCCCTGGGGTGGAAAGATCCCTAAAATTAGGTGACAGGGCCGTGGCTGTGGTCACGGCGGATTGCTTGGGAAGCAGGCCATACATACATAAAGTAATTACCTAAGTACTTACATACATACGCCATGTTCCAACGTTCGGTCGGTATCTATGTAACTGCCTACCTACTTCGTAGGCTAAGTTTGTCCGGCCGGCTGTGGTGTATGCGTGTGTGTTCGCCAGAGGCGGGAAAACCCGCTCCTACTCTTACCCCCACTCCCCCCCCCCGCCGCGTGCAACGGCCCGCCCGCCCGCCAGCCAGACAGCCAGCGAGACTGCCAGCCACCGTATCCGGAGAGGCAGCCAGTCCGCCCACGGCCGACCATCGTTCATCTCTATGCGAGCAACAGTGCGAGCCGGGAAATGCACACCGATGTGGCATGCCGAAGCTGCCCGCCCGCCTTTGGCTACGCATACATATATCCTAAGTACATACACGCTCCCCACCTGGCTAGCAAGCAAGCACGGACGTTTAGTTCGGCTGATATGCCGGCCCATCGAACCCTGGGTAAATATGGATATCGACCCACCACCGGTATGATCCCGTTTGGCGGTGACATGCTTACCCTACCCCTGGGGAACCTTTGTGGTGGGGGGGAGGGACCTTGGCTGAAATTGGACCCGCAAAATCGCCATCCCGTGGTCCTCACTTCTGGGAAGTTGGAACGCGCGTGCGGCCTGCGGTCGTCGGAGGTGTTCATACCGTGGGACCGATGCTGATGGTGGTGGTGGTGATGGTGATGGCGGCGGCGCCGGTGCGATGTACCTCCTGATATCGAGGCGGTGTCTCTTGTATCTCTATGGCTATGTGTGGCTGTTCCTCGTCAGTGGTCACGCGCGCGCCAGAAACCTACGATACTCCAGTTTGATACGTTCATACCTAGGTTGTGGGGTGGAGTTGTAACTACTGTCTCGGCTGATGCCAGAACGGATGCCGAATGAACGAGACGGCATCGAACTCGGACTCTTCACTTCGGCTTCCTTCTTTCCTCGCCCCACTTTGTGCACCAGCACCAGCACCAGCACCACTGACCAGTACCAGTCTAGAGTAGTTACCATCGGCTGAGTTGTCTCTCCTCGTCGAACAGAATTAATGCACATACATATCGGAGCGGAGTACGAATCGAGAAGAAAGATCGCTTACCTATTGCACTCTACGTAGCATACCCGGGACGACGGCGGGCCCCACAATATATCCCATGTAACTAACCAGGTACTTGCCTGAATCATAGAGAGTACGGCCGATGCACAGTAAGTCGAAGTTTCAATTTGACTTGACCGCTAGTTATCTAACGATCTAACGAGAATCTAGATGTCAAGGTAGTAGATGGATTGATGGTATATATCCAACTAGTGTCTCGCGTCGAAAGTTCTGCCTTGCTTGTTTGCCTCACTTGCTCCCCAGCAAACTGTCCAGGTACTCCGCGATGGCCGACGGTGAAGGCTTCAGTGAAGCGAGTCCTTCGTACTACGTAGAACTCCGATAGCACGTGTCTACCTATATTCTCGACGGACGGACGGACGGACGGGTTCGATGCTGGGGAAGGCACACCGGTGACCGAAGGCATTGACATCTCTATGTAGCTACATACGCGAAACTGCCCGTTAGCTGGTCCACCGGCCAGGCCGCCTGGTAACTGCAACCCTCCCTTCCCCCGCCATCCTTGAGCTAGGAGACTTCGTCGCCAGTGCGGTAACTATGTACGGTAGGAGTAGACGTAGCATGCACAAGTTGCAGGAACCTCTAGACTCAGACTCCGAGTCTGAGCCCTTTGCCTTTGCTCGCGAGTCTCGGCCATCAGCGTTTGCGCAAGTCATCAGGCCTATAAGTTCCGAAAGCGGTACCCGCGATTGACGGCGGGGGTGGATATGTACGATGCGGTGGGAGGGAGTGGGAGGAAAAATACCGCACGATTTTTCTTTTGAGTCGAGTCGGCGGCAGCTAGAGTAGTCTAGCAGTGTCCGCAGCAGCTCCCTTGACTCGGTGCGGTGCTGGTGACTTGGGTCCCGGCAAACCCTCGATTTCCAGTACTACCGGTACCGTCACCTTGCTCCCCTCCCCCCCCCCCCCCCCCCCCCCCCCCCCTTTGCCCACCATGATCATATCTATCTATCCACCCGGATGGGTGCTGTGCAGTGCAGACGCGACTGCTGCAGCAAAGTAGAGTACCCATAGGGCTGTAGGCGCTGCACGTCTACTCTATAGTACAATAGCCCTATACGTACTCTACTATTAGTTAGTACTTAGCCGTGTACTACAATCTTCCAGAAATGGATGTCTGCGCCGCGGGTGCAGTGCGGCTTAGAAGTTGGGTGGCCGCCTATTTCCTGACAGGGATTGACTAAATAGTAAGTAGTCCACTACAGGATTATGGCGCATAAGATGACTCAAGTTAGTACTCGGGTGTAAGGGTAAGTGCTGCCTCAATAGTTTTTCCCCCATACAGCTTAGCGTTTTCCCCCCATACAACTTATTCACAACCACTCACTCATTTCATTGTATCTGGCTTAGTGCGCTTCTAATATAGACTAGTGCTTATAATTCGCAATGTTGGTGAGGCACCACTTATCGGCAGCTCTTAGTACTTGTTACTCTATATTCTGCGTGTGAATCGGAACAGCACAGCACACTCCACTCGAGAGTCGAGACTTGAGAGCAGAGGAGAGCAGAGGCGGCCGGAAAAATCCCCCTTCCATGCGGGGGTTCCTCGTGAACGGTACTATGAATATTATACAGTAGTATATCAGCGAACGGGAAATGAACTGGGAGGGTGGAGTGGGGGCCTTAATGATCCCGCTCCCACGTGACCGCAGTCAGGAAGTTAGGCTGTTAGGGGGGGTTCAGTTTTCCTCCCTCTGGGAGGGAGGGAGGGAGGGAAGTTCACCCGCTTCCCCGACTCTTCTAGCTAAGTAGCTATCCCCACAGTTGCGCATGAATCGCGTGGGATCACAGTGGGGTCACTGGGTAAGTATGCAAGCAGAAGGCGTAGAAGGAGCAGAAGGAGCAAGTGGCGCTCATCGTTGAGCACTCGCATCGGAACGGGACTTGGCCCATGGGTTCTTTTCAGTGTCTGTTGGTTGGATCAACAAGGCCTCATCGCCGACTGTCCACCACCGCCGCGATGACTTGTTACCTTTACACCAATATACTAATTTTTTGGCGTAGATATTGACAACACCACCATTACGAGCCGCCAGCAGTGTCGTTCAAAACGAAAGTAGCAGGTTTTCACATGTGAAGGGGGGCTGCGCTGCGCTACGTACGCGGTTGATCGACTGTGCCACGGACGTGCAGGAAACGCAGTGTGCGAGATATTACTGTACAGTGTAGAGTATGTACGGACGGACGTACGGCGCTGCACACTGCGCTGTAGGCGGCGGATAGTCTGATCAGTACTTGGTTGGCTGCTCGGATCAGAACGCATTGAAAGCTAAACTACAGCGCAGCGCAACCGCAGTTCGATTCGATTTCATCACGAGCGCGAGGAGTAGTGATAGCTGGTAGGGTATATAGTAGCTACGGCGTATCCGACCTGAGGAAGCCTCGCCCCCCCCCCCCCCCCCCCCCCCCCCCCCCCCGCCCTTCCCCGGCTTTACCCGCTGGAAATCTGGAATTGGACCATGATGTGTACCTATGTGTGGTATGTATGTACATACTTGCCTACATACGTCGACGAGGTCTGGCTTTTTTCGTCTTTCTTCTTCTTCTTTTCACCATACCCGACTCTCCGCGCGGCTATCGGACCCAGGTGGTCCCGGTTGAATACCTAGGCGGATGATGGATCGGATAAAAACCAATTTGTACTGCTATATTCTTCTTACTTACCTACATTCTGACTTACCTACTTACTGACAGTCTGACGTGCATCGGATCCGCCGCCTCCCCTCCCACTCCCTCCACCCCCAGCAATTAACCCCACCCCACCATAAGCACTGAAATTCCGTGCGCGGTACATACGATGTCCCGTCGTTTGATTGCTTCCTTACCCCTAACGGCTCGAGCTTGGGTCGGATCAGCCCTATGGCTATGTATGTACATCTCACCGGTTCGTCATGTACTATGTACTATACATTGTACTACGCTATGGGTAAGTACTCTGGGATGCACCAAGTCCGATGTCCTATGGATGTATGTACTGCGAACTAACGTTTGCGTTTGGCGACGGTATGATAGGTAGTAGCCATCATACTCATACCTATGTCATATCCACATCAAGAACGAGAACGAGAATGTGTCGCTGGCGGCTGACCTACCTGCGCTGCAGACAGACAGACAGAAAGACATGTCATTGTCACTCCGTCAGCCCCTGCGCCTAGTCGCGCAAACATTCACGAGTCACTCGTTGTCGAGCAAGCACTCGACCGCACGCACGCACGCGATGACTGAAATGCATGCAAAATAAACCGAGAATCGCTCTCTCTCTCGCGATGACTGAAGTACATACTCCGTCATCATGATGCGCAAGTACTTACTTGCTACCACCTGGCGGCGCACCAGCCTTACGCACCGAGTTCAAGTGGTGCGCCTCGCTCGGATAACCCAAGACATCCAGTGTTCAGCGTCCGGCGTCGTCCGATTAATCCACTCATACCTCTGGAGTCGGTACTTACTCGACGCATGAATCAAGGTGCTGCAATTGCAACCTGCAACCCCCATCGGACCCTAACTATTCAAGCTCCCCCGACGAATCGTCAGCGAGCTATAGCACTTACTTACTACCTAGTTAACGGTCGTGCGTATGTAGGAGGAATCGGAGCAATTGAAGCCTGGAATCGGCTAACATTCCGTGAATGGAGTGGGCTGTGCAACTGTAGCACGTGACGCTTACTCTTGCGGGTACGCTTAAGCCACCCCCCGTGAGCTCAAAGCCATCCTTCCTCCGTGACGGCTGGCGCGCGCTCCCCACCCCCACCGGAGGTGTACCTGCATCCATCCATCCATCCATTCATCCAGATCCACCGCACCCCCACCCATTCATGTCGGCATTTACTTACTGTGCATGAAGGACTCGGTGGAGATAGGCTTTTCCCGCAGAAACACCATCGTGAGTGGATGGGGCGATGCGGCGAGTATCTACATACATGACGATTCTCGATCGATATCTGGCTGGTTGGCTGGCTGGCTGGCCACGTTCCCCAAGTGTGTACGCGTACCGTACCTAATTGGTACTCAATTGCCTGCTGTGGTATATATCCGCCCGCCGGTCACATGGGTTAACTACAACGCAACCCAACCCAGAGCAGAGAAATTATCCCATCTGCCGTAATGTAGAGTACTCTATCCTACTCTACTCTACTATTAACTACTATCATCATCACCCATCAGTCCATCGGACATCCACCTCATCGGACATCCACCCCAGTTAGCCTATTGAACCCGGACTAGCTATCTCCCAACTAACTAACTAATAGAGTATAGAGTGCCCAGCCAATACTTTGGTATCCGGGGTGTGTGAAGTGTGTGTGTGTGTGTGTGTGTGTGTGTGTGTGTGTGTGTGTGTGTGTAGTGGGGAAGTTCGGGATACTTCCTTCAGCCCTACGGACTAGGTAGTAAACGCACGTAGTGTGTGTGTAACCATGCACGTAGTTACTTGGGTATCTCGGCTTCGAGTCTCGCTGCAGCCTGCAGTGCGATCTCCACACCACCTGGCACCTGTGGATACTTCGGGAGAGACTTCAGGAGAGACTAACTAGCAGGTAGCCGGTGCCGAAGAAGAGCAATAGAATCAAATCTCCTTTTTCGGGGTGACTTGGTGGATGCAATCACATTCAGCGAGGGCAGGGTAGGGGCGGTGGACCCTGACTTTTCCTATTGCTTGGGAATATCTCCTACGACGGTAACTAAGGTGGTGAGAACACAACCCACCCAGTGGTCCAGAACCCACATCTCTCGATCCACTACCTGCTATGCAGAATCAACATCGTCAGTCCGTCCGCCAATCCCGAGGAGCAAGCGAGTCAACGGTGGACCCGAGACATCCGTATACGAGTGACGAACAACGCACGACGTGTTCCTGCGTTGCAGTACCGTATTCCAGTGCAGCGGTGTAGATGCAGCTCAATGCTCCTACCTATGATACCTACTATACGTACATACGGTCCGCCGCCGGCGATGCGTAAGTAATATGTATGTAGGGGTAGGGCGGGAAAGGCGATGATAGCCGGGCGCCGAAGGCGACGCACATATCCGGTGAAGTGTACTGTACTCATGTACACTGCACTGTACGCACGGAACGGAATGCACAGTTCAAAGTTCAAACCGCTGGTACTAGGCAACTAGTACGCTCAAGAAGAAGAAGAAGAAGAAGAAGGAGTTCTCCGGCTTTTTCGGATGCGCGGTCCAGAACCGCCGTTTTTGCGCGGAACGTGGGGTTCCAGACCCCCACACGATCCAATCCGCCTGGGGGTTTGGAAATAGCTGCATAGGTCCATGCGGCGTTTGGACGGGCGATTGAAGATCGTGACGGTCACGGTGACGGTGGCGCAGCAACTGCGCGGTAGAAGGCCTACTCTACTCTACGGTACTCTGCCGTAGTGAGTGTGATATCGGCTCTCCATCGTGCATTGTACCGGCCGCAGCCACACTTAGTTTACCATTGGGAAGCTTACAGCTTCAGAGACATGCGGAACCGAAGAAAAAACAAAGCAGTTTCCCGTGGTACACACCTCCTAGGTACTTGGTGGTAGTAGTAGGGTAGGTAGACTTTGTTTTTTTGTTTTTGTTTTTTGGACCAACCGAGACTAGGTCGTGAAACGGTGTCTCCGGTACGGCGTCCATCAGGTGCATTAAGTAAGTTAGGTACCCAATGCAACGGGCGTGGTTTATTTTAGTAACAAGGCGCACCCACTACCTAATACCTACTATTACCCGCGTCTCAAAAGTACGCCCATCGCACGGGACTCAGGGGGAGCGAGCACGAGTGAGATATTGTGTATGTACTGGAATGTATACGGACACCCGATTGCTGATCCCTGCACGAAACGAAACGAAACGAAACGAAATGGAATCCGCAGCCAGCTAACACGGCTACATGTGTCTTCAAGATGGTCTGTAGCCTATCAGACAGGAAACTGGCACATTCCATCGCGGTGACTCAACGGACGGGAGAAACTTCGAGAACTTTCACGATTCAGTCTATCGCGCACTGGTCTGTCGTGGAGGAGTCACATCGCAATTGAACACAGTGTCTCGTACTAGCTGTTGTACGTACAGCCGTGTAAATCCGAGAAAACTATTCCGAGTACATATGCTGAGGCCGGAGGCCGGAGTAGACGGTAAATACACACCTGCAGACCAAACAAAACCACAAACTCCGATCGATCGCAAGAAAAAAACACATCATACATCCATACACACATATCTACATGTTCAAAGGCCCCAATGGCTCCCGGAAACCGATATCGCCTGCGGAAGCAACGTCACGCTGGCTGGCTGACCACGCCGGGAACGACGACCTCCTGGCTCCTCGTGCTCTTCTGCGTCCTCTTCTCGCTGCTGTTCTGTGCGCTCCCGGCGTCGGCAGCGGGAGCGGCAGCGGGGGCGGAGGACGAGCACTCGGTGCACCCCGGACCTGGTATGTACCAACTCTACTCTGCACGCACATCGGGCCGACTACTGACCGCGGGCAGTCATCGGCATCGACCTAGGGACCACCTACTCCTGCGTCGGGATCTACCGCAACGGCACGGCCGAGATCATACCGAACCGGTACGGCGACAGGACTACGCCGTCGTTCGTGGCGTTCACGCCCGACGGGCAAAGGCTGGTCGGTATGCCGGCAAAGAACCAGGCTGCCGAGAACCCGGGGAATACGGTCTTTGATATCAAGTAAGCTTTATTTTGTTGGGCCAGGACACGTGGAACTAGCACTGACGAAGGCGCAGACGGGTCCTCGGCCGGCCATTCGACGACCCCTCGCTCCAGCGCGACACGGCGCATTTCCCATTCGTCCTGCGCAACCGCTCCGGCAAGCCGGTGGTCTCACTCGACCTCGGCCGCGGCCCCGGCGCGGAGGATGTGTTCTTCACGCCCGAGCAGATCTCGGCGCGCATCCTGTCGGACCTCAAAGCCAGTGCCGAGGCGTATCTCGGCGAGCGCGTGACGCAGGCGGTGATCACGGTGCCTGCGTACTTCAATGACGCACAGCGGAAGGCGACGATGGATGCTGGCGCGCTCGCGGGGCTCGAGGTGCTGCGCCTAGTTAATGAGCCTACGGCGGCCGCTATCGCCTACGGCATCGATGCTGAGTCCGAGAGGAAGATCATCGTCTATGATCTCGGCGGTGGGACCTTCGATGTCAGTCTGTTGGATATCGAAGACGGGGTCTTTGAGGTTTTGGCTACGGGGTATGTAACTACGACTCAGTTCTTTCCCCGCCATCCATCTACCCGTCTGCTCACACGGCTGGGGATCGTAATGGTGATACCCATCTCGGAGGAGAAGACTTCGATAACCGCGTGATCGAGCACTTCACCGAGCTCTGGAACACCCAGCATCCCGGAAGCGACGTGTCCAAGGACCAGCGAGCCATGTCGAAACTGAAGAGTGAAGTTGAGCGAGCGAAACGAGTGCTCTCGACCGAGAAGGTTGCCAGGCTCGATATCGCCTCGTTCCACGACAGCAAAGACTTCTCGGAAACCCTGACACGAGCTACGTTCGAAGAGTTGAACCGTGAGCTCTTCCGGAAGACGCTGAGCACCGTTGAAGCGGTACTCAAGGACGGAGGAATCAGCAAGGGCGAGATCTCAGATGTGGTCCTCGTCGGTGGCTCGACTCGGATTCCGATGATCCAGGAAATGTTGGCGCTGCACTTCGGCAAGGAGAAGATCCACAAGGATATCAACCCCGACGAAGCGGTCGCCCAGGGAGCTGCCATCCAGGCGGGGATCCTGGCAGGCGAGGGCGGTCTTGAACTTGTGGGGCTGATCGATATCAATCCCCTGTCCCTGGGCATCGAGACGCAAGGCGGCGTCATGACCACCTTCGTCAAGCGGTTCGCTGTGATTCCGACGGTAAAGAGACAGGTCTTCTCGACGACTCAGGACAACCAGGAAACGGTCGAGATCAATGTCTTCGAAGGTATGCACATACTCCTCCCCAACGCCGCACATACCTAGCCTTGCACCGCGAAGTCCAGCTGACGGGAAGACACCCACAGGCGAACGAGCCATGGTCTCCGCCAACAACCTCCTCGGCTCACTCCGGCTCACGGGAATCCCCCTAGCCCGCCGGGGGGTCCCACAGATCGAGGTGACCTTCGAGATCGACGCCAACGGCGTGCTCACAGTGAGCGCTCGGGACCCGGCGACAGGAGCGTCACAATCCGCGGAGATCACGAACCAGGCGAACCGGCACTCGCCGGAGGAGATGGAGCGCATGCTCGCCGATGCCGAGAACTACGCCGAGCAGGACAAGATATTTACGCAGTCGGCGGAGGCCAGAATAAACTTCGAGGTAAGCTCGCGATGACGTTGGCCGTACGAGTTCACGTGGGCTGATGCTGAACACGAATACCTCGCAGGCGCAAACATATTCGGCACGGAGACTGGGCAGCGATCTCGAGAAAGCACTGTCTGCGAGGGACCTGAGGTCACTACAGAAGGCGGCCGATGATGCGACTGAATGGTTCAAGTGCGCTCACCCCCTCTCCACTCCTTCTAGAAATGACCAATTGGGAAGTACATATGCCTCTAACAAAGCCAAAGGAAAACCGATGCGCCGACAGCCGACGAAATCAATGCGAAAGCCAACGAGCTGGCGGAGACGGTATCGTCGATCGCCTCGAAGCTCCGTAAGTGCCCCACGCCTCGTTGAGTGCTATCCTAACTAACACACGTTCGACGAATCACAGACGAGTCCGCTCGCCCCGTCCACAACGAGCTGTAATATTTTTTGAACGTCTAATATACCCGTTCGGGGAGGAGGGATGATCACTAAATGTCTGGGTGTACGTACGTACGTACAGAAGTAATGTAATCCAATCTTCTGGAATTTGTGGGATTGTGTACGGAAGGGCAATCGTCACGTGCTAGTTCTGTCCGAGAAGGCTCCGGTCATCCTGACTGTGGTCGATATCGATCGATCGATCGTGTTCGAATGAAACCTGATAGCGTACCTACTCCACTTTGACAGCTGTGGTGACGTTTTTAAATTTTGTGTCTCGTCTCGTCGACCGAACTTTCCCACATTGACCGTCACTCGCCCATCCCACCATCTAGGCTGGATCCCGAATACGCGGACGATCTTCATTGGACCTGTTCTTTCTGCCCACTTCATTCTAGCAGCTTCATCCAGCGACGGTACACCACCACCGTAGGTAGCACCGGCTGATGACGCGTCGGAGTGATTTTTGCCTCTTCGTAGCTCACTCAGCACGCCGTCACAGCCCGATTGTTACACACTCGGCCTTAACTAAGGCTGTCTGCCGCTCGGCGCTCGAACTCAGCAGGGTTCAAAAAACAGCAAAAAAAATGAGAAGCTCCCACCCCGATTTGAACGAGGGACCTGTCGATCTGCAATCGACCGCTCTAACCCCTGAGCTACGAGAGCCGCTGATGTCAATTAAGCGAGTGACAACTTTCTGAAACACACATAAGAGACGCCGTCCTTGGTGACGGCGCTCACATCAGCTACAACCACAGTCAGCTAGAGTACGGACATCATAGGGGTAAGCCGAGACCCACCACCCACCATCCACCAAACATCGCACTCGCTGCCCAGCTGCACAGCTGCACGGAATCTTCAACCTCCGACTCCAAAATTCATCAGCAGGCGTTGGGCTGGGCCGCAGAGGCGAGGCGAGGCGTGAAGATCCCAGGGTTGCGGCTTGCCCGATCTGCAGTAAGCGTTCTTCCCGCGGCCCGCTGCGGGCAAAAGTCGAAACCTTCTCACGCAGACACGCTCTCGCGGTCCGGTGAGCGTAGAGAAACTCGTGGCACGCACACACAAGCGCCTACACTCCGTCGACGATCGTATGATAAGGCGTGGAATTGGTGGTTTGCATTGCGTCCGCAGAGATCACTCACTATAGGTACTGCCGGCTGTGGTGCGGCCCGCAGATGGCGATAGATACCTATCGTGTGCGGAAACTCTAATTATACCATTGGTACGTGCATACCCCATTCCCACCCCCCTCCCCCCCGCCGCGCCGGCATGTGGCCTACAATCATCTCCACAGATGTAGGAGCTGGGATCGGACGGATGGGGTGGTCATTTCGTCGCCTTCCCTCGGCCGTGGGGTATCGTCATCCACGGCTATATAAAGGCGGGGTAGGCAGGCACACACGGAGTGCACCCGTAACTCGATAAACCGAGGGCTCCAAGCGATGCCCGGACTTGGACTAAATGGACAGCAGGAAGGAATACGCTATCTGCGAGCTAGCGCGAGGCGGGTCAAAGTTTAGGAATGGGGTACTTACATGTACGAAAGATCCCTTGGCCGCACCACTTGGGCATACGGCTTGCGAATGTCTCATGCCTCGTCAGGAAACCTTCGGGAATTGCACAGGGTATCGTATCCGTGATGGTGGAGGGCCGGTGGTCCGTATGGACTCTCGGAATCCGGGTTATATGGCTTCGAAAGATCGCGGCATACCTAAATGGTAGTTAGTGCACCTTCGCAACACGGCAGTGGGCGAGCCCGTAACCATAGTTATGCACCTGGGTGGTGATAACTTCCATAGTGATATCAGTAACACGATATACCGGCCGCACTGGTAGGTGGACGAATTGCTATCCAGATTGCGGGTCATACGTCAAACCAAAAAACTCACAAGCTGAACGGTTCACCGTGTCCAACTAACAGACAAGCCCGAAGCGCGGGGAGGTCGATCCCCCAAAGCCGTTAGTGATGGTGGCCACGGTAGAAAATTAGCTGCAGAGAAATCCCGGCGCAAGGCTGAATATCAGGCTCACCGTGTGCGCCCTCTCCGCACCGCACACGTGCATAAGCACATGGACATACACACTGGAAACTCGGGAAATTAGAGTTGAATAGCACCTACATATGAGAGGAGTGTCGTGGGGCCCCACCGATAGTATCTGCCGGCCACCACCAGACCTTGTGGTTTGGGGTAGGTAAATGATCTTTCCCGGCCCGCTTCATCAGCTGCGTGGTTGCTCGCTGGAGCTTGTGCGCAGGGAAATGGGGATCGCAAACAGAAGAGGGATTTGATGGTGCATACTTGGTGCTTTAGTCGACTTTCGCATATTTTGGCCGTAGGGGATTCCGTTGCGACCTTCTGGGACATGGGGTAGGACTGCATGTACCTATGCTTTCTTTGCCGGCACACTGTCCGTCTTGCTGCAATAACCCCCACACCCCTTGAGACGATGTTCAAGTAAGAAAGTGGAGCTGCATACAACTTCGTGTCCGTTTGAGCATCGTAAGGTAGCGGAAATGTTCGTCTCCGCCTTTCCCGAGCCCCGGTTGAAGATTTTCAAAGGAATTGTGTACTCTACTCTTCAAGGAAATGTATCGTGTGCTTGGTTTAGTGCTCCGCCTTTGCGGCCGTATTGGTATCTGACACTGTGCGGTTGGTGGCGAGGGTTTGTGAGGATGGGACAATGTTTGCTGTGGCGCACTTGTGGTGAGTCTGGCTTTGTACGCCGTGTTTATTCAGCACCATCCAGGCTTCCCACTGACGATGACGTCGGCTTTGCAGGAAATCAATTTCCGCTCACGGAAACTTCAGGAACTAACCCCGGTATACCCATAAGTACGCGATGCCGGAAATGATTTGAACGGATATGCTGTATGATATAGTGTTGACTTGGCATGGCATTTGTAATGGTGCCGGGCATCGGATTAGGGTTCAGGGCTTGGCCACCCGGTTGGCCGACGTGACGTCCTGTGACAGAACCACCATGGAAAACGTGAGCATGCATATGTGCGTCGTGCTTGATACCGACAACTTGGAGCCAGCAGCTTCCCAACAAACACCCAATCGACCCATCCGGATTACCGCGCGGGATGAATGGCCAAAACAGTCCAAAGCAGCAGAAACTTCAACGCAGAAGTATGTAGCCCCGTGCGAATGCAGATGGCCACGTAATTCTAGAGACACAACTTGGCGGCAGCCCCCAAGGGAGAAGCCTGGATGATCCCTCGTCGTTGCACGAATGGTGTGTGTGCGTGGGGCCTAGCACCCAGCTAGAGCAAGATATCAGTACGTACATACGGTTTTGGTTCTGACAACGTTGCCAACCAGGACCAAGTACCTATCTCCAACAAGGGAGTAAGTGTAAAACATACGATGCTGCACAAGATCATCCGACTCGACCACAGGGGGGAGGGGGGTGTGCATGCTTTGACTCGGTCACTCACGGGTTTGCAGGTTAATGATGGTACTATCGTTGCCTAAGGCGTGACCTGACTCCGCAGCGACTAACCGTTCACGCTGGCCACCACAGGTATCAATCGGTTCCTGACTCCCAAGCAGGCGAATGTGACCTGCGAGTTGACCAGAGATACCCTTGCCTGATCACTCCATGCCCCGAAAAACCTGTTGGTCGACCCTGCAACAGCCAGTCGTGCGAGCACAATCCTGTCTATGCGGGAAATAGCAACTTCCCCTCTCGGAGCTTGTAACCAGCCGATGAGGGGCCCATCGGTAGCTATCTGGGATCTGGGGAGCACCGAACACCTCGGTAGATACCTTTGCATATGTGGGGATGGGGGGGGGGGGGGGGGGGGGGGGGGGGGGGGCAGTAGCTGAGCAGGCGGGGCATTCAAAGCATGCGACACCCTCCGCTTGGTTAGGCACTGGTTAAGCCCAGTTGGAACGAACAAGTTGGTGGTCCGCCCTGCCCAACATATTCCTAGAGTAGAACGTTTCTTCTGGATACTGGCTGATTGAAAGCGGCGGCCGTTAATACACGCATGAATGGAGACCGTAAATAGTAAGCTAAGAAGGGTGTAAAGATTGCGTTATGATAGTGAAGAAACTCGCACGTAGTCTTTCGATATCAACTGGCACCGACTATTCTGATGATGGCAGTGCTCCACGAGAAGTTAGCTCCTCGTTGTTGACTGACTGCGCTAGTGCCCAATGATATTAGGCAAGCTTCTCACATCGGCAGGGTTGGGGTTGAGGCTGGAGGTTTGTGGCGTAGTGTTGAAATCGGCCGGGTGAGGAAACACTCTCGGGAGGATTTAATAGCTAAAAGCGGAGCTTTAACAGTCAGTCAGACAGGTCTTAGAATGGCGCGGATATATTCAATGCTTGCGGCGTAGGCGGGCTGTGTTGTTGTATTTCCGGTGAACGTCAGACGCCAAGCCATAAGCGCGACTGTGCGAGTGACGGATTATGCATACATCATGATGTGTCAACCACTCATGCGTTCTCATGCGTACCGAAAGTGCACATCACAGCTGAAGTAACCAGGTGGAAAGTTTCCAAGGCACGGGCAAGCACAAGAGTCACTAGCAAGAGGTATCGGCGTAGCCGGAAATCTTGTCATAAACCGGACAGTCCCGGCCCCGACCCCCAAGTACCAGGCCTCGAGGCTCTACTGGCCGGATCCCGGGGGTCGGTGAGGGCGAAAACTGAAATGATGATGGAAGATGGCTGGCCTTGAGAGCCCAGAAGCGTGGTCGCTCGAACACCAGGTGTCACTCGAGCGCTCGGCGCATGTGTGTGCTGATAGATCTTGTGGGAAAGAGACCAAAGTGCATTGCCTGAATCGGGCAGTAGGGAAGACTGAGACTCGCGCTAGATATGAAAACTCTGCAATGTCCATCCAAACAAGAAAAATCACGAGCGATAAATCATGGCGTCTCCTCGTGTTACGAGCCGCGCTGACGGTAGACGGTAGGAAACAAGATTCTTCGGGAAGACATACCAGCTGGCCTCATTACAAATCTACGCAGTAAGCCCAATAGGTGGAATCTAGTTGGGAAGAAAGCATCAACACCGTGAGAGTCGTAAGAGGATGACACACATGAAATTCGTGAAAACCATGAGACTGGGTATGGAGGCCAATTCCTTTGACGGAATATTGGTAAATTCCCGGAGATAGCGCCTTTGTCAGTATATCCGCAAGATTCTCGTAATTGGATACGTACGAGAACCGAACCGCTCTAGTTGCATCAATATGTTGGCTAGTATGATACTGAATATCGATCTATTCGAATCGGTGAAGATGAGTTCGGAATTCGCGGATTCACCGGTCATATCCCTGTGGAGCCGGACAAACCATCGGGATTCCCGAGTAGCCTCCGCACAGGTGGCATATCCGGCCTTGGCAATGTTCTTCTGTTTCTTGGTTCGCCATGCAACCAGACCGTTCCCAGCATGAAATACGTATCCGCCTTGAGGCTTTGGATCGCCGCTGTCGTGAGGCAGCTCCGAATCTGTATATAAATGAGGATGCAACTTCCGGAGCTGAAACGCGACACGTTGCTGAGGTATACAAGCTTCACCTTTTTCCTCTTTGCACCAAGATATATCAATACGTTCTGAGCCCGGACCAGCGCATTAACCTCAAAACCTCGTCTGTTGCACGCTAGTCCAACCACTTCATGGATAGTCCAATAACTCATCGGTTCCGTCGTAATGCTCGCAAACCTTCCCCCTTTTTGATCACCTGCATCAAAAATCGTATTCGATATGACCGGAATGACAAAGTATCTCCAAGTCCAGTTACGGAAGTTTCGATAATACAACCCGATAGCCTAGAGTTGTTGCAACCACCACAAGCACCACCGAGTTTACGATTGGCTTTAGTAGTAGGACGCTAGTTCTAGGTGGCCACTGTCTATCTGTCCCCAGTGCGTAGTGGTGGTGGTCGAGATGCATTTGCAAGGCGAGAGCTGGGCGGAGGTTGCCGCTGCGACGGGAGTATCAAATCATGACCCAGAGGAGGTGGTGCCGTTTTATTCGCCACGTGAATTTATTGTGAAGGGACGGACTGATTCATTTACATCTGTTGGGGTCTGTGAGTGAGTTATTGAGTCTTGCGAACGCGCGATCTTATCTTATCTTCCAGTGGCTAGCCTGTCACGTGATGTCAGTGGTTGCACCATTTGGAGCCGCCTTCTCATCACCAGTCCGTCGCCAAACACGTCGGCCACAACACACGAGCAGTGAGCAGCCGCCCCAAGCACCAGTTATCCGACCAACAGTTACCCGACGGTTCCAACGGCGACAACCTTAAGGGCCAGACAGAATTCACGACAACAAAAATGCCTGCACGCATCTCATTCGTAAATCAACCTTGCCACGCGAGCGCAAACTTGTTCAATCTGAGGAAAGATCAGGAATCGGCTAACACTGCAAGGTGCAGTACAGACCCACGGGGCAGTCGCGTCGTCAAGCACGCCAAACCCACGACCACGACGTGTTCGAGGGACTCCCGGTCCGCAGATGGCGCCGCGATTGGGTCTCGGTTGGTAAACCCGCGTCAACGATCACCGCGCCGCAGCCCGAGCTCCCCCTGCCGAAGGATGCGCACCTCCTTTCCGCGACGTCGCAGGGACTCCTTGCCGCTGCGCGCGCGGGGTCGAGCAGCGAGGACGCGCCGAAAGCTCGTGAGCCCCATCATGCCGAGCCGCTGTTTCGCACCAAACGCTGGGTCCGCATCGCGAAGGAAATGGAGCCTCCGGAGCCTGTCTACCTCGCCAAGATACCGGTTTTGTCGGGAAAGAAGGCGGAGGAAAATCCTGCTGCGAACGGCGCCGCGGACGGAGGCGGTGTCTCTGTTGGTAGCATTAACCCGAGGAGACGCGCGCCACCTCCGCCCAAGAAGAAGAACAAGCGTCCTGGACGCAAACCGGGGTTCAAGAAATCCGTTTCTTTCGTCGATGGGCAACAGTCGACCGATCCGGCGCATGAGGATCAGCCGCAGGCCAACGTTGATGTCGACATGATGGACGTTGACGCCGCTACCAAGATGGAACTGGTGCCCCAGAATGCTGTCACCAAGGAGATTGAGAAGGCCGAGACCACCACTGAGGCTGTCATCATAGCGCAGAAAACCGAGGCGGGTGCGCACCACTCGCTTCCCCCCAAGCCAAACTTCTAGGAGTGGGAGGTTGCCATTTGAGAGGCCGCCATATGTTTGTGTGCGTTTTAGGGATCTGCTTGGTTGTTTTATTTGCTGGTCGCTGTTACATGCTTGCTTCTTCGTGTTAGAATTAGCCCGGGTCCCCAATACCTGTTTTCATTTGATTGTTCTCGGCTTTTTTTCTTTTCTTTTTCGATTCGTTTATTTTGATGGTTCTGTTGTGTAATTCGCACGACATTATCGCGTTCTGCGATGGCCAGAGGAGAGATGGAGGGCCAGAGAGCAGATGGAAAAGGCAGTGTGCTTCTAAATACAGTTCCGGAATGGGTCGTCAATCTCATCTAATCTTTCCATCGCAGATGTCATCAGTCTGGAAGTCTATCCTTAATCTCCGCTCTTAACGCGGCTATGATCTCTCATTCAAGAGGCCTTTCGCGTATGCCTACCGCACTGGTGTAAAACGCCCCTTGTGTTGTGTTACGCGTCAGCCTTTGCCTTAGCGCTTCCCCAGATGGGAGGAGCTGATGCCCAGCCCTCCATGCTTTGGGTACTTTCAATATCAATCATACCCCGCGATCGTTAACAACTCACTCACCGGGCTCGGTACAGTACATACCGCAGCTCCAGAACACAACCTCCCCCCAGCAATCCGCCTCGGCTGTCTTCACAGGTCCCCACTACTGCCTGGCACGAACCAAACGACAATGGCCGGACCTCCTCTCGTCAACTTTGGCGAAGAGCTTAAGGTATGCTTCGGGGAAAGGGATGGGATGCTGTCGCGTGCAACGCCCTCCCGCAACTGTGCACACCCCCGGTTCCGTAAATCCTCATCTAACTGACGTTTCGCCCTTGCGATCGTTAGGACTCCTTCAAACCCGTCAACACCTGGGTACGCGCACACCTCACCCGTCCACCCCGCAGTTCGTCGCCGACACAACTAATACCTGCGCGTTCCTTCGCACCATAGGTCGCTAACGGCATCGCATGGCTGGAGGACATACAGGCCTTCTACCGTGAGCGCGCCGTCATCGAGAAGGAGTACGCCGCCAAGATCAATGCGCTATCGAAACGTTTTTACGATAAGAAGTCGAAGAAGAGCGCGTCCTTGACCGTCGGTGATACGCCCGCGTTGACTCCAGGGTCGCTGGAGAGGTGCGTTTGTGTGGTGACACCCTGGAAAGGTGCGCGATAGTGGGGCGGGATCAGGGCTGACTTGAGGCCTGTGCGCAGTGCTTCGTTGACGACTTGGACTACGATCCTTACAACCACCGAGGCTTTGGCGACAGAGCATGATACGTTCTCGACTGCGCTGAATACGCAGGTTGCAGACACGTTGAAAGCTATCGCGACGCGGTATGAGGACTATAGGAAGCGGTACGAGTCATTGTCGCAGAAGCTATTGGCCGAACGGGATTCCGTCTACGGCGATCTGAAGAAAGCGAAGAACGGTTACGATGTGGAGTGCAAGGACGTGGAGGAGAAGCGACAGAAGGTCGACAAGAGCTACGACTCGAGTAAGGCGAAAGCGCAACGGTCATACCAGACCGAGCTCGTCGAGATGAGCAACGTCAAGGTGAGCACGTGGATTCGAGGTGTGGAACCCGACTGGAGCTGATGACGGGCACAGAATACATATCTCCTCCAGGTCGAGGTCGCAAACCGACACAAGCAGCGTTTCTACCATGAAGACTTGCCCGAAATCATCAACGTACTACACCCACCTACCTGATGCACGAGTGACACTGCGGCTAACTACAGGAAGTCGCTTCAAGACCTCAACGAGACACGAGTTGCGAAACTCAATTCCCTTTGGACACTGAGCAGCAACCTCGAGACGACTTGTCATCAGAACTCGATTACCTACCTCACTACCCAAGCCTCGGAGATTGCGCGCAATCTTCCAGTACTTGACTCTGGCATGTTCTTGAAGCATAACATCGCCGGATGGATGGAGCCAACGGACTTTGTATTCGAGGCCAGCCCCATCTGGCATGACAATCCCGACATGGTAGTTGACGACGCTGCTCAGGTTTACCTCCGGAATATGTTGCAAAAAAGCCGGAAGGGAATGGAGGGCCTGAAGACGGAGGTCAATAAACGCAGCAAGGAAATTGAGAAACTTTCCGGTCAGTGGGACGCCGTCAAGATGGACGAGAGTCAAGCGCAAAAGGAAGTTGATGTTGTTCGCGTATGTCCATAATTTCTTGAAGTTGGTGTTTGCCTGTGGACTGACATTTCTAGGGACTGCTTTACTCGCGAGAAGAGATTTTACCTCATGCGTCTAAGCTCCTTACTTGCCAGGTTGAAATTGATATCATTGTCAATACCGTCGGAGATGTCGCCCGCGGCATCCAGTCCCATACGTTCAAAGCCACGACTTTCAAGATTCCTACCAATTGCGATCTCTGCGGCGAACGAATCTGGGGACTTACCTCCAAGGGCGCGACATGTACTGACTGTGGCTATTCTTGCCACTCGAAGTGTGAAATGAAAGTGCCGGCAGCCTGTCCCGGTGTTCTGGACAAGGCGGCCAAGAAGGCGCTGCGAGGAGAGAAGAAGGCAGCATCATCAGCCATGAAAAACGGCGGAGGAAGCGAAACTGATCTGTCCGGTAGCGGCAGTCTAACGAGATCCAACACGGTTGCCTCCGTGAGCTCGAATTTGACGGTAGCAGGAAATCGACTGGGAACCAAGTCGGGGAGAAGTCCCTCGATTTCCGCTGCCTCCATGGTATCTGTCGCTTCTACCTCCTCCTCTCCCCCCGATACCGCCCCTGCCGTCCCACGTATGGCCGCGCCCATCATGGCACCACCCCCAGCCCGCCGAGTTCTCGCTCCTCCGCCGGACCGGTACGTCGCCCCGCCTCCCGCAGAACTCGACGCAGATGATTCACCTCCCGTCACACCTACAAGCTCCATACACACCGGCGAAGCACACGATACGGGGAAAATGTTGTACACCTTCGCAGCCGACGGCGAGAACGAGCTGCGCGTATCCGAAGGTGTCATTGTCACCATCCTCGAAGACGACGGCAGCTGGATGACAGTCCGTCGTCCAGACGGCAGTGAAGGCCTCGTTCCAACCTCATACGTCGAGAAGATCATCGTGGCCCCTCCTACACCAAAGGTTGGAAAGCGTGGTCCGCCACCACCAGTCAGACCTCGCGGCGTGAAGAAGGAAAAGAAGGTCCGCGCACTGTTTGAATACTCGCCCAGGGGAGAGGATGAGGTCGCTATGCACGTGGGCGAGGAGTTTATTGTGCTTGAAAGGGATGTCGGAGGCTGGGTTAAGGTTAAATGCCCTGATGGAGAGGGGTTGGTGCCCGGAACGTATGTTGAAGACGTGTAAATTGATTGTGGACTCTTTGTATTGCTTGGTTTTGTTAGGGTGTTCCGTTGCTGCGATGCGTATTTGGTTTGTAGGCTACCCGGTACGAAACGTGATCTTCATTACAGTAGAGGCTTTGCGTCGAGACGCAAAAAACAGGCTGTGCACGAGCTATCGTGGCGTCCTTCTTCGACATCAAAGAGAATTGGAGTACCGTTATGCTCAGGTTGTTCATAGGATATTGCTTGGAAACCAAAAAAAAGAGGATACCCCCCATGAGGACCAGAAGGATACGCTGGTTAAATATATTTCGAGATGGAAATTGGTTATTACCATGTTCGTAGGATATTGTCCAAAGCAAAAAGATTTCCAAGACCGACGTTCCAAAACAGGTTTACCTGACGTAAAACTAATGAACTTGTGATATGACTAGGTTTACCGTAATAAAGTCAGGAAAGTATCAACTTTTTACAAGCTTCGGAGGCATGGGATGCTTGATGAGGTTTCTGATGATTGCTTGAACTTTGTCTTTCGGTAACCCTACCGAGGGCAGCAACCTCGCTGCGACTTTTAGGGTCCGTTTGGATGGCCTCAGTTTTCAGTTCCAGTTTTAGAGCGAAATTCAGTTCCCCGCCGGGACACCGAATACTGTCCAGTTTCAGTTTCCGGAGAACTGTGAGGTGAGGTGAACAGGGTGTTTGGCAGTTCTCAGATAACTCAGCCATAAGTCTGAATAATAGGCTTCACAAAACTTTAATAGTGGACATATCGTGGCCCTGCTTTTTTCTCTTCCCGTAAAGGGAGTCCATGGTTGAAATTAAAATGCGATACTGAGTGGCGGCAAAGAAATGACCTCTCGAGATCAGTACCAGTTTCGTCGCTGGAGCCGCACAGTTTCAGTTTTTTTTTTAAAGTTTTTGTGCCATCCAAACGAGGTCTCAGTTTTGTTTCCTCAGTTTTTCGAAAAACTGAAAGTTTTCGCTAAAAGTGAGGCCATCCAAACGGGACTAGGTATTAGAGAGTCAACAACATCGTTGAGCCTCTAGGAGGTTTTCCGACGATCAACCTCAATCTAGGGGGCGCATCGCCTCTGGAAATGTTCAGTCGCGATACAATTACTAATTGGAACTCGCAGTCGAGTAGTGCTCACAACACTAGAAGTTGACGTCACGTGAAGTCTCTTAATGAACTACGGACTTTATTCGCTACAAAAACCATCCCCATACCTCCATACTTGAACACTGTCTTCTCCATTTCCGCTACGAAAACTCCAACATCTATCTTTTGTTACTTGTCTATTGTCTGCCACCCGCCCACCATTAGGCATGAGAGGAGCGATATGTAGATAGATAGGGGGAGGAGATCATGGACGATGGATGAGATAAGATAGAAGGAGTGGCTAGCCGGATCGGGTGGTCTCGAACGGTGGAGAGCAGTCTGTAGCAGCAGGGGAGAGCCATACATAATATGGCTCTTCGAAGTTGAATACAACTTTAACTTTTTCATCATTCTTCAATTCACCGTTCGTTTGGTCGTACTACGTGATTGTCCCTCTACTATTTAGTACAATCATCTAGTATCAATTCTATTGCCCCTCAATCAGTGATTAAGAAATTCACAATCCGGATCGTTGCGGCTGAACTGCAGCTGAACTGCAGCTCAACTGCGGCTGAAAACGCACATGGTGGGGATGGTGCTATTGCCGATTGGCTCCTTGAAGTTGTCACCGCCACGATGGTTTTCTGCATGGCTTGTAGCTGCGGGGGCTATCGTGAGGCGTCATCTCGAGCTCCACTACCGGTCGCAGGCCTGACGAACGTCATCGGCCATTACCCAAACCTTCACCGACCAACAACCCAGCAGCCACGATTGGCTTAGTTTGTACTTGATGGATCCTCTCTCAGTTACAGCGTCGGTTGCCGGGTTGCTGCAGGCCGCGGCCAAGGTCATCGGGTTTCTTTCCAGCGCGGCCGACGCTCCCAGCACGGTACGTAACGTGCTCACTGAAGTCCAAGCGCTGAATGGGATCTTTCATCAACTGTCGGACTTCATTAATCATTTCGACGAACAAAGCATGGCTCAGAAATCTAAGATCTCGGTCGAACATCTAGTAATCACTTTGACTGGCTGCGTATGTACCTTCTCTGAACTCGACGCGGAGCTCGAAAACCTCAAGACCGACGAGGTCACCGGCCCAAAGTCTGGGCTGGGGGCCTAGGATAGGGTGAAGTGGGCCGCGAAAGAGCAGGATATCGCAAAGATACTACGGAATCTGCAAATGCACAAGTCATCTCTGACTCTGATACTGTCTTTTTATACAAGGTCGGTCCCACATTTTGTCTTGACTCTTCTTTATATGTACCATGCTCCACCGCCAGAGGTATCCGTACTGAGCAGTCACTGATGCTGGAGTTCAGTGCGTCGATACAGCAGATACAACACGAAATGGTGGAACTGAAGCAGCTCTTGACATTGGAGTTGCGCACGGATCCAGAACTTGCTCATCGTCTGGCCATGGTCACTTCACCGGGGCGTATTGACGATGGGTCCTCAATCCGCTCGAAAACGTCGATCCTCTCAACAGAAACCGAAAGATGCTTCCGGGGATTCGCAATCGCCTACGAGAAGGCTCTAGTTGAAACCCGTGTGTATAAAAAGGCGTCCAGAAATTCATCAACTGGCTCCTTTAAGAGCATCCAAACGGCGGATTCTAATTGGTCTTAGCTCACGGAGCTGAGCATGGCGCAGATTTCGAACGTATCAATCATCCGCCTTCCCGTATATATTTTCGAGCTAAGTAACGGGTATATGTACCAGCAGGATAAGCGGAAGCCTGGTGGTAGTGCCACCAGCGGGTGGCTCTCTGTGGCACAACTCCAACGGCTGCGTCAGGGAGGCATCAGAATCAGTACCACAGTTCGGCATCGATTGACACCAACGAGCGAAAGAGGCTCGCTGTTACTTGCCGCAGCTGCGAAGGGCCACACCATCGCTGTCCAATGACTTGTAAACACCAAAGGCGTCGACAAGGAATTGCGGGGCGTAGGGGGTTATACGGCCTTGCACTGTGCCGCCCTGGGTGGACACAATGATACAGTGCAGCTACTGCTCGACCGCGGCGCCACCATGGCAGCCAAGAATGAAAACGACTTCACACATCTGCACTGCGCGGCACATGGAGGGCATGGTGCTACAGTGCAGCTACTGCCGAGTTGCGGGGCCCAAATCGAGGCGAAGACCAAGGGTGATCGGACCGTGCTGCATTACGTGGTTGACCGCTCATGGGAAATGGCGCCCTCGCAATTCTATCGCTGTGTCGATGTCGAAGAAAGGACCAAGCACGGTCGTATGGCGCGGCACTCCTTGACCCACGACGGGAATGAAATAGTGCAGCTGCTGCTTGATCGCGGTGCTGACATCAATGCCGGGGCCAACAACGGTTTGACTGCGCTGCATCACGCGGTCCTGTATTCTTACAACGACACTATGCTGCTGCTGCTTGACCGCGGCGCCGACATCGAAGCCAAGGACAATCGGGATCAGACAGCGCTGCACACCGCCGCCTGGCACGGGCATACACCTACAGTGCAGTTGTTGCTTGATCATGGTGCCAACATCAATGCTAGGGCCAACGATGGCGGCACGGCGCCGCACTATGCGGCCCTATATTCGTACAGCGATACAACACAGCTGCTGCTCACTCGTGGTGGTGAAGTTGATGCCAAGGATAACGACGGTCTGACGGCCCTGCATATCGTCGTGACAAACACGAACTCGCATGGAATTGCGAATAAGCTGCTAGCTTTTGGAGCAACCACGCAGGCAAAGACGGAGGATGGCCGTACCGCGTTGCAAATCGCGGTCCAGTCCGGATGGAACAACGGGGTGAAGACGCTACTCGACCATGGCGCCAATATCGGGGGCACGGACGAGAGCGGTTCGCCGCTGCTCCACCTTGCTGTCCGGAGTCGGTGCGAGGAAACGCCACCGTTGCTACTTGAGCAGGGCGCTGATGTCGAAGCCAGAGATAACGACGGGCGAACTGTGCTGCATATCGCGATCCAGTGCGGATGGGGAACCGGGGTACGGATGCTACTCGCCCAAGGTGCCAACATCGAGGCCAAGGAAGATACCGGCTCGCCGCTGCTGCATCTCGCTGCCAATACTGGGTGAGAGCTAATGTTGCCGCTGCTGCTTGAATGTGGAGCAGATGTCCAGGCCAAAGACAAGGACGGTCAGACTGTGCTGCATATCGCAATCCAGTGCGGATGGCGACTTAGGGCGCAGATGCTACTCGAACACGGCTTCCATATCGGGGCAAGGGATGCCAACGGTTCCACGCCGCTTCACCTCGCTGCTCGTAAAGGATCGGATGGAATCATTTCTATGCTGCTTGACCGCGGAGCGTACATCAACGCCAAGGATAAGAGAGGTCGCACTGCGCTCCATGTCACGACTGAGGAAGACTAATAAGAGACGATCGTGGTATTACTTAGTCGTGGTGCCATCATTGACGCCAAGGATGACGACGGTTCGCCGCAGCTTCACCTCGTCGTCCGGAATCAGCAGGATGGAGTGATGTTGCTGCTGTTTGACCACGGTGCGGACATACAGGCCCAGGATACCAGAGGCCGGACTGCGCTGCATAGTGCGGCCCAGTGCGGATGGTATCAGATGGCGCTGATATTACTCGACCATGGCGCTGACATCCAGGCCGAGGACGCGACCGGTTCACCGCCGCTTCACATGGCTGCCCAATGTGGGTGGGATAGGGTAATGTCGTTGATGCTGGATCGCGGTGCGGATGTGCGTGCCACATATAAGGACGGCCAGACGGCGCGGCAATTCGCCAAATTCAACCGGCACGAGCTTGCGCCGCTAGTACATCTCCGTGGTGGAGTGAGGTCAGCCAATGTGAGGTACCCGTCGCCACTACTACAGTCGTCACTGCTCCGACTGTCACTAGTACGGAGGAGCGACGGCGGGAAAGGAATTAGCGATGTTGAGCGGGCGAGGAGGAGCGACAGATCTCTTGGACTTGTTGTTGTCTGGGGAGTGGGCGGAAGTCTTGAATTGTGACGATAGAAGAGAGAGTGTGTGAGTGAGAAGGCATGAGTGAGAGTTGCAACTGGAGTCTTCTTGTATTGACTGACTGACTGAAGAGAAGAGAAAGAAAAACACGAGAGAAATTCCAATCTTTGTATAAAAAATGATGCATATATATCAGTATGTCAGTAAAGTTCCCCACGACCATGTATCAGCACTCGGTGGATTTCCTTCGCCGCCGTGGCGGCACACCGGTGCCCCGTCCATATCACCCATTCTCCTGGTGGAGGTTGGGAATTCGACCAGCGGGCACGTCTGTCTTTCAAGCAACTAGCCTTACCACGTCATATCTCCCACTGATCACAACTCGGAGTCCAGCAACGATAACGAATGTGAAAACGCAATCGTAAACGAGACATATGCTGAAGAGTTAAGCTCAGACCTTCCTGTTGACGCTCGTGTGTCTGCGAAGCTTCAACTCCGACTGTGTCACGGCTCGCGACGGAATGACGAAGGGAGGGTCGGCGCAAGGATCGGGAGAGTTGGGAGGCAGTGCACAGGCATTGCACCGGCAGTGCAAGGATGAGTCGCAGAGGATTGGGGGCTGTGTGCAGGGAGCAGGGATAGCGCAGTAATGAGTGGCAGGGGATTGGGGCTGTGTGCAGGAAGCAGGGGTGTTGCGGCTGCGCAGGGTATGTGTGAGACTGGAACGATTTCGGTCGTAGGAGTCGATTGATAGAATAGGATAAGAATGAAAATAGATAGTATTCTTTCTTTCACAAACGGAATAATCTTAAGGGGTAGTGTCGATGGTTTTCTGGTTGCTGATTCTGATGATGAATCTTTCGCCGTGTCGTCGGAAGTCTATATAGTTGGGTGATTTGGTCGAGTCACGTGCCAGCCGTTGCCGTAGCTTGCTGCCGGATTGAAAACCCTGGCGTGAAATCTCCGCACTTGGTGCGGAGACTTTCTCCGCCATGTCATCCGAGTCGTCGTAAGCCTTCAGGATGGTTTATACAAACTAGGCAGGTATGGCGCACCAATCCTTACCCGAGCATAGTCCAGTTTCAGCTATCTCTTCGCTGGGCAACGGCTGCGCCTTTCGGCACGGCTCTTATTTGCTTAAGACGCGAGAAGAGGGGCAACACTCGTCATAGTGGTTTGTCTCCAATCAGAGTTTTCTCTGCGCTTGTTTCGCAATTTGCCTGCCTCAAGTCAAGCATGACTGTATCGGACTTTTCGTGCGTATCGCTGCGCCTCTGATCCCACCTAGACTCTGGTCCCGTTTGCTTCCTTCCTTCCTATCTCGTCTCTGACTAGCTACGACTAATCTAAAAGGTTCCCTCCTGTTCCCCGATCTATCTAACTATTTTTCCCGAACTCCCGTTGGTAAGAAGCCGGACCCTGAAGCCGGGCCGACTGCGACCAGGGTATCACACCATCTCCCCTCTCCGACGCTTTCGTCCCGAAGCGTGCGGAGTTCTATCTAGTCTTTGTACGGTGAATGCAGTCTTCCAACCCCTGCATCCCACTATCGCTCGACTCAGGAGAAAAACCCAGTGGGAAAAAAAACTCTCAGTCTACTGTGAGCCGATAGTCCCTCGGGGCGTCCGGATTCTTGCGGTGGAATCCCCGCAGTTTCTCCGGACCACCTACTGAAAAGTTGTCAAAAGGCTCATGAGTCCAATCCCGTTTGCTGGGATAGTTGAGCCATCTCACGGGGTAGAGTACGTGCCGTCCTTTCTGGGTGCTACCCATAACTTCCTCGACATCGTATTCCTCATTGCTCTCGACGTCATCCGCTTCCCGGAGTATTTTCGACGGGTCGGAGGGATCTCGGTTGCCTGCTCGGTAGGGTTCGACAAGCGAGACATGGAAGACATTGTGTATCTTCCATTTTCGCGGTAGCGTGAGCTTGACGGCGAGGGGGGAAACGATCTTCTCGATTTGGAACGGGCCATGATTTTTGTGGTCCAGTTTCCTCGAAGGGCGGCGGGTTTGTATATTCCGTCCGCTGAGCATTACCAGGTCTCCTACCTGATAAGCGGGGGCCTCTTGGCGACGTTGGTCGGCGTAGCGGCGCATGCGTTCCTGTGCTTGTTCAAGCGACTTGATGGTCTCCTCGTGCACAGTCTGCATCCAGTGCGCATAGACCGTGCTGGCGGGGTTGAGGGGGTTCGTCGCAGCAGGTCCGCTAGCTGTTGGGTGGAATCCGTAGTTCGCGTAGAACGGCGAGAATCCAGTAGCCGTGGTGACCGAGTTGTTGTAGGCAAACTCAGCCATGGGGAGGAGGCTAACCCAGTCGTCTTGGTCTTTGTTGACGAAGGAGCGGAGGTATGCTTCAATCGTCTGGTTGAGGCGTTCTGTTTGCCCGTCTGTTTGGGGGTGAAACGCCGTAGACATCCTTGCCTTGATGCCTAAAAGCTTCATAAATTCCTTCCACGTATCCGACGTGAAGCGGGAATCTCTGTCCGATACAATATCCGAGGGTAGGCCGTGGAAGCGCCAGATTTCGCGGGCAAAGATTTTCGCGAGGTCGCTGGCTGTCTTGCCGTCCTTTCGTAGGGGAATGAAATGAGCCATCTTGGTGAATCGGTCGATGACTACCCAGAGTTGGTCGCACTCCTCGGACTCGGGTAGATCGGTTATGAAGTCCATAGCGATGGATTGCCATGGAGCGTAAGGCAGTTCGAGGGGGTTTAGGAGTCCATAGGGTTGGTGTCGCGCTGTCTTGTTTTTTTGACATTCAGGACAGCCACGCACGAAGTCGATGATGGCTTCGTCCATTTTTGGCCACCAAAAGTTGCGTCGAATCAACTCGATCGTCTTGTCCTGGCCCATATGGCCGGCGACTTTGGTATCGTGCTCTGACTCCAGGATCTGCTGGATCAGGCCTTTGTTGTTCGGTATCCACAAGTTCTCCTTCCGGTACACACATCCATCTTCCACCCTCAGTATCCCGGCCTTTCGGCTCATCCGTTCAGAGTCTCTGCTCCGAACGGCATCCTCCTTGACCTTGCGGTCGTTCGGCATGGAATTCCCACGTGCCGCTACCTCCTTACCCTTTCCGGTATTCGGCTCCTGTTCCTCAGAAGCCGCTTCACCAACGCTTTTGAGAGCTTTCTCCCACTCAGCGTCACATCCTCCCTTCTCGCGCACCAACTCCAAAAACTCCAAAGACCATTTCCGTGTTGGGGTAGAGGTTAGCCGTACCGACGAGATCAGAAACGAGGTACCGTGTCCAGCCGTGCTGATCGAAGAGACATTGTTCTTTCCTGCAAAGTGTTTTCCGTGCAGGATCGTCGTGATTGGTTGATCCTCACCCCCCCCTTTTTCAGGGCGGTATTCCGGGCGCCGGGAAAGAGCATCAGGTTTTCCATTCTGGTTTCCGGGTCGGTAGTAGATCTTGAAATCGATGCCGGCGATCTCCTGTGCCCATCGTGCCTGGCGTCGATTGAGTACTTTTGTGGTTGTGAAGTACTCGAGGTTCTGGTGGTCGCTAAAGAGTTGCACTTGGTGCTGTGCCCCTTCGAGGTATCGTCTCCAGTGCTTGAAAGCGTCGACAATGGCGAGTAGCTCTTTGTCGTGGATTTCGTAGTTGATTTCCGCGGGAGAGAATTTCCTTGAATGGTAGGCGACAGGGTGCAGTCTTCCTTCTTCATACTTCTGGGATAGGACGGCACCAAGGGCAAAATCCGATGCGTCTGTTTCAACGATAACTGGTTCATTGGGTTAAAAGTGGGCCAGTATCGGAGCGGTAGTGAAGCGTTTCTTCAGATCGTCAAAGCATTTCTGCATCTCGGGCGTCCATTGCCAATCCTTCTTATCACCTTTCGTAGACTCCGTCAACGGGCGCGCGACCCTCGAGTAGTCCTTGATAAAGCGGCGATAGAAGTTAGCGAAGCCCAGAAAGGATTGAACGTCTCGCAGGGACCGGGGTACTTCCCACTCAAGCACACTTTCCACTTTGTCCCCTGCCATCTTGATTCCTTCTCGGCTGACTATGTAGCCGAGGAATTCCACCTCATGCTTCCTCCACTCGCATTTTTCCGCTGATACGGCCAGTTTGTTAGCCATCAGACGTCGCAGGACGTCTTTGACTATTTCATCATGCTCCGCCGTGGTAGAGGCGTAGATGAGAAGGTCGTCAATATAGGCAACGAGGCCGAGATCAATCATATCCCGGAAGATATGATTAATCATGTCCTGGAAGGTAGCAGGTGCGTTGGACAGTCCAAACGGCCTAACGAGAAATTCGTAGAGGCCATAACGTGTTTGGAATGCTGTCTTCCACTCGTCCCCTTCTTTGATGCGTACCAGGTGATACTCATTCTTCAGGTCAATCTTGGTGAAGAACTGTGCTCCACGGATCCTGTCTTGTAGTTCAGACATGAGTGGGAGTGGGTATCGATTGGCGATAGTGACGCGGTTGAGTCCTCGATAGTCGACGCAAAGGCGAAGACCACGTCCATGGGCCTTCGGGACGAAGAGAATGGGGGCTCCCGCGCTGGAGGTGGACCGACGTATCTTCCCGGTCCGTAGCATGTCCTTCAACCATTCTCGGAGGGCTTAGAGCTCTGCTTCCGAGAGGGCATAGATTGGACCCCAAGGAGTTGTGGTATCTTCCTTGAGCCGGATCTCGTGGTCGTAGGAGCGGTGTTCCGGAAGTGCATCTGCGGCTTCTTTTCCCATGATATCAAGAAAGCCGCGGAATTCTTCTGGTATCGGTTCCAAGGGGTCCGTCGCCAGCTCAACGGCCGCGACGTATCCTATTACCCTAGCGTCCGGATCATTGCAATCTCCGGGTCATAGCTTAGGGGAAACTCCGTTGCTGCGTGCTTGGTGCAGTTCTTCAAACAGGAGGGGCTGTTGAAGCGGAGTTCGGGGGTGTCCCAAGCACCTTGTGGGGTGTGCTTGGCTATCCACCAGTAGGGGAGGAACGCGTCGACTCCCGATTCGAGGGAGGTCATCTCGAAGACTTCTTGGGAGTAGTGGTTCCGGTGATGGAGGAGAAGGGGCATTGTATAATATTGGCCGCCTTCTTTGATGGGTTCGCTGGTAAAGCCACGCAAGCTGACGGCTTGTTCGTGCTTCTGCCGGGGAATCTTTAACCGCGACGATAGGGAGGAGTCCAGGAGGGGGGTAGAACA